TAAGCTTCTTTCAAATTATCCCAAAAATTTCAAAAAGCGGACTTTTCAAAAGCTGAACAAAAAAATTGTAAAGTACTAATCATTTTATTGCTTTATAATGTCTTTCCACTGCATTAAAAACAGTCAAGACCACACAAAATTTGTCATTTTAATGATTTAAACATATTTGAAATTTCACAGGTGAAAACATAGTTGAATGGAATCTTGATCATTATGATGCAGTAATTTCATGTAATGTTAATCAACTGCAAAATTTACATGTGCAACTGTGACGGGTACCACATAGGCAGGAAACTCTTCAATCAAAAATCAATTTAGAGAAAATTATCACCGTAATATGCATGAAGACCTGTGCATCCTCTTTTCACATTATTCAGACCTCCTATGTGAGTATTTCATATGAATCTGCTCCTTTAGCATAAATCTCATACAATTTACCATGAGAGTATCCTTTATAAGTCTTTATAATTATACATTACATTTTGCTTAATTTGCAACTTTCTATATTCCAGTGATATTTCATATGTGTTAAACTTGCCTCATGAATTAGGAAAAATATGTGTTGTCATTTTAAACTATGTAATATATATTTTTGTTTTTGTTCAGTTTTACCGTGAACCAACACAGTTCAGGTCATATGGCACTGAAACAGGAAAGATGATTTTGGCTAACCTCGGATGCTTCAAAATGAAATATTCAGAGACAAGCTTGGATTAAAACCATGTACATGTATTAATCAAATACATTAACATGAATCCACTGGTGGTTAACCACTAATCCTGCCAAGACTTTATCTTTATTTATTCTAATTATCATGTTAATGAGGGAACTTACTAACTTCTCACTTCACACAAATTTCTCACATGTTCTCCTGGTTAAAGTCTATGGTTCAACACCATGTTCACATCAAAAGCATATTTCCCTGTTTATACCTTACACTGTTAAAATTGTACTGTTAATATTTTTTTTATTTTCTATTTGTAACTGTCAATAACTAATGTAAGTTTTAGGCTTCCAATATCAAAATACTGTATGTTATAATACAGCCAGGAGAGAATCAGAAGGACGACAGGCCTAATACTAACATGCCTGACTCTGATAAAAAATCATGAGTATAAATTAATTTGAATTTATTTTGTGTTGTAAACTTGTTGCTGATGAAACAACACAATTAAATATTTTCTCAATGTCACTGTTATGCAACAAATCTTAGAGTACATTGTACATTAAGAATGGCTATATTGAAATACAATTTCTTGCACATTGTATAATCAAACTAAACAAATATTCTTTTTTGAAAATTATCCTTTGCAAAACATCATAAGGCCTAAATTTATGAAAAGAATCAGATTTAAGGATACACTTATTACATAGGGTACATGTCAAATATAAGATAAATATGTTTTTAAACCAGACAAAGTAGCTATTTTCTACAAAGGAAAAAGGAACATTTATCAAGTATAGGAAGTAGATATATCAAGGAAAGGCTGTTCTAGTTACAAACTACCAGAATCAAACAAATATAACATGTTTAACCTCATTTATAAATCTTATACATGTATCCATATTTCATTATTATGAATACCTATATACGAAATATCTTTATTTAATAATGACAAATATGTTAACCCTTTTAGCCTGTATGAGGCAACAGATTCTACCAATGTGACCATTGCAGATATCAGATGGCAACCCTGTGGTCTGGACTGTTTGCTATTCAGTTAATACATATTTTGAAATTTTCTTCAAATTTTATTAATGGTTTTGTCTGGATTGAAAACTGGACAATTCAATTTAAAATATTTAGTGGGTAAGGGTTCAAAGATCCTGCATATTGATAAAGTATTACTGATCAGAATTATGCTTTTTCACAGTAGATTTTTTTCTACATAAAGGAATTATTTTGTATAAATAGAGGGGGAAAAACATATATGTTTTAAACATGGGAGCAAAACAGAATTTATTTCAGTATAAAAGGGACAGTAATTGATTAATTGAAGATTTTCCCATGAAAAGATATTTTAGTTATTTACCACATATTTATTAACACTGTAGGTCAAGATCTAACAGCTCAATGGGTTAAAAATCATATTTCAAACTTGTAAATTTAAGATTTAACGGCCTTCAAGAAATGTTTATTCTGACACCAAATACAGTAATAATTATCTTTTGTGGGTTTTTTATGTTTGTGTCTACAGGAGACCTTGTTATAGTAGAAGTGTCACACTGGGTTTAATAGCCTTGCTCCAAATTGGCCTCCTTATTAATTTTGATAAAGAAAGGAAATTATTTTAATGCACTTTGGATTTATGGGGGATTATCAATTCATAAATTTCTTATTTCTTTTTTAACCCTGTAGATTTAATGACTAAAATTAGAGGAAAACCATTTAAAAATACAATGTAAGAATGCACTATATGAAATGTTCAGTGCATAACAGATACAGCATATTTGCATGTTTTCCCTGCAAATTGTCCCTTTTGGACAGTATCTTATTCATTTATTAAACATTTAATAAGGTTTAAATAATTTTGCACTAAGGATAATTTTAAACAATTTGCTTTTTTTAAATCAAAATGACAGTTTGTGTCAAGGATTCAAACTTCAGTCAAACTTTTGTAAAGATATACTCCGATTTCAGTCAACAATATTTGTACATATTTATACCAATTAAAGTATTGATGTATAAGGGTGTAAAGTTGCATATTTTACCATGAAGCCATTATTTAAAAGCTGAAAGGGAGTAGTAGAATTACATCTACATCATTATATCTTACAGACAAAAAATATACAACTTTTTCCCACCATTAGTTTGGCCAAAAGTTAATGAAAGTAAAAAAAAAACCCAACCTTTCTTCATCATGAATCATAGGTATAAACAAGAGCTGTTCGTAACACAGCATTTGACTATATAAGAAAAGGGACATTACTCTGTAAAAAGGTAACTTGGAGTTATGGAGCTTGTGCCCAGCATGTTAAATAATAACTGTTATTAATATGATACAAGTGAATGAAGTTCCAAAAACTTAACCAAAGTGTGAAGGCAGTGGCGATGCCAGGGTAAATACAATAGCTCTCCCTATTCTTCAAATAGTCAAGCTAAAAATGTTCACTCTTCTTAAAATGTAAAACACATACTTTAAAAGTATACATGTATGTTTATAATCTAAACATTTTTTTCATAATGCATGTTTTACCCCATGCTTTTGAATTTGTTTTCTTCCTACTTACATTAAAACTGCTATAACTAGAAAGTCAGCAATTTTGTGTCACTGTTGTACTAAAACATTTTATAAATAAATCATTGTCTATGAGGCCATATTTCAGAAATGTTTAAGTACTGTGAGAAGTGTTTCTCTATGAGATAAAACAATTATAAATGAAATACAATCATTTAATAGGCTACTTGAAATAAGTTTCTGTTTACATCATCCAACAAAATCAATCTTTAAAAGGCAATAAATTGAAGATTTCAATATGAAAAGTGTTTATAGAAACAATTAATATCTGGTCTACATAATTCCGGATGTAATTTCAAATTTAAGAATAAAGGATAAGTGTTTGATTCTTGTACGCATTGTAAACACAAAAATGTCTCGAGTATTTGATAAATGAATGCAGTCAATAATTTCTCACGCTTTCTTAAACTGTAAATGTGAAAATAACAACAAATTATATCTTAAATTAAGCAGCCAAGTTCATTTCAAATTTGTTTTTTTACTTACTGATCAATTAGGTGTCATATATTTTTTGATTATATTTCTAAAAAAACATTGCTGTTTTATTCATAGGTTAAGAAATAGGATGTGTTTGGCACTGGGAACTTAAGATCATACTTCCACTCAATGTATGAACATAAATATGTTATATGTTTTTTTTCTTCTTAAAATAAACTTTGTAGCATTGACAAAAGTTGAAATTGTTTAATTTGTACAGAAGGCTGAACTGTTGATTTATAATGTAACAATAAAAGTAAACCTTTCAATACAATAAAGTTGGGTAATTGTTTCACCTTTTATTCATAAATTTAATGATTCCTTATAGACCTTTTAACTGCAAGTACAAGACTAAGTACTTCTCATTCATATATATGTAATTGTCTTATTTCTTAAAGATCCTGTATGTTGTAATTACGTTGTATACCACACTTAAGTGAAATTATATACATGTATATAATTATGCTTATAAAACAATTTTCAAACATCGAAGAATATGTAAAATATGTACTGCAAATATTTGTACATATGATATGTAATCATTAAAATATATGCATTCATTTCTTATCTTAGATTTTATAGAAAATATTTTTTTATTACCTCCCTTTATTTACATAAAATGTTAAATTCAGTAATATCTTTATAAAAAATGCTTTTTGGAACTTACAAAAATTGATAAATCTTAATTTGAGCATCATATTTATGATATAAAATCATAGAAATTGTGTTACAGGATCTTTAACTGAATGAACAAGCTACCTAAATAGCTTATTTTTAAGTCAATGACAAAATTCAAACATACAGACAATATAGGCATGTTATTCAAAGTCAGGTGTTATAACCATACTGTCACAGACACCTAAAATTGAGATTCATGCACCTGTTAAAGTGACATTATGCTCATATTTTCATCGTCAAGTTGAGCTAAATTAACTTTATATTTCAAAAGATTGACTGTCAAAATGGTGATTGACCAACAGTTGTTATTGGAAAATGTTATGGGTAAAATGATAAATCTGTCTAAAATTCAAAAAGACTGCCCCACTCTTTTTATAAACTAAGCGTTATAGGTAAATTCTTATGGATATTTACAGAAATTTTGTGTGGATCTGTGAGTTATTCAATGTTTATGCGTACTTAAATATTAAATTAAAAGGAATTATGGCAAAATGAAAACATATTTTGACTTTCACCCGTTCACTCACTATACACCCTTGGATGGGCATAATGTCACAGTAAATAATATTTTTGAAATCAATTTTTATATACATATGTCATGTTTACCTCAATATTTTGTTGCATCTTTTTATTTGTGAGATCCATTTCAGCATATGATGCTGCCTCATTTAATTGTCTCTGAACAGTGGAATTATCCTCTAATCTCATCTTTGTGTCTGCTAGGTGGCGCTGCTCTGTAACAGACATTACCTCTGATTATTCATGAAATATGTTATTTTGTAAGATTAAGCACTGGCCAGTTTACATTGTAGAGAGCTATATATTAACAAGTAGTTTTTTTAAAATAATAAAAAACCTTTTATTTAAAACACATGAATATTGTCCAAAAACATAAATGTTACATTGATATCCTTTTCTAAAATTGGTATGTGACACACACAAATCTTTTAGGATACAGGATATATATTTTATCAATGAAATATATATGTATGACAGTACTGATATTGACAGTCACATGCTAATCTGATTGGTTAACTCACCATCTCTCTGTCTGATAGCTATATGTGCCTTGGTGAGAGCCAGGTCTGCACTCAGTTTACGTTTGGTCATTTCAGCTGACATGTTATCTCCTGCACTCTTTCTGTAAACAAATAATTACTTGTAAAGGGAGAATATCTTATCTAAAATAAATTCTTTCACATAACAGTTCTCTCCCTTTAAAATTCAAAGGCCATTTCAAAATGTTAATGAGATAACACATTAACAAATGCTTATAGGAAATTCTATGAATTATTCATTTTTGTAAATTTTTCAAACTATCACAAGAAATATTCAGAATTCTATATAATAAGTACACTTACGCAAGTTTATTTTCTACAGATTGTTTAGCGGAAACATCCTCTGATATCCTATTACTCATTTCCATTTTTCTCTCTTTTTTGCTATCAAAATTCTGTTTTCTTCCTTTTTGGGATTCCATATTTAATGCTATAGCTAATTCTGCAAGCTCCTGTTTTAACTTATATTGTTCTTGCTGGAAAAAAAACAGAAAAAAATAATGTTGAAACTTCTCAAATATATAGTTTCTAGAAATAAAACTGGACAGTTCTGAGAAAAATAACACTGTTGAAAATTCAATGGTGTACAAATGATACCACTTATGTATACATCTTATCTTTATCAAATAAACTGTCATGGAGAATAAGAATTCTATTTTCTGCAAGCTAGACACTAAACATAAAAATCTGCCTTTCTTACAATTACTAAATAATGTCAACCATTTTATAACCAAGTTCATGTATCATTATTTGCTCTGTAACAATGTTAACAAATCTCTTATTAACCTTTCAATTCAAGATTTTTCAACAAATAATCTTCCTATATAATACATGCACCACGCCATGACAAAACCAACATAGTGCGTTTGCGACCAGCATGAATCCAGACCAGCCTGCCCTTATGCACAGTCTGATCAGGATCCATGCTGTTCGCTATCAGTTTCTCTACTTGTAATAGGGTTTGTAAGCGAACAGCATGGATCCTGATCAGACTGTGCGGAAGTGCAGGCTGGTCTGGTTCCATGCTGGTTGCATGCACACTATGTTGGTTTTGTCATGGCTTGGCTCATATAGTTTACCTCTTTTTGTCTCATTTTACTCTCAAATTCCTGATTTAGTCTCATTAACTCAATTTGCTTCAACTCCATCTCACTCATCTTAGCCTTGTAATTACGAGCTAAATCAGACCTGTAATTATACAACATACATGTACACTAGTCTTATATTATCAGCAACTTTTTAATCCTTTTATTCCACATGCCTTGATATAGTGACAAATAAAAACCTGAATAAATTTTTCAAAAACTCTTAAACATTTATTCTTGTTCAGGTGATAATCTACATTTAATTTTGTGTTTTATGGAGAAAAGTTACATTATTCTGTTGAAAATGAAACACCTACCTTCCTTATTTCCACAAACTAACATTAAAAACTGGGCATGCACATTTATAATACTTCTGCCAGGCAATTAAGCATTTAAATTATTATATAATAAGCAAGTTAATATGATCACCATATTAGTTTATAATACTAGTTTTATCTTAAAATTTGTTAAAAAATTTTTTGGTAACATTTTAAAAGGAAAAGAGATAATGTCATCTCATTAACAAGAGTGCCATCGTCACAAAATATGCCTGTCACAAATGCTCTGTCTCATTGAACATTTACATTACAATCCCTATATTCATGATGTCTAAAATTAATTTTTTCACTTTGTTTTACCTTGGACCTTAAAATTGGACCAAGTGACCAGCTTCATATGTGCAAAATTATTTCTTATCATGGTGTATATTTGTGTCAAGTGATACTCAAAATCCCTTTCTGTAGAAAATATGCCTAAGCAAATTTTTACAAATAATCATCTCTGGTGATCTTGTACTTGCATATATTTACCTGAATTATGCTGATAACTTTAAATCTAAGAATTGTGAACATTTTTGATATTCTTCCTTAATTCAAAACTACAAAATTGTCCATGATACAGTAAGAAAGTATGTGAGAATAATAAAAATTCCAATTCCAGGGAGAACAATTTTTTTTTTATCAAAATGTAGAGAATTCAAGAACCATAACTCTATCCAAGAGGAATATGGTTGTATTAATGTTATTCCATGTCTAGCAAACATTGTGACCAAGTCTGCTTTATACAAGTCCAAGGCAAAAACATTACTTGTTTTCTTTATAGCATTAATATTAGCATATATCACCGCCAAGTTATTTGTGTATTCAAATTTAATTTATATATTTTTATAATATGTAAAAATGCTCAAAAATATTTGATACAGCACATGTGGTGACACACTGCAGTGCATAGGAAGAAATCAGGGGCAATAACTCTTCTGAAACCATCCTATTAAAGAACTCACTTTGTCATTTCTGTTTTCCTGCCTCTATCTTTTAAAGAATGTTCAAATGCATGATTTTGTTGAATTCTAGCCTTGGTCAGCTGAAATACACATAAAGCAAAATACCAAACAAGTGTACAAAAAAGCAAATATAGCTTTAGTATAGCTAGCATACACACACCTGTCTTAGCTGAACACAAAAAAAGCGGGTAAAGAGGAAAATGGACAATATTAATATTATCTTGTCTAAATGTGATAGCCCCATATACATTATATTAAACCTTAAACTACATGTATAATACCAACTTTTAAAATTTTGATTCTTTTATAAGCAAAATAAACTGATATTTTATTCTGCTCTGTCAATTTCAAAACTGTCAAACAAAAGGTTTTAATTAGAATGCTATGTACCTGTATAACAAGCTTTAATTTTATAATGTATAATAATAGTTTTATATGCCTTACAAGTGAACTAAGTTTACATATGACTGAATATATAGTCATTCAAGACATTACAAATTCTTTATCACCAATATGAATTATCAAAGGGACTGGGGAAGAGATGAAAGAACTTGTATCTCATAATGTCTGTTAATTTTAATTATAGGCTTGAGCTCTCAAAATTGTTTAGTATATGCAAGCAGTTAATTTGGTGTGGGTCTAAAAGTAACCTTCTTAAGTCTACATTATAAGTTCTCTTCATAAGATTATTTTAGGCCATTTTAGAAGTCAGTAATGGACATTACCTGTGACTTTATTGTTTCAAAGCAGGAAAACAAAATAACCTCACAAAAATTGAACAGTAAACAATAATTTACAAACAGAATGGTTACATATATTCGCAATTAACACCCCTTCACCAAATGAGCCAATATTAAAATATTAAACAATCAAACAACAACGGTTGAACATAGCAGTAGCATTATAGCAACATATGTTACAATGCAGTCAGTCTGTAAAATATCACAAACTTAATTCATCCATTTCTTCTGCTAATTTAATATTCATAATTATCTAAATTGTTTTACCAAAATACAGAATGAATGAAATCAAATCTGCTAAAATACAGGTGTACACTCAGTAAAATGGTGTACAGAATTTTCAATAATGACAAGGCATTGCATTTTTTGTGTAAAGCAAAAACTATTATTTTTTCTTGAAAATAAAACTATATTCTTGAAATGTAAATATAAATCATGTAATTGACTGACTGCCAGTATTGTAACACAACATTATAGCCGCCAATGATTTATTATTTGAAGCTTTCAGCCAACAATGAAAACTTACGCTTTGAGATAAACTTTTCTACCAAAGGCATGAGAACTTTGGGTGTCAACTTTGGACTTATCAGTTCTCTGCTTGCTAAGCTACAGTCACAATAAAATAAACAAGTTTATACTTCTAAAATTTGAAATCATACACTGCACTATAAAAGGCATAAAAGAGATATAAATTAGATCTTTTATGAAATGCCTTAAGTGGAGTTTCCTTCCACATTTCTGGATACATTGTCATCTTGACAACACCGTGTGAACACATCAACGGATGTTTCTTAATTCAAATTTTCACCATTTTTGTGTTTAAATGTTGAATTCTGCTTTAGCCGGTGCTAGGGGGCGTATTTTCCAGTACCGTCCATGATCAGGCTCAATCAAACTGAGCCTGCAACATTTGACACTTTTTTCTGTGTCGAGCTTTCTTTAGGGATTCTGTTATTCTCTATTCTATTAAGCAGAATGACAGCAAAATTGTTTGCTTTTAGTGGTTTAAGGAATACTTAGGGCTCGCTTTCAAACAGAAATAGTTAATCAATACAATCAGGACATCTTATCAAATACTACTCCAATGTGGGACAACTTACTGAATTTACAATTCTTCACTCCTAACATTGGCATGTCCAACCCAAAAACTCCTAACATTGGCGTTTCCAATCAATAAACAATTGAGTTTGTCAAAGAGTACTGAAACTGCACCCTTTCATACCAATTCATATAAACAGGGACCCTGCTGGTACATCCTAAATGTTGTGATGAAATATAATAAATTTTTAATCTTAACAGCTGCTTAAAGATGAAAATTGTAACATTTTTACTTTCATTACGTACATCATGTGAGTGGTGAACATAGTCTCGACGTAACACTGTGTACTTCTCTAAACCTGTATTCAACTTTTTCTCCTCTGCCATTCTCTTCTTGTTAATAACTGAAACATTATAAAGAAAACATTTGAAAGTTAGTCTTACAGTATTACAACTCTAGCCTATATGACAGAGGAAAAACTAAAGAGATTGTCATGTTGTTTTTGGTTTGTTTTGTTTTTACACTTTTGTACCAACCTTATGAATGCAAGTCAGGGAAGTTGCTCATACCAATATGTAAACATTATTTAGACTCAACACTTACATAAATGAGAAACAAGTGTACCATACATGTGGACTCCCACTTTTAGCAGCAGACTCCCACTTTCTGCAGCCTTATTTTCAAGGATTTTTCTTGAAATAAGGGGTATTTTCACAAATTAAAGATATCTCCCTCTTTTTGATGTCAGAATTTTCTTCTTCATTCATTGCAAATTTTAAAATCTCCCTCTTTTTGAAGAGGAATCTTCCACTTGATCATAGAAAAAAGTTCACATACTGGTATATGGTGTACACATATTAAATACAGACAATGGTACATACAAGCTGAAGTTTCAAATTAATTCTTCCAAAAATATAAACATCATACCATTTTCATAATCTCTAAGCATATGTCTGACAGATCTTTGGTTTTTAATAATGTCTCCCTCTGACCGCTTTAGTTCTCTTTCTTCTTGTTTATGTTGCCACATATGATCCTATAAACAATATCATGTGTTATGTTTTTTTTTTATTTACAAGTACAATAGAAGTTGTGTTGTGTTTACTATTTCTCTCTGACAGGGCTTCCATTACATTAGAAAATAAGGAGGTCAAAGACTGCAAATGTTCGACATTCGAAGTCACATATAGGTAAAGAAGGAAATGCATTATATTTTGGAAATCACAAGCCAAAATCAAGGAGAGGCTCTCAAATTTTCATTAATGGAAGCTGTGATTTCAATCATTTATTTTGTGGATAATGATATCAATGCTTGACTTTGTGTCCAACTAATATAAGTAACTTGACATGCTTTATAATCATCAGTATCTGATTAATTATATGATGTTAGTGTTATTAATAAAACTCTGTTTGTTTTCACAACACATTAACACTTGTTTTGCCATAAAAACTGTGTTGACGTCAGTGAAATTTTTCCTAAAATTAATGTGACAGGAGATTATAAATTCCGTAATGTATTTGAATATAAGCATCAATTTCATCTAAACTGTATTAGTAGTGAGTATATGTTCTACATAACCACTACCTAATCATGTCTTATGTATGTAGCAATTATTTTGAACATTTTTGAAAAAAAATTAATAGAAACTGAAAAAATTATACCAATTAGAACATAATTTCTCATATTTTTTTATTATAATCACATAGTTTTATATGAACATATTTATCTTTCTAACACTGTAACCATGACATGCACCCCTCACAGGCACCTTAGTAGAACCCTCTGTCGTCGGTCAGCTTGCTCATGTTACTAAGAAGGCTTGTGAAAGTAATATATTTTGTAAAGATTGGAAATACTGGCATCAATTATTGAATCGATTGTTGACAGTTACAAACAGTCATGCCCATTTCAGATTAATTAAGAGGCAACAAACAATCTGCACACATACATACATTGTTACTCCTCAAAACATTCAAAATCCAATATACCAATGTATAAAACTAAACTCAAAGCCAACATTTTTTTATGAATTAAGCATCACAGCAAATATTTTACATCTTGACATCACAGTTACATATTTTACCTCAAAATGAGTCTAATAACAAAGTCAAAAATAACAAATGCTATCAATTTCTTTAATATTCTGATTAAAAAATACACCGAATATAAGAAATTTAAAATAAAAAAAGAATAAATATCTAACATTGATTATTAGAAGTATAAAATTATTACTAAAATAAAATAACATTTAATTCATAAAAAATAATCATCAGGTACATGTACACTTAAAAATCTTTAATATGACCAATTACTTTTTTTAAATCAAGGCTATTCTATTCAAATGTTTAAATCACTACATTATTTTATTTTTAACATGCAAATAATTTCAAAAAGAGACATGCAATTCTAATACATATGTATTTTATCAAAGCCAAATCTAATCATTAAAACGTTATAGATCAAGATTAAATAGATCATGCAAAGTGTTAGAACATTCAAGTTTACCTTGAGTGCTTGTAAACTCGTCTAGAATAAACAAATATCTCAAACATAACAACATTTGGTGTGTGTTGGTGTGTATTATCTATTTTATTTTAAATCACTTGTCTACCATACTACGGTATAACCTCTCTATACCGGAAATGCTCTGGACCATCATAAATTTTCGGTTTAGACAGGATTGCGGTTTTTTCCTGTTTTGGCAATGAAATCTACAATACGTATTATTAAATTTTGTTCATTGAAACACTTTGGCTTGAACTCTTGTCTTAATCAACAAACATGCAGTTCTTTCAGAATGAAGGTTTGATGAAAAGCCTCATTTAAACAGAGTCTTAAATTTTCAAATAATATTGTTGTTTCACAGTTTCCGAGGGATTATCCCATATTTTGATGACAAAGAACATAAAACGGGAACCAGAAATACCATCAGTTTGGGTTAATGTAATATCTTAGGTATAGACTAGAAGTTTGCATCAAAATAATCTTGTCTAATTCTTATCTATCAACATCACATATATAGTAACAAAGATGATTCCAGCCTAGCAGCTATAACAATATCTACCAACAAGTTAGATTAATAATTGTTTCATTCACATGACACTGCTAAATAAACATGCATATAACCGTATCTGTCCTTATAATCCCAGTGGTTCCTGTAGCCAAAGATAATCCCCAAACGCCCAAAAATGGAAGGCCCATGCCAAATGTAATGTTAACATTACTTTTTTATTATTTACCTAACCAATTACATTACTATTGTAATCTGACTTCCAGTCAAAAGTTTTTTAACATTTGGCCCCTATCAGACACACAGGCAAGACATGCTTCATAAAATGAGAGATACACATATTATAATAAAATATGTATAGACAATATATAAAGAAAGAAGAAAGAACACTATGTGGTTAATAACACAGAACTTCACCTGTCTCAAATACATGATGGCTAATATAAATATACAATCACAACTGAAAATAACGTTAACAATTTAATTGTAAAAAAAATTTTGTATAAAAGAAATTATAAAAAGTACAAGGAAAAAAAAAGGAGTTAAATATCTTAACAAAATTATGAAGATGAGTAAAATAAAGGAGTATGGTACATGAATAAACTAAAGTTGTATTCCTTTCAGAGCTATTATCTTATATTATCATAAAACAGTATAGTACAAACTTTTTGTCAATATGTATTAATATAGATACAGCAATAATTGGCTGGTATGATGTGCTTGGTCTAGTAAAAAAAAAATCAACAATATCATGAAAATACATGTAGCTTGCTTATTCTGTTTGCATTTAATCTTCATAAATGTTAATTTAAAATTTATAAAACAAGAGGCTTGGCAAAATTCTAAAATTACACTCTGAAATATGTACCACATTGTCAGACATACCATACTGTGTACTGTAGAGACTTACCTCTATGACTTTAATTCTTTTGCTATGTTCTTTCTTGTCTTGTTCTATTTGTGTAGAAAGTTTAACAATGGTTGGTTTACTCTTTTCTGGCAACACTTTTTGTTTATCCTTCTCTTTCTTCACATAGAAAGTATGACTTAGTTTATTTGAATCCAGGAATCCCTCTGGGCCTACTTTTCTTTCCTGTTCTCTGAAATGATTCAAAGATTACTTGAGGATGAAAATTAAAGTACATTTATTACATATGTTTAGAATATTCTCTATAGACTAGAAAAATGATAAAAACTATTAAACAAGCTTTACTGACAGATTACAATTAAAACTTGAAAAAATGACTAACATGGCTATTGAATTTCTTTTAAAAACAATATACAGTGTATGTCTTAAATAAATATTAGTCTTGGTACAGTCAACTATATTTTAAAACAATAACTGTCTTTTAAAACACTTGCTCAAAGTAGCATAATGATTGTGAAAATACATACTTAAGAAATGCTGCATATTCCTTGCTTTGTTTGTCCCTGGCATCTAATTCTGTTGGAAGGGGAGCACTATCGGGTCTTCGTAACATACTGTACCGACTGTGAATGAGCTTACTGCGCTCAAACGGCATGTCGGATAGCACCATTTTGGAGTTTTATTAAGTTGGTGTCAAGACAGAACCTGAAATTTTGAAAGAAAGATGTATGCTCATATAAACAGAGTATAGATGAAAAGTTAAAATGATAGACATAAATCATTCCAGAAATTTGTTACAATTTAAGAATATACTGCAACAGACTCATTTGAGTATTTTGTGCCAGTATTTAACTTAGTATTGTTTATGTGATAAACAGTGTTCATGGAACTTTACCTGCAAAAACACATTTAATACAGAAAATGTAATACAAATCATGAAAATAATTATTTATATGATACAAACTATGAATACTTCAGTATTTCTCTCATTGATTTGTGACTCTCATAATAAAATATCACACATGAGCAACAAGTAAACATACATACAAAACAATTTGTACATTTGTTACATAAATTCAAAATTGTTATATAAGTTCACTAATCAATATCTATAGGTTCATAAACATTCAATTATTTTTTAAAAACAAAAACTTAAAAAACTTTGTATCATTCTCAACTTGTCAACCATGACTGTCTTTCTCAGCTAAGACCCTTACTAGTTGATTTATGTCATCAAGTTATAGCCTGTTCACACCACTAAATGTTTGTTGTTGTGCACTTAGATTACATTAAACACATTAAAATCAATGAAAAAATATATGCCTAAGTCTAATAAGTTCAAACAAAATCCTTACTTAGTACGGCACAGCCATTTTGAAAATTTTTGGACTGCTCCTATATTTGACCTATAGTTAGGTCATAGGACTCCTTTGATAAAACATTTAATTAAGAAAAGCATCTGTTCAATTCAGACTGTTGCTTGAAGACACCACAGTCTCCTATCCTAAATTTCTGATTGATAAGTACTAAAGTAATGATCAGATAAAACATAAAAAATTACTTTTTTAAAATTCCAATTAATACGCGGAAAGTCTGAGCGGGGCCAAAGGCCCCGCGAGGGCTGTAGCGCTCTTAGATAACATGTATGACGCGTATCAATTCAAATGAAATCAAATTAAAAGTAAATGAAAATTTCAAAAAAATATATATCCTAAACCTAATGAGCTGTGAAAAAATCCTTAGTTAACTGGGCGCCGCCATTTTGAAATCCTTTTGAGTTAAATATAGACATCATAGCGCTTTTAATGAGCGTCTACATAATTTAGACTATTGCTAGCTTCTGCTAAATAACACTTCCGGCGGGAGAATAATGTGCAAAATCAGAAAGTAAACATGCATTTCATTGATAAGAGCTATAGCAACGATTATAAATATAGAAAGTTACTTTTACATATCCTTTTGATAAATTAGCACATTAAAAATAACGCTAAACAACAACTGTGATTAGAGATTAACAGAAAATGGCGGACGAGATTTTCCAAACGCTGACGCATGCGCGGTGGTCCCTCTACCGCTGATAGGTTGAACACCACCAATTTATTCGTTTCTGTTTACGGTACAAAATACCTGCATTTACTTATTACTTATTTACATATTAACGAATTGCATGATAGATCTATATGGTTAACATGTACACTAAACATGAAATGCTTAAATCATAAATCATAAGAGCTTTCCGCGGGAAAAGAGTCAACTCGGCCCTATACCAACTCGGCATGGGTCAACTCGGCACGGGTCAACTCGGCCCACTTTACAAAAATATATATAACGTATTTTAATTAACTTTGCTTGGCATATTGTTAAGGTAAATGAATAATAAGACATATTTTATTATTATACATTGTACTTCTGCCGAAATAAAGTTAGAAAAAAATGTTATTTATTTGTCTTGCAGATTCGATAGAATAAGATCTAGTAAAAATGTGTTTCCTTAGATGTATTTTGTTCGTAAAGTAATATTTAAAAAAATATGAAACAAAAACGTGTTTACTTAATATCATAAGCTTCTAATCAATTGCAGGTGGTCACTAATCAAATTTGAATGAATGAGTCAATCATAATTATCACCTAATTAATCGGTATCCTTAACATACACACTGATTGATAATAATAGCCCGTGACAATAGGAGTCCTTTAATGTCTGTTTTCAATTATCTTTTATTTCAATATATATCACTTTTATACAGATCTTATTTTTGTAAAATTTTCAACATTATACAGACATTACCTTTTCCATACAAATCTTATTCATGGATGATGCTTAAGTTTTTTTACACAATAATGTATGAACTAATGTTTTTTAAAAAAAAAAAAAAAAAACCTAAATGCATTATAGAACAAAGATACGGAGAGTGGATTATAAGTAAAATATTGTTTAAACTAGAACAAAGATGCAGGCTGTAAATATCATTTATAGCTCTGTTAACGTGTCTTTTTTTTAATAGCGGACCAACAAGACGTCAGTTTTTTGGAGATGCACAAATCGATTATAAATAATTACAATAAATACAGTAAATACAAACCTAAATATTAATAATTGAAAAGTGGGCCGAGTTGACCCATGCCGAGTTGGAATAGGGCCGAGCTGACTCGGGGGCCGAGTACGTTTTAGGGCCGAGCTGACCCGGATTCCTTCTTCGCCATAGGTAGCACCTAATTTCATATTAAATCATCATGTTTAAATAAGAAACAAAAAACAACAACTCTGATTTAAGATTAACAAGAGCACTGCATGCTGTGTTAACACTTGTCTGTTACTATTCAAAGTTAAAAAGGGGCATTTAATAGTAAAAAAATATTACTTTCAGAATTATGCCCCTTGTCTAACAACTGCACCTTGTCATGATAAACAAGTATTTCAAGTTTCATGTTGATAACTTTTGAAATGTTTGAATACTGGGCCACATTTAAATTTTTGCATGATAAAAATAACAACGTAGCAGTGATCATAATAGCTTGAAAAGGTGGACAAGACATTTGGAACTGTAACTGAAGCCGTGGTTGCATCAAGGTATTTTTACTTGACAACTTCGGACATGACATGCCAGCAAAGAAAATCTTACATGTTGCTTTGTTTATTTATTTAGCCTTGTGAAACCCCGATGCATTCCCACACCTTTATTCAAGACTAATTGGATGACCGAGTTAAATTAAGCAACCGTATTTCACATAATAAAGCGATGGACTAGTTAGAGAGGGAATAAAACCCGCATTTTCCTGAGTTTATTTTTTGGTTGTGAATCAAATCTTTTATTTGAAATCACTACAAACTCACTTACATTACTTCTAGTGTTAGTTGTTCGGGTTAGCTTAGACTCAAGAGTCAAGTTGAAGATAGAGGGTTAATTAATAGAGGTATTTAAGACATGGATTTTGCTGCGAACAGACTCTAAAAGTGCTCAAAATGCTTTATCTAGCATTGCCAATATACACGTACATGCATGAGAAAAACAAAAATTTGATTCAGGTTATAAACTTGTGATGAGTTCCCCTAATTGGTGACAGGTGCTCGAACCCCACCCACTCAAACGTTGGCCAAAAATAATTAAATCAACATAAATGTCAAACATGCACTAGTTGCAGGTATTCATCCAAAGTAAAAATCCTTTGGCAAATGCAATTTATTACCTGTATCATTGTATAAACCCCTTTACATTTATGAAAATTACCGCGTAAGATTAAATGGAATACACCGGAAACGTCGCTAAGGTAAACGACAATAATCTCTAAATGTTTTGAAAATAAAATTTTATTTTTCTCTTACATATTTCAATATAAATGATTCATATTTATTTTTTTCTTATTATTAACTTATAAACATGGTATAATATAAAAAAATCGGTTAATTATTAATTTCAGACTAAAGACTATTTTAGTTGCTGTGCAACAACGATTGCGCTTATACGTACTACTTTTTTTTATAAAGACATTCTTAACATATTTGGAAAAGGCTAGATACCTATAAATTTTATCAAATAATTAATTGTTACGAAATAAATAATATATTATCTTACCAACACCCTGATTTGTATCGATAATTTCCACAAGAGAACTATTTCTTAAGCGTAACTTTTGTTTACAACAGGAGTTATCAGACATTAAAGATGGAGGAAGAAGTACCAAGTGGATCAGACAACATTGTCACTGAATTTAACACATACGAAGAATTTTTGAACTCCCAAATAACTTCCTTGGATTTATTTTATCTTGAGGTATTGTTTATGAAACGTTTTTAAATTTGCCATGTTTTCAACAATATGAAATATCCACGCAATTGATTTGTTTACATTTCTGCAATAGGCTGAATTAGTGAATAGCCTGAATCAGGAAATACTGTTCGTTGTAAAAGTCAGACCATGGTTCATCTTGCCCAGCCCTTATCAGCTGTCAGTGACTAACCTTTATCATTGTTATCTTTCATAAATGTGGCATTTGTTTCAATCATGAAATCAAATGTGATCAATCCAATGAATCAATTTGTAAAATGTAAAGTCCCTTGAAGCACTTTCAAGTGCAAACATCATTCAAGTACTTTTTGATTATGATAAAAATCAATCCTACATGTAAATTTTTGCAGTTTAACACAACACACAGACCGTTTTTGTTTCAATCTTTACTACAGCAGAGGTTTGACTAAATGGAAGTTAAAAGATAGAGATATGCAAAGTCCCTTAAAGCACTTTTTCAATTAAAGCTGTATAGTCAAATAAAAAACATGTCAAATGTATTTCAGACCATGAAACAGATTTACAGTGTATCAGGGTATATCGAGTATACTTCAAGGTACATGGAATGACTACAAGTAGCATCTGGGATAGCCTAATTAATTTGGCGTGAACGGTTTGACCCATTTTACAGACTTTTTTTTCTTTCTGTCAAACTGTTACAGTAAGAAAAAAAAGTCTGTAAAATGGGTCAAACCTTTTATGTGTTAACATAGTCACGCGCTCTTGTTATAGCCCTGGTTTAATATGCGCAATACATACAGGGCCAAGTAAACAAACAAACAAAAATGTCGATTTGTCCTGTTTGCCAAAGTGTTATATTGAAATTATTGATTCGAGGGCCTCAATCGCATAGAACGACAAACATCATTCAAGTAACAATGCCGAAAATACGGCGTATAGACATCGCCGCTAATCTTTCTAACCTTTCTAAGAAACGGACAGTTGTCAATGTAAACAAATAAATGTCATTCAGTTTAACCCTCAGATTAACTAACAAAACAAGATAACACAAAATGAATATGAGAAAATGTTGTTTCATTGATGTTTATATTGATATTTCTTTAAATAATAATGTTTAGTGCCTGATATTCTTTTATAAACTTGTGAGCTTGAAAAAAAAAAACGATTCTGACGTCACTGATATTTTTTCTACCGTCAATCTGAAATAATTCTAGGAATTTCCGAGGGTCATGTTTTGTCTTGGGCAGAGTAATTTAATGTGTTTTTTTTTCTTGAGTTAATAAATCTCCAATGTTAAGCTTTGTTCAATCACCGTTCTGAGCATTTGAATTTCCCAAGTATTGGCCCCGGAAAAATAAAACGCATACGTAAAACATGTCGCTTTACCGGGCTCAGGCACCAACCGTTCCTCGGGGCCCTACAGACGTTATAACATGAAAAAACATGTGTTAACCCTATAAACTAAACTTGTTCACTTTTTGTTTTTTGATGGTTTTAGGTTATTAATTTCAGGATGAAGAGCTTGCACGTCAGTTGGTTGAGTTGGGATACAGAGGTAGTGGAGAGGTTTTAAAAAGGGAGGAATTTGAGGCTAGAAAAGCTGCAGCTGAAGCCAGTAGATTGTCTAAAAGAAGCCAGCAAAAGTAAGACAGCATATGAATTAGTAATTTATTTGTAGTGCATTTTCTGTAGACTTAGCATGGGGTTACAGTCGTAGCTCATGCATATAGGCTAAGTTATTATTGTCTGGTGTATTACATTTCTTATACTGAGGTTACTCTAACCATTGTGACTTAATCCTAATAGGAAAGAATGAAATCTTCATAATTATATACTTTTAACATGTCAAGTCATTTTTAGAAGAGTGACATTGAAAAAAAAAATTGCATGAAATGTACACTAAGCTTTTAGCTCAACTCTCTAAAGAAGAGTGGGGCTATCCTACACATGCCAGTGTAAACTAAATTGGCGTAACACCTTGGTTCAAGCTTTACATGTATCTTCAATTAAGTATTTATTTATCCGGGCTGTTATTTAACTATCAAGCTCTGAGAATAGTTGAGCGAACTAGCCTTCTGAAAGCTTTTGTTTTTATTTGTCTTTAACTGATTAAGTCAACTGATAACAGTTTTACAGAAAAAAAACTATTAAATGGGGTGTTTTTTCATTGCTAAAGGTAATATAATGAATATTCTTTAAAATTTGAGTAAACGATTTCAGGACACTAGCTCACACTGGAAAAGACCTTAGAAATCCATTTTTGAAAGCTCTCGCATCAAAGGAAGAAGCAAACAGAAGTGGCAAAATGACAGTAAGAAAACTTTGTAGTATTTACAAACATTTAAAATGACAGCAATTTAAATTTACTGTAATATTTACTTAACATTGAAAAATAATAGTCTTCACAGTCTATAGTGCAGCATTCCTCATTCTTTTCTGTGTTTTAGTTTTAATTTTTTGCTTGAATTGTATTTGAGTTAAAAAATGATTAACATTTATTTTGTGTTACAGACAATAATTTTTATTCGTGACAAGAATGCAAGAGGACAGGAGATTTCAGGTTACATAGACTATGCACACAGAATGAAGACTGAAGATTTTGAACCATATTTTGCAGGAAAGAAAAGACTTCTACCCCGTCCATCTGATCTTAGGTACTACTTTCATAAACTTTCATCTCTTTGGTATTCATCTGTTCAGTCAGTAAGATGTATACATTATTTCAGTGAGTCATTTGCTCAGTCAGTCAAATCTCTGCTTTTCCTTTCATGACAAATTTCATTTTGAAAAATTAAACTATTGAGAAACTTATTATAGGTTCTTAATATCAATGGTACAAAAAATATATTTTTCCTACAAATTTTTTGAATGTTACAGTTATCTTAATGATATTTTCTGATGAATTGTCATAGTATATTTATTGATTTTCAGTTTCTACAACTGGGAAACTCAGACTTCCACATCAAACCCTACACCAAATTACCAAGTGATTGCTGAAAATGCATCTGGCCTCCTGTTCAAAAATAAAAGAGACAGAAAAATCATCAATGTTGATCCAAAGGTATTGTCTAAAAGTATCTGCTTTTTATTACCATTTAGTAGAATGAATTTACACTTTTAACTCATTAGTAAGTAATAAAACATATAATCAAATTATTTGACAATATTGAAAGTGAAAACTAGACAGTTAATTGAAGCTTTGATATCCATTTAAGTAACATGTCACATTATTTTGTCATGTTTCTTCTCTACCAGTACATTTAAAAGCTTTCTCTTTCCATCTATCCTTGATCTTGAAAGCGCAAACCTCTTATAGATGCCTGTGTTCATGTATTTTCAGATTTCAAGCCCTGGTGACAATTCCACAAGAACTGTGATAACATTTGACGAGGAAGACGAGTCACCTAAATACACACAAGTTGTTATATATGATCATATCACTAGACGAAAAACGTGAAAAACTCATACACACACTTTATATATTTTATACAATATTGTTTTATGTTTTTTATTATGGACTGTGAAAAAAATGGAAATTAAACAAGTTCTTGTTTTTTGTAAGTAAAATCTTATTGAACAAACATCACCATGCAGGAAAAGTGTTATAAAGGTAGCTATTTTACGTATATACCTACAATCATTGTTGAAGAAATCTGTTTGAAGAAATCTGTTAAAATTTAATCACAGAAATCTGTTAAATCTAATCACAGAAACGGAATGAATACAGCAGATTGTGAAATGCTTGCATCCAGAATGACCTCACAGTTTGTACAGAGTTAGTAATTTAGTACATAACTACATGTCCAGTCTTGTTACTAGAACACTCTAACAACCTGACTTTTGTTAACAAGATACTGCCTGATAAATGTTTGTTGGGTTTTCAGTGGCACAAACACTGTTAAGGTCAAATGGTGACTTTCCAGCTTTACTAGAGGAGAATCTCATGTGCCTCTTCATGCATTATACATCATAACATGTGTTATAATTCATTATAAACAACCTTCCGGCTATACTATCCTATAATTTTGCGGCATGGAAATATTTGCGATTTTTGCGAAATTGAAATTATTCACAAATATTTGATCATACAAAAACTCATTTCATTTTATCACACTTTCTTCTATCATTTGAAAATATGTTTTCATACAGCATCTTGCATGAATAAGTTTGACTGTTTTTCACAAATATCTCCGCTTGCAAAATGTCCACTTTTTGACATTTGCAAAATTTTTGACATATGAATATCCACTTACGCAGTAATTACAAAATTTGTTACTTAAATGTCTGTTCAATTTGTATGATAAATTTCTTCATGATATAAAACAAACAAGTGTTACATATATTTCCATTTTATTTTTTATATCCCATGATAATAAGGATCAATAACAATAATTCACAACATGTTATAAATATTTCCCTCACTGTACAAAAAAGTGCGCAATTAAACAAAGTCATTGTATTTACGCTATCAATCTAAATACAGAAATTTTACCACAAGTTAAGATCCAACAAAGATCCGGTACATACGGAATATTATGTTGTAGTAGCTTTCTAAGGCTTTGTATTTTTCTACGAGCAGCGGTGGAAAATTGATATCTCGCGAGACCGAAGGTCAAGCGAAATATCAATTTTCCAACGTTGCGAGTAGAAAAATACATAGTCTCAGAAAGCTACTATAACATAATTTTCCTTTTATTATATACCATTTCGTTTTATTCAGAAAATGAAATGTAGTTGTCAAGAAATAAATTCATGACTGACGGATGAATACGTAATTCTTGCAAACCGGCCACGCCTTTAATAATTTTGGTTCCCGTTTTCAAATGCAACGTTATACAAAGCTAAGATCGGAACCAACGTCATAAATAGTCCGGCACTTCCATATATGGTACCGTATTTGTCACTTACATAATACGGAAATTTCTATCCGTTGAAGTGTATTTGCGCTTCAATATTTGCGTGTATTTTAGGGAGAAAATTTATAGGTATATAATAAAAGACTTTACTCTTACAGATTGTTGCTATTATACATAACCTGACCATTGTTAAATCATGAAAATTGCAAGATTAAACACATGCAATAATTCATAGATTATTTAGGTTGAACATTGTCTGTAATCAAGCTAAAGTACAATGAACAACAACAACAAAAAACCCATAAAAAATTTTAATTACATAATGTGCAAATAAATATTAAGAAATTTTCTTAAAATAAGTAATAAATATAGAATGAATTTCATTAACAAAGTTTTCCAAACCTGCATTACATGTACATAAAATTCGGATAACTTAGTACATGCACTATAAATTAACATGAAACTCAACAGATAACATTTTACAATACTAGATATCACAGTTCAAAGCTCTAAAGACATACATTTAATGTACCTGTGCTGCTTAGATATCGAAGTAAAATCACCACTTATTAACTTACTGGTTTTAATGCCTTATTAAAGGCAAATAATTAGCCAATCTGGTAATTATGAAAGACATAGGTCTTGTCTCTTAGAACATCTAGTAAGCATTTATGTATTGTAAATTATTTACTTTCATCTTGAGCTAGATAAATCTTGTGGAAAAAAAACAACACCTTGTCCCTTAGATGAATAAACTTGCAAACCTAACTTAGGATGAAATATTGTCATAGACCTTCAAATTTGATTGTAGTATGTACAGACTGGGTTTGCACTGATAATATAAGGAACACTTAGTTTTAATTGTTTGTGAATCTTATATAAGTGTCTCTAGGGATGGCTCAATTTGACCCCAGGTGCCATGGTTTTGATAAAGAGGTCAACTTGATAATGCCTGATGCAATGTAACAAAATTTTAATAAGTTCCTATTCATTCTTTTGGCAAACAAATTTTTGCATAGAATCATTATTTTGAACAACTTTGGAAGTCATTCACCAAAGGAACAATCCTTTTAAGTTTGGCTAAAATCAGACTTCTGGTTCTTGGTTTATACAGAATTTATTTTAGTTCAATTGTGCAGGAAGCTGTAAGTAGTATAACCAGTACTGACCAACGAGTGTAGTTTCTTGCTCAGGAAATCAACCGCTTACCCATGACCGGGTATGACCCCATGCTGCTAGTGATCCTAAGTTTTCTAGTCTGACATGTTTACCTTTGGCCATGCTGCTACTTCTGGTTCTTGAGACAAAGATTATGAGAAATTCCCTATATAATCTGTATAACAGATACAAACAAGTGATTCACTATATGCTACTGCATCACAGATGTTGCTGATATTATTGTGAGAAAATTTATCAAAACCCTAGCTTGTTGTAACCCTCTAAAATATTGTCAACAAATTTACAGTTCAAGAAAAGCCAATATAATCTGGAATGTGAATCCCCTAAAAACTATGCCAAGATTATGTAAGATCATTTTGCAATTACAAAATGTCTATCTAAATAATAAATACAGACAGTAGTAATAATGATGAGTGAGATACATAGTTCAATAAATTTTGACAATAATTTGTACAATGAATGTCAATGATGTATTCAGATTAGTTCAAACTACTTTTAAGTGAATTCATAATTCAATGCATTTCCTATAAAATATACTTTTCTAAGGTGATTTAAGTTCACAAATATGTATCAAGCCTAATTATCTTATGAATTAGTCATTACAAAAGTTAAAGTGTGCAACTTAAGTTTTTTAGGATTGCTTTGTCTTGATTTTTTTACATTATCAAGTTCAACCCCTTGATACATAATGAACCTGCTTTGCGTTTAATTAGAGCCTGTAGATTTCAAGTTTTTGAATAAGCTGAGTGGCAAGCAGTATTTAGTTTCTATATAGAAGTCTGTATAGATGTGCAGGCTGAATTTACTGGTGTCATTAACATAGATATGTCATTATCTTCACAAGCATTTAAATGATTACATGACATTAAGCAGAAATATCTGTCATAAGGTATATAACATGATGTAAGTTATGGAGGAATGTATCACATTTTTCTCTCCAAAATTTCAACGGACAAAATTCCAACATGAGCTGATGAGCTTTAGTCATTTAGTCAGCTAGAATGGTGTGATAGATCTAGTTCTGATATCTGAAGCTGTAATCACACCTCACTTTCTCTCCACCATACTGTCCTCACAAAACAAGAACTGACCGTCAGGACTGGCTTAATAAATGATTTATCTGAAAAATACCAAACAAATTGTTAAATACAAATGTACAGTCAATTCTCTGCCAGAATAAACCTTAAATAATGACAACATGTTTAAAACTTGAAAACTGACATCATATATATTCTCAAAGGATAAATCTACAAGGCAAATAAACTTGAATCAAAGGCAACCTGCTAACAAACATAGCTTTATTTGTGTCTTACTCTCATGGTATTGAGCTATTGATTAATATTGCTGCTAGGGCTTTGGGTTGCATGAATTACATTATAGAAGCAAACAAAACACCTGATATAGATATACCTGGGCTTTATACATTTCCTTAACATCAACAAGATCAAGTTTTAATTCCTCAGCTTCCTCTGTCTTCTCTCCATACATCTGTAATAACGCATTATAACGCTGGTCCAAATCCTGTAATCATCATCAAATAATTGTTTAAAATCTTGATTCTAACACTATCGGAAATTTTTCTATATAAACAAGGAAGGCCCGAAGCGTGCATTATTCTGCCGTTCTTATTATCTCCATGTGTATTTTCACATTGAGGGCGCCATTTTGTTTGAAAAATCTGATAAATAAAAACAATTTTTTGTCGAATTTTGTTGTGAAAACTATCTAGAATGATAGAAAATGGTCTAACTAAGAAGATAAATCCGAACACCAATATCTTTAATTCAGTCGTTAACGCTGTACAGACGTTTAAAGTGTTGTTTACGTGACGTCACAATGTAGCGCCAAACAGCACGTGCAAAACAATCAAAATCAAGTACGCTATTTTAACGTCGCAGACGAGTTAAGTTTTACATTTATTTCACTTTTAATAATTTGTATTTCGCTTGGAAAATTATAGACTGAAATAAAATAAACAAACAAAGTTTCATCAACGTTTTCAAAATTCGTTATTCTAAAAATGTTTCTACACACGGTAGATTTAACGACAGTTTTTTTCAACCCGCTGGAACGGCCTTTAAAGATCGTTTCTATTGGAAACTCTGAGGCGAAAACAAATTTAACCGCCAAATATAAAGTCCAACTTTATAATAATAATTATATTTTTTCTTGACGTGTTAGAATGGAAATAGATATTAATTCTTCGTGCATTATTGTATAATAATGCACGTTTTTCGTTCAAATGCTTTGTAATTAATCACTCAGGCCTATCGGCCTTCGTGATTATATTACTACGCATTTGAACTCAAACCGTGCATTATTCTACAACAATGCACTCAGAATTGATATCTATTTCCTAAATAATCACAAACTTTATAGATTAAGAAAACACCTTAGAAAACTTTGAGCTTATCAACAAATACAACATAGCTGAAACTAGTACTGCTTTATCAACTGTTGACTATATGCTGTATCAAAAAAGTCTCCCATTTTTAAAAAAAAAATTTCGTCTTTCTGGAAAATTGATATAAAACCTTCAATATTAGAAAATCTCAGGTCTAATTAACAAAGTTTTCGGATAAAAGTAAAAATATATATAATTCTAACACATGATTTATTTTAATCTCTTCAATTAAATGGCTTCCATATTGCTTACCATTTATATAACTAGCATTGCTGATATATTATAGATACATAGTTCTATATAGAATAATATACCGTATATTGTTCCTCTAAAAGTGGTAAATCTTTCACTTTCTCCTCGAGATTGTCATTTTTGTTACTAAGATCCACCAACTCTCTCGCCATTGATTCCCGAGTACGCTCTAAAGTTCTTATCTCATTCTGAAATATATTATACAAACTTAAATCTTCATTTTAATTTCTGTTTCTGTACAATGAAGGTTTGAAAGTTAATGATCACAGGTTTGCTTTACAATAAATATTACTATGGTAAATGCTACATTTACTGGTTTCCTAGCTGTTTCTGGCCACAAATCGCACTTTTTAACAAATAAAATAAAAATCAGTCTACGGAGGGGCACAAAACTTTGACAGGACAAAGTTAGGTACCTGTCCAGCATTGCCATGTGTTTAATGTTGAACTTTCATTTTACTTTTTGATTTGAATATAGGCCTGAAATGTAACGCCTTTTTTCACCTTTATTAAAAAATTCATTGCAGTTTGCCAGACCATTTTTATTTTGAATATAATTCAGTAACATAAAGCAATATTAAGATGATTTTATCAGACCCAACCTTTTCCTTGTCGTCTGCAAAAATATTTTCGGCAGTATTGATTTACCTAAAATGGGGTCTTAGTTATTGCGCATGGATATTCAAACTAGAATTCCCCAGGTGTTGCTTATTTTTGAATGTTGCAAGTTCTCTTATGTAACTTTTAATAACAGGCAAAACTTAAAGACATATAAATCGTTCTACTATTTTAAATGCTGTTTAGCATAGAAAACAAATGTTTCTCTGATTGATGAAGTAATGTGGATGCCTTACTGGTAAAAATAGACTGTACTGGACGAAAATGATAAAGGGCCGGAAAACTGCTAGGGGATAGAAACTGTTAGGAAACCAGTACATTGCCAATGAATATTGTTTACAAACATAATTATATACATGTAGATAACACAGGAATCTTCGTTTACAACTTAATCTGAATAAAAAAAACAAAAAAAATCCCCTAAATGTTAATATATTAGGGTAAATTAATGTATAAAGGTGCTCATATATTTCTTTGCTACAGAGCTAGCTTTCATACTGGTGTGGAAATGTCTGCAACATATAAGTGTGTAAGTTCAGTTCCTGGCCAAAGTTGAACAGTTTCATCATAAGATATGATAAGCATGAAGATTTAACTTGAGTAGTGTAGTAAATTTTACCTGGAGATGAGATATCTCTCCCTCCCTGAGTTTTAATTGTGATTGTAAATTTTCGAGCAAGTTAGCAGCTCCACTTTGTCGTAATGCCTCATATAAACTTTGTTTGTTCCCATTAGGTGATGCCAACACAAAACTCCTGTCTAACTCCTCCTAAAACATGATATAGTAAACATTGCAATCAAACTACATATTAACAAATTTTATTTTTAACTGTCTAATCAAAAGTGGTTCAAACACTGAATCATTTAAACAAAGATTTATTTAAGAGAACAAATGGGTATTAATTGTAACAGTTAATAAAAATACTCAATTTTCTTAAAAAACTTGTAAAACTATTTCTCTCACTCTATATTTATGATCAGTAGCAAAAGTTGAAATGAAACCATAATGATATAGCTATGTAACTCCTAACAAACTATGCTGGCAATGCATGACACTACAGTCTGACTAATGACATTGAGGTACATGTACGTTGTGTTTTACATATAACCTGTTACACACATAATATATTGATGTATATATAACAAACCTGTGTTATAGCGGAGAAGGAATGTTCATGTAGACTTCCGACCATACTATCTTGTCTAGATACGGAGACAGGAGATGGTGTAGCTCGTACAGGAGTACCTCGTGATCTACTCGAACTTCTAGCTATATCTCTCTCCTACTCATATATTGTCATATAATTGTTAATATCAAACTAATGAATAAAATTATAAACAAATTCATACAGAAAATCATTATACTTGAGATATGAACTTTGTTATCAAGCTATAAAAGAAATTTTCTCCATGTTTTATATTTTGCAACCTTGCTCAAGCTGCATGGCACAAATTATCTATTTCCTTTATACTTCTACACTGTATTTCTTGATACTGATTATTAATTATACATTTAATCTAATACAACACTGAAACAATGCTTATAAAAGTAAATATTTTAGAGGTAAATATTGCAGGTAAATATTTTAGAGGTAAATATTTTAGAGGTATATATTGTAATAGATATTTACCAGATCTCTAATCTGGTCTTGTAACATGACAGTTTTCTTCCTCTCCTGTTCTAGCTTGGATTTCTCCACATCTAGTTGTGTTTCTAGGAGCAGCTGGGAAAATATATATACATACTTTTTTAAAGTAATACAAAAGGCTGGATCATGTAGAATTTTCTAAGTTCAAAAGGGGCCATAATTCTGTATAAAACCCATGTTAGAATTATAGGCCTTAAACAGTACATATAGCTCTCAATTATGTGTGTGAAGTTACAACCAATTACCTGATACCAACTTATATGCAAAAACTTCACCAAAGTGTGCCTTGGTGAGTACAATAGTGCTCCCTACTCTTAAAAATAGTCAAGCAAAAAATTCACAATAGTCATGTGACCATAGGACATAAATTCCAAACTATAATACATGACAATGAATAACTATCATCTCTGTGGCGGACATATATAATCATATCAATAAAGCTAAAGCACACAAATTTCACATTCATAATAGTGCCATATATCAGAGACTGGCAATTGTATCTGTCATAGCTAAACATTAAATAACTTTATGATATCAATTTTAGCCAATCAATTAGAAAACTAGAAACTATTAAACAACAATTAGAAAACTAGAAACTATTAAACAACTGTAGACATGATAATTACCTTTTGTTTCTTTAAATCTTGTATTTCTTGTCCCATCTGTTGTTTCATAACTTCTATCTGGGCAGCTTCACTGTAATGTAATATCAAAATATCAGAACATTTCTAATATACTCTTCTCATACAATAATTTTGTCAAAAGTGCATGAATCTTGAAATTTACAACTTCAGTGTCCTGGATTTAAAGGTATCATATGACAGTTTTGTTTATCAGTCTACTGAGCACTTATGAGCATCAACAATTACATTACAGGTTATTTTGATTCAAGTTAGACTATGTATTTGCTCAAACAATATCTGTAATGAACTTGTAACTTTATTTACAATGTAAGACTATGCTTGTGTACATGTTCTCCTTGAAATGCCTTAAATATTGCATACATTACATTTTTTTTTTAAATATAGATGTAATAAACAATTACATTTACTTATTCATTAACCCTTAACTTGCTGAATTTCTAAAAATGGTAAGCTGTTATATTTTGAAGAAATAAAGATGAAGAATTAAATTTAGTTAGCCAACTGCATAAACACTGGTCAGAGTGCATGGATGTCCAGGCTGGGGCCTGGCAAAAGGGGCCCTTGAACACTTTTTTGTTTTACAGAAGGCCCAAAATTAAATTTTGTTTTCCCAATTTTTGCCTTAAGTTTAAGAAAATTCCCCAATTAAATTTTTTGGGGTTTTGGGTTTTTCCTTTCTAAATTCTTTTTTTTTTAGCTTTCAAAAAAATTTCCCAGTTTGGGGCTGTAAACTGAGACCTCCCTTGGTTTTTTAACCTCGAGTTCTGGTGTTTCAAAATAAAAGTCACTTTTGACCCTAATTTCCAATCCAACCCTTTTCTTTTGGCTTTTTTCTCCCCTTCTCCTTTGGCCCAACCCAGGAAATTGAATTTTGTGTTTAAAGCAAAAAATGGGAAATTTTAAACCCTTTATAATGATTTTTAAATTATATAACAGGCTTTGGCTATGAAAAAATACCCTTTTTTTTCAGCATCTACTACGGGGTTGTTAAAAATAAAGAAAGTCCTGTATATTAAATCATTGGTAAATAATGAAATCATAAATATGAAAATGTTTTGTCCTCAGGAAAAAAACGAAATCAAACAATCAATGTACAATGCATATTAGTTGCACTATCAAAATAGCTCTAACAAAAATTCTTGTTGTTCACATAACATGATCAATACACTGTCACAGAAGCATATATTGACAAGAAATGACAAGTTAATTCATCAAAACAAAAGTAATTATCAATGAAATTCTTTAATTTAACAATTTTTGCTTTAATCTAATGATAACCAAGTGTAAGAGTTAGTATAGTAACATACAAAGTCTGTCAGATATGTTTCTCTCCACTTTCTCCCAGGTAGAAGATTGAGCATTATATGTAGACTGTAGATTCTCTATCTGTCTCAATAATGGACGTGTGGCTGTGGGAAAATATAAAACATATCTCTCATTTAATTGGAAAAAACATATTTATTTATACACAGTGGGTGTTTTTACTATAAATTTTTGGTTTCAAAAGATGTTCATATTAAATAAATGTTTATGGATAATTTTAATTTGCTATATTGCAACATATTTTTAACAACCAATTTTCCACTACACAAAGTACACTTTATATATATACAAGGCCAAACTACATATGAAAATAGCAAAATCATCACAAGATGACATTGGTCCTGCAAAATATTCGACTTAAGAATGGGAGGTACGTCGACACTCTCCAATTAGAATTTATCTGGTCAACTCAATACCTGGTCGTGAATACTGGTTCCTATCATAAAGCAAGGAATTGAAGCTTACCTAAAGAAACACCTTGAGTAAGTTCTTGGTTCCTAGCTTCATCTTCCTGTAGTTGCTGAAATAATACTTACAGGTAAATATTTCAGTCGAAAGGTAGATGTATAATAAATTTAACAAAATATTTATATGTTGTCAGAAAATGCTATCTTTATATAAAATTTACTCAGAGTTCTGAAGAATAGTGTTAAATTAAGTTTTACTGCATCTATGTATAAGATTACTAAAATTAATTAATAGACAGAAATGTAAAGAAGAAAAAAAATATTTGCCTTCATTTCCTCTATACCTGTAATACTGTTTAAATCTTTTTATGATTTTAGTTAACCTAAAATTTGACATTTACTGGCTAAGATTTCTATTTCTCTATGTACAACATATTATGACATATTCATATAGCTCTTTACCTTCTGTAGATCAGCAATCTCTTGTTTTAATAAATCTTCTCTTCTGTTATATTCCTTCTCCATTCTAGTCATACTTAATCTATGATCATCTATCTGTCAGTCATAAAAGTATAACAACTAAAGTTAATGAGAACATGTGAAAATTAGATTGAAATTCTACAAACCTTTAAATACTAAAATATAGGTTTAAAAAAAAAAGAAATGCAAAACATCACAGTCTGTCTGTCACAGGGCTTCCATGAAGTTCCAAACTTAAGTAAGTCAGAGACTGTGAAATCTCTGACATTGGAAGTCACATTATATAGGTAAAGAAGAAAAAAACATTATATTTTGGAAGTCACCAGGCAAAATCAGGAGTAAATATATGATTGCAAAATTTCAACTAATGGAAGCCGGTCAGATTCACACAATACTTTTACACTTGTATTTGATTTTTGATTGATTATTCAAAGTCAGAGCAAAATGCAAAGTCAGCTCTTTTTTTTACAAATGTATTTGAAAAACCTTCTACAGTCAACACTATCTATATGTCCACTACACAGTCAAGAGTTCATTTTGATATCTGCTGTCATAAACGTAAAATTAACAGTACAAGATTTTTTTCAAATGCATCGTCTCTCACAATAAATATGAAAGGTTAAAGAAGCAATGTATTTCTTAAACCATAATGTATACATGTTTCATGTTATAGAAGTATTCAAAGTTGTCTATCTGACTTACCTGCATATTTAAAGATTCAACACTCCACTTGTGTTGTTGTTGTTGTTTCTCCAGTTCTCGTTTCAGTTCCTCCCTAACTTGCATCTCTGCACTAAGGGCTGCTTCATGGGCCTTGCTGTCCTGGGCTGCACTGTTACGATGTAGCTCCGCCATTTCTCTAAAATATATAATATCACGTTCATATCCAAGCATTATTCTTTATAATTAACCTTGTACTATCAATTTGATCAGAAACAGTGAAGACTCCAGAATAATAATATAGTTTAGTCATTGCATAAATGTTTTGCAATATATATGTTAAATACTTATCTAAATAAGAACAGAACAGAACAAAGCAGATTTTATAAATATTCAATATGTCATAAACATAACAGTTCCTTGTCATGTAACATGATATAAAGTTGACGTACTTGTAAGAGTTGTCCAGTGCCACTTGTAAACCCCTAGCTTTCTCTGTAGCATCCTCATGTTCACTCTGTAAAGGGAAACAAATCCTCTTATAAATATCAAAATGTATTACCTCCCTTTGTCCAATTTGTTCACTTAAAAAAACATTTCATTTTAGAATGAAGAATTCTAAATAATTGCTATTTGTTATTTCAAATAAGATAACTTAGTTAAGAATTTAAAATCAAATACACTACTGGACAAACTTTCTGGCATACAAGGTTTAACATGTGTTAATACAAACTCTTACCTTAAGTTTGACCATTTCTTGTTCTTGTTTCTTTACAGCTGATGTTAATTGAGCAATTGCCTCTGTAAACATAGAAACACTTTATTTATGACTGAAATATTATTTTGGTAAAAAAATATTCAGAATATACCTTAAATTTCATTAATAATATATAAGAAGTTCAAAACTTTTATTAGCATTATTTTGTTGAACTGAAATGTTAATGATAACACGTCTTGAAGCAAAAACACCTGTCAATAGAGACAGAGTGAACATTTCATATATGTACTAACAATTATCTTCAACAACTTGATCATCTATAACAAAAGCCTCAGTGAAGAAATTAAATTCAGTGTTTATAGCTTATATGCTTCTACTATCTTTATCATGTAAAAACACTAACCGCTTTGTTTTTTCTCCAGATCTTCTTTGGATTCTAAAACTTTATGAAGATGTTCAAGTTCTGTTGTCTGAGTCTCAATCTTCTTCCTGAATAAACAAACAACAACTTGTATTTCTTTTTCAAAATGTGGTGGTAGTATCTGTAGTTTTCACTCGGGATTACGACATTAAGCCACATTGAATTTACAAGAGTACAGTTCAGCCACAGCATTGTTCCTGGGACGGTTGTCATGCAGTTAACCAGTACCAGGTGCCTGTACTTTCACAAGGAACTGAAACTTCTGTACATGCCAGAGCAGAAGTACAGTACAAATGACCGTAGAAAGGATTTCATTATCAATCACAAAGAAAGTGACCTGCACTGTTTGAGAATCAAACCCGGGTCACCCGATTCACAGTCAAACTCTATCCATTGAGCTAACCGAACAACATTATTTTCAAAGTAATGGCATTTGGATATAAATACAAACTATAAACAAGTTAAACACATACAAGTAAATAAGTGGATGATTTAATTTTTACAGAAGATGGTAGATTAACTATCTTATATGACATGACAACAGTGTCATAAACTACCTTTTATATATAACATCGATTTAAATGATTAAAATGACTTTATATATATCTGAGACTCCTGTCTCTCTGTATAACTTACTTTTGGCTTGTAATGGTACTATCATTATCTTTTTCTTTCTGTCGTAATTTCTTTATAATTGTGTTACTTTGAAGCTGAGACTTTGACAACTTTTCACCTAGAAAACAATCAATCATTTGTATTTAATGAAATATTTTACTTCAATTGAAGAGGACAATTACTGATCTGTAAAATATCTATACATAAACATTGAAATAGTTAGGTGTATTATATATACAACTAATTTGCAACAGTTATTGTTTTACATTACAAATAACCTAATAATTATACTCTTCTGGTTTAACTTACACACTGTATTATATATGTATATATTCAGTATTTAACACATTTATTGAGTAAACATGATGAATACTGTGAAATTCTTCATTTTGAACACAAAGTTTAGACCAATCAAAAACATATCATATAATGATAACACTATAATAAAACATCTAATAATCTTACCTTCTTGTAAGAGTTCAGATATCTGTTCTTCTTTCTCTGCCAGTATTTCCTTCAGACTAACATCACCTGCTCTCTTAGCTAACTCTGCCTGGCTATCTTGTAACTGTTTCTTTATAACCTCCTTCTCCTATAATATCATTTATCATACAGTATGAAACTCCACATTAATATCATTATTTTATGGCTGATAGCACAACAAACAGACTGGATAATGTAAAATTTTCTACATTCAAAACAGGCCATCATTTTCTACAAAATTTTAAATCCAAAACTTTATTGTATTTGGATGCAAAAATTGAAACAACCAAATAAAACATGTTGTTTTGTATTTCATCATTTCGTTATTTAGCAATATACATAATTATGATCATGAAAATGCAAATAAATAGACATCCGTGGTAAATCATTGTCAGAACGGGACATTGAGAAAACCGGACAGCTGAGAAAACTGGAAAAAACCCTCAGTCTGAAAGCCGTCCGCTTTTCTCAACTTTCACTGTATATATAAAATCTACAAACTTTTATTGCACTAGACACTCTCATCTCGGCATCTGTAAGTCTTTGAGTGAATTCTGCTGTCAGTTCATTAACATCGGTCATCTCTGCTTCCCTTGCCTCTTCTGCCTGCTGTAACTGGCTGTAATACATATTATATACAGTGATTATACTCATCTACAGTGTTATCACCAACACACATTATATACAGTGATTATACTCATCTACAGTGTTATCACCAACACACATTATATACAGTGATTATACTCATCTACAACACACAATATATACAGTGATAATACTCATCTACAGTGTTATCACCAACACACATTATATACAGTGATTATACTGATCTACAGTGTTATCACCAACACATATTATGTACAGTGATCACTGTAATACAATACAGAATACAGAACAATCAGGTTTATTCTTTTACTAATAAAGAGATTCCTGTCCAGTCAACTTAACTTTCTTAGATTAAGTTTGATAATTGTCTTTCTATGAGACTGAACATAAGTCATATATTTTTTCTATATCACCCATGGCAACCTGCTTATATGATCAATCACTGACATGCACCATGCTAAAAACAAGATCTACCAGACAGGCAGCATGCTTCACTATTTTCAGTACATGAAAATAAAACAAAAACCAAAATGCAAATTCAGTCATAAGTTCACAGAGAAAGATTATTCAAAACAAAATCCATGCTAGAGTTATGGATCTTTGTCCATGAACTAAAATTATGATTCTTTAGACAAGTATGATGTTGAAGTGAATACCTTGAGTGGGAGTGGTGATAGATGTTGCATGCAAATCGTTTACCAAGAATTTTTAAAGTTTAAATAATTAAACAATTTAGTAAAGGAAAAGCATGCTAGATATTGACCTACATCAGGGTCGTTAAATAGACCTTGCCTACATTCATGATCCTGGAGACATGTCCGTAGTCTCAAATTTATACCTTCTGAAGAAACCAAGAACCAGTGTTATGCAAATGTAGGACAGTCCCTTATTTCTTGAATTGTCAAGCTATATAATGACAATGGCTACCACTGTTCTCAAAAAATCATCCAAAATATGTTGTCAGCAGCAAATATAAATCAGCTATATGAGCAAGATCTATTTTTTAAAGAAATTTACGTCGAACCAACACAGTAGAGGTCAAACGGGGACTTTCCAGCTTTATTGGTAAAGTGCCCCTCCATGCATTATTTCAGGTACAAATGACCACTTGAGTAGAACCACCAATCTTCTGTAAGCTAACTGAACAGCTTCCTCACATGGAATGACCTCAAGTCCCTTGCAGGATTTAAACCCACAGCAGAGGAACAAGTAGTTTGAAGTCAACGACCTATAGACCCTTTCATTTAAGACCGTATTCAAGTTGTCGCCCTTGGATGACGTCATTGGGGGATACGGTGGACAATGCCGATACGATTAAGTACAATATAGAGGGATATAATTAAAGATCTTAATCCTTTCTCTTTTAAGATTGGCAGATTGAAATTGCCAAAATTTTGTGTAATTGAATAAGATATTACATAAAAAGGATGGTGAAATGAATAAATATGATTACTATTTGTTTTAATAGTAGACCATATTCCTGGGTAACTGATCATGATTACCATATTCGTTAGATTCTTAATAATGAAAATTTTACCAGGCAGTTAAATCGTATTAACTTGCTAATACCAGAGATATAATGTATCTATGTCTCTGCTAATATACAATACCCAAAATATATTTTGAGTTTCAAAAATGTAAGGATTCTGTAGTTTCGAAAAACGGCTGCGTAATAATTCATTGCAAGATACCGGTTAATTAAAAATCATTTTGATTTAAGCATTACTAAGACAAAAGAAAAGAAAACAATATAAATCTATGTAATTTCAAAAAAAATGTAAAGGCATAAAAAAGCAAAAATTCTTTTGAATGTACATGACTGTATACTATTTGTGTCGGCAAAAATGCACTTTCAAAAATCGTACATCGCGCCAATATATTTAAGCTGGTAAAGTAATATTTTCAACTTGATACTTTTTAATTCATACTCTGCTTATCAAATATTAAAAAAAAATCACAAAAACAACAATAGCAAGTTGTAAAACACGTTCACAGAATTCGCTATTAACTGAATTATAATTTTTATGTATTTTTGACTGTGCCAGTTGGTAAGACTCTGGATCGATTATCAAATCAGTAAGACATGAACCAATAAAGTCCCTAGGATGATCCATAACAAAATTTCGGACCATAAATATTTTTGACAACTAACAAAGTGACATAATCTGATGTAATGTTGTAACTCTAAAAAATGCACCCTGGTGATTTATGATATCACAGCCAAGTGCCGCTTGTGTATTACAACATATGTACCCTGTTAATTAATATGTTACGGCCCAGTGGCGCATATATATACACATCTATTTATCTATGAAATAAATTACTATTTAAAGAATAGATTTTTAATGTCAAAATGATCTTATTATCGTCTGTTGCGAATCTAAAATTATAAAAGTCAATGCCATATGGTTTTCGTTCTTTCCGGAATATTTATACAATTATATCCTTCACTGGTTCTTTGAACTATTTTTTATACGGCATAATGAAACAAGAGGGCCATGATGGCCCTGAGGTCGCTCACCTGTATATAGGCCCCCCCACCCCCGGGCCAATTTTTACCCAAGGGCTTTTATTTGTTTATTTGAACAGACTTGGTAGACACCCATAAGAAGATGTTTCATGCTAAACATCTAAGTTCTAGCTCATTGGCTTTTTAAAAGAAGATTTTTAAAGTTTTAACTATACACATATAGTTAAAAACAATGACACCCCTGGAGCAGGGCCAGTTTTGCCCCCGGGTGTTTATTTTAACAAACTTTGTAGATATTTACTTAAAGATGTTTCATGCTTAATATCTAAACTCTAGCTATTATGGTTTTTCCAAAGAAGATTTTTAACTTTTTGCTATACACATATAAGGAAAATCAATGACCCCCCCCCCCCCCCGGGCGGGGCCAGTTTTGACCCCAGGGCTTTTATTTGAACATACTTGGTAGACACCCATTAGAACATGTTTCATGCTAAATATCTTATCTCTAGCTCTTTGGGTTCTTTAAAAGAAGATTTTTTAAGTTTTTACTATATGCATATAGGGAAAATCTATGACCCCCTGGGGCGGGGTCAATTTTGACCCCAGGGCTTTTATTTGAACAAACTTGGTAGACACTCACTAGAAGATGTTTCATGCCAAATATCTAAGCTCTTATGGTTCTTTAAAAGAAGATTTTTTAAGTTTTTACTATATGCATATAGGGAAAATCAATGACCCCCGGGGCGGGGCCAATTTTGACCCCAGGGCTTTAATTTGAACAAACTTGGTAGACACTCACTAGAAGATGTTTCATGCTTAATATCTAAGCTCTGGCTCTTTGGGTTCTTTAAAAGAAGATTTTTTAAGTTTTTACTATATGCATATAGGGAAAATCAATGACCCCCTGGGGCGGGGCCAATTTTGACCCCAGGGCTTTTATTTGAACAAACTTGGTAGACACTTACTAGAAGATGTTTCATGCCAAATATCTAAGCTTTAGCTCTTACGGTTCTTTAAAAGAAGATTTTTCAGTTTTTACTATATGCATATAGGGAAAATCAATGACCCCCAGGGGCGGGGCCAATTTTGACCCCAGGGCTTTTATTTGAACAAACTTGGTAGACACTCACTAGAAGATGTTTCATGCCCAATATCTTAGCTCTAGCTCTTTGGGTTCTTTAAAAGAAGATTTTTTAAGTTTTTACTATATGCATATAGGGAAAATCAATGCCCCCCTGGGGCGGGGCCAATTTTGACCCCAGGGCTTTTATTTGAACAAACTTGGTAGACACTCACTAGAAGATGTTTCATGCCAAATATCTAAGCTCTAGCTCTTATGGTTTTTTAAAAGAAGATATTTAAAGTTTTTTCTTTTGGTTGCCATGGCAACCAGAGTTCTGCATGGAATTAAATTCTTTGAACAATTTTTAAAGGTGACCACCAAAGGAACATTCCTGTGAAGTTTGGATGAAATTGGCTCAGTGGTTTATGAGGAGATGTCATTTAAAGCAAAAGTTTACGGACGGACGGACGACGGACGGACGCCGGACGGACGGACGGACGCCGGACGAAAAGCGATCACAAAAGCTCACCCTGTCACTTTGTGACAGGTGAGCTAAAAATATATCAATTAAGTTAACAAACTGAATAAATGGAGGATATTGAATGAGTGTAAGTTCAATAATGAATTTATTGAATGAGTTTAATAGAATTATTTGCGTGAGCCTCTGGCAAACAGGATATTATTTTATTCAACAAGTTCTATAAATTCCGTAATGAACTTACATAAATTCATATTAATCAAACACCAAAATAAAGACCATTTAAAGTGAAAAGGAGTCTTTTTCCATTGACACCGCTACCATATAAATGCTAACTATGAGCACATTTTTACACTATGTTTGTATATCACAAATTACATCATTACGAAAGTATCCTTGTGCCAATTTAACATGTTCTAAAAATCTATATATAACGTAGGACTTTATAAGTCCTACATAGGACTTTGTAACTCCTACTCTTATAAAGTCCTACGTAGTAGATAAAAAAGCCTAATTAGGAGTTTATAACTCCTACTTAGGACTTTTAAACTCCTATGTAGGACGTAGGACTTTGTAACTCCTACGTAGGAGTTACAAAGTCCTACGTAGGAGTTACAAAGTCCTACGTAGAAGATTAAAAAGCCTAATCAGGAGTTTATAACTCCTACGTAGGACTTTATAAGTCATACGTAGGATACATAACGAAGTGCTGAAAGCACAAGAGTGCGACTGAAATATTACAAATGTATGCTAGAGTATAACCTAGGATAGCATATTATGTAGGAAAATAAATTTTCTGTGTCAAATTGTAATTTTTGCAAGCCGCTTTAGTAAATACCCTTATTCTGTAGCCAGAGATGATCTTGAGCAAAATAACAAGAACTCAATAATCTGAATTATTTTGAGCATTATACAACTAGTTCCGAAAATTGAACTTACTAAGGATGTCATTCTCTACATATATTAAATGATGATTCTGTATTAAGTACGTTAGTTATGTTGATTATACAAAAATGTATGGGTGAAGTTTTGTCGGAACTGGAACAAGACACTTCACCCACCCCAACACCTATAAAACACCTTTTAAAATTTTGATATACTTGTATTAATATCTTAGACACTTAAATGCTTGTTGCCGAGCAATTTTTCGAAGATCTGTGAAGCAATTTTTCTGGATGCATGCTTACAGACACCTCACCCTAAGACACCTGAGACACTGTATTGAAAGGTGAAGTGTGGCGGCATGGCCCAGTGATTAACACGTCAGACTAGTTATCTAAGATCGCTTCGCTCCGGCTTGAGTTAAAACCCCGTCAGCGGCAAGTCGTTGTTTCCCTGAGCAAGAAACTTTACACTCATTGCTCAGTACTGGTTGGTTCCAGGAACGGATTTGAAAGTGTGTCTATAAGCTTTTAGCTTCCTACACAATCGAACTTAATTAAGTTCTGTATAAACCAAATATGAAATGTCCTCAATATTTCAGATTTGAAATTTTGGCCGGGGGCATTAAGTATCTTTTTCCATCACCTATATACCGTTCCGAAATGTATTTCTTATAAAGTCATAAAGTCCTATGTAAGAGATACAAACTCCTAACTAGGCTTTTTTGTCTCCTACATAGTAGAAATCATCAAAACAACCTTCCTGACCAATATTCAGGATATTTGGATCAAAACTGCATCCACTAGAGTGTTTACAAGATTTTACTAGTGTTTACAAGATTTTTCTATTTTGAGCTCCTGTGACCTAGTTTTTGACCGGAGATGACCCATATTTCAACTTGGCCTAGAAATCATCAAAACAACCTTCCTGACAAATTTCCAGGAAATTTGAATCTGGAAATTTGGATCAAAACTGCAACCACTGGAGTACTACTGTTAAGAAGATTTTTCTATTTTGAGCTCCTGAGACCTAGTTTTTGACAGGAGATGACCCATATTCGAAGTTGACCTAGAAATCATCAAAACAACCTTCCTGACAAATTTCCAGAATATTTAGATAAAAACTGCAGCCACTAAAGTGTTAACAAGAATTTTATATTTTTAGCTCCTGTGACCTAGTTTTGACCAAAGATAACCTATCTTCGAACTTGACCTAATAATCATCAAAACAACCTTCCTGACAAGAAAATTTTGGACTTGTGAGAGGTTACAAATGGCCCCAGGTCAAACGTAAGGAAATGTGTAACCAGCTCTGAAAAGCCTTTAACTCTATCTCAATACAGCACTTTGAAAAAAATATCAACACAAAATAGTGATTTTTGGCAATTTTGAGATGTCCCCTCGTTGCCATGGTAACAGGAAATTTAAGACTAAGCATGTAGGTAATGGTCAAGTAAACATTTGTGCCAAGTTTGATTAGTATTGAAGCATTTTTCATAGTTTCATAGCAGTTTGAACTAAGTCTTGTAACAGGAGGCTTTTCCATGAAATTTACAGCCATTTTTCACATCAAAGATTCAGTACATTACCTTCATGCCTAATTATAACCAATCTAGCATGTTAATGTCAGATACTAAAACAGCATTAAAAGCCATCAAAACTGTTTCAGTCATTCAAGACTAAGGTCACATATTCACTGCAGCACTGCAGATGATGGATTCATTAAATACCTGTCTATATTGTGATTTACACATTAATATAAACAACAAATTAAATGTTAACAATCAAGTTTCTAACTAACTAAATTTTCTCTGAAAACTTTTTTACATCTTTACATAATAGCTTTCATTACCTAATTTTCTGATATTTTTAATTTATCACAGATAACCAAGTCAAACAGGGTGAAAATTCTAACATATACTACATCTAAGGGAGGTAATAACAATAAACAAGAGGGCCATGATGGCCCTGAGGTCGCTCACCTGTATATAGCCCCCCCCCCCCCCCCCCCGGCCCAATTTTTTACCCAAGGGCTTTTATTTGTTTATTTGAACAGACTTGGTAGACACCCATAAGAAGATGTTTCATGCAAAACATCTAAGTTCTAGCTCATTGGGTTTTTTAAAAGATTTTTTAAGTTTTTACTATACACATAGAGTAAAAAACAATGACACCCCTCGGGCAGGGCCAGTTTTGACCCCTGGGCTTTTATTTGAACAAACTTTGTAGATATTTACTTAAAGATGTTGCATGCTTAATATCTAAACTCTAGTTATTTGGGTTTTTTCAAAGAAGATTTTTAAGTTTTTGCTATGTATATAAGGAAAATCAATGACCCCCGGGGCGGGGCCAGTTTTGACCCCAGGGCTTTTATTTGAACATACTTGGTAGACACCCATTAGAACATGTCTCATGCTAAATATCTTAGCTCTAGCTCTTTGGGTTCTTTAAAAGAAGATTTTATAAGTTTTTACTATATGCATATAAGGAAAATCAATGACCCCTGGGGAGGGGCCAATTTGGACCCCAGGGGTTTTATTTGAACAAACTTGGTAGACATTCACTAGAAGATGTTTCATGCCAAATATATAAGCTTTAGCTCTTACAGTTCTTTAAAAGAAGATTTTTTAAGTTTTTACTATATGCATGTAGGGAAAATCAATGACCCCCTGGGGCGGGGCCAATTTTGACCCCAGGGCTTTTATTTGAACAAACTTGGTAGACATTTACTAGAAGATGTTTTATGCCAAATATCTAAGCTCTAGCTCTTACGGTTCTTTAAAAGAAGATTTTTTAAGTTTTAAACTATATGCATATAGGGAAAATCAATTACCCCCAGGGCGGGGCCAATTTTGACCCCAGGGCTTTTATTTGAACAAACTTGGTAGACATTCACTAGAAGATGTTTCATGCCAAATATCTTAGCTCTAGCTCTTTGGGTTCTTTAAAAGAAGATTTTTTTAAGTTTTTACTTTATGCATATAGGGAAAATCAATGACCCCCTGGGGCGGGGCCAATTTTGACCCCAGGGCTTTTATTTGAACAAACTTGGTAGACATTCACTAGAAGATGTTTCATGCCAAATATCTAAGCTCTAGCTCTTACAGTTCTTTAAAGGAAGATTTTTTAAGTGTTTACTATATGCATATAGGGAAAATCAATGACCCCCGGGGCGGGGCCAATTTTGACCCAGGGCTTTTATTTGAACAAACTTGGTAGACACTCACTAGAAGATGTTCCATGCCAAAAATCTTAGCTCTAGCTCTTACAGTTCTTTAAAAGAAGATCTTTTAAGTTTTTACTATATGCATATAGGGAAAATCAATGACCCCCGGGGGCGGGGCCAATTTTGACCCCAGGGCTTTTATTTGAACAAACTTGGTAGACACTCATTAGAAGATGTTTCATGCCAAATATCTAAGCTCTAGCTCTTAGGGTTGTTTAAAAGAAGATATTTAAAGATTTTTCTTTCGGTTGCCATGGCAACCAGAGTTCTGCATGGAATTAAATTCTTTGAACAATTTTTAAAGGTGACCACCAAAGGAACATTCCTGTGAAGTTTGGATGAAATTGGCTCAGTGGTTTATGAGGAGATGTCATTTAAAGCAAAAGTTTACGGACGGACGACGGACGACGGACGGACGACGGAACGGACGGACGGACGGACGCCGGACGAAAAGCGATCACAAAAGCTCACCCTGTCACTTTGTGACAGGTGAGCTAAAAAGAATCAGTAAGTATTGACATAATGCATTCTGTTATTGTTCTAATTACAGCTTGATAAACAATCATTAAAAGACATTGACAATCTTTTTTAAAGGTTTGTCACAAATACGCAGAAATTTTCTAAATGACAGAAAATAACACAGAAAACTAGAAAATGGCCATTTATATTTATAATAGGCAATTTCAGTGTGTATGTGTGTTTATGAAATATTAAAATTTGATTTAGATACTAGCTTTTTATCCTGGCATTTGAGAAAATCTAGATCTAATAAATTTATTCATTTTGAAATTTCGCTGTTTCACTCCGTAGCGACACGGATTTATAAATCCGTGGTAGCGAGAATTAATCTCAATCTTTGCTTTTGTATTTTTTTCTATTGTCTTGATATTGAATTTATGTATGCATGCGTGAATTTTTACATGTTATAATCATAATTGAACGATCAGTATTTACGCATTTAACTTTTCAATAAGCTAACTTTCTATGCGGCATGCATAGTTTTATCCCCCATTTACGTCATATCCGGTAAGGGAAGTTACTCTTCACTGACTGTTGTCGCTTAAATGAAAGGGTCTATACGGCTCAACTGTAGAGCATGATCTAATGATCTATGAACGCATTAATACACAAAGTTATACCTTCTAAGGATACTGTTTGCTTCCATGAGATCACAGTTTTCCTTGCTTAGAGTTAACAACTTCTCCTCTCTAGCCTGTAATATCTCTGCCATATCACCCATTTTCTGTAACAATCATACATTTATAAAATGTATTACTCTTATCATATTACAAGGTAAATCCCTGTGCAAACAAAATCCTTTGAGTGATGTCATATTTCTTATTTTTTTGCATTTGGATCATAAAAATCAAATCAATTTATGAAGTTATAATTTTTATCAGGGTTGTTTATTATCTATCAGCTTGAAATTCATGTAAATACATGTATTCATAAAAAAAGTCAATATTACATATTTCTATGCATAGTAATAATGTTTACATGCAAATGTAATTTATTTTGTAAACTTTATGTGTTACTTTTCATGCATTACAAAGGATTGCATCTGCTGTACTAGTTGGATTAATGAGTTAAAGATAATTTATTATTTTGTATATTATAAACATATTAGAAATCTTAATATAATTGTATTAATGAAATTTAAACATATCAATGACAGCCTAGGTAATTCTCATAAGGTTCCCAAGCTGAATGAAGACCCATCTAACATAACAATAGACTAAATATACAATACTAGGAAGTGAAAAAAGTCAAATCATGTTTAAACTGTAGGGTATGTCAAGCTTAGTTTTGTACTGAGTGCATCTAAATGTTTAAATTCTGCTTATAAGATTGCAAATATAAAAACATTCCCTCTCTGCATATGATACAAATTCATCTTTAATAAGTTGCAAACAGTTTTATAAATAGAGTGGTAGTGGTGTTGGTAATTTACCCTCCGGATCAGGACAAGAAACCATATTGAATTTACCAGAGCACAGTTCAGCCACCGCATCTTTCCTGGGTAAGCTGTCAAGCCGTTTACCAGTACTACCTGCCTTCACTTTGCAAGGAGTCAACATTTATATATTTTGTTATTATCACAACATAAAGAAGTAGAAATAACATATTTACATGTACCATAAACAGAATAAATACAGATAAAGGGAAACAGGTAACATCTAGTATTTAAAAATTTAAACCTTACAAATATGCAAGAATGTTTTTTTTCACTTGTTTTATTCTATAATATGAAGTTTCATGAAGAAAATATACTTTTATTATTATCTCCCTTATACCTAAAATTATGGTATTATTATTTTTTTGTATTGCTTTATATCATGTACTTGCCATTAATCTAATTAAAGTAAATCATTAAATTATCATAGCTTTGAGAGTAGAGGACATACAGTATTATATCAATAAACAAGAGTTGTCCATTAGACAGCACGCTCAGCTATTCGTAAGAAAAGGGGCATTAACTCTGTAAATGTAAAAAGATTACTCAGGGTTATTGGACCTATAAGATAATCAAAGAGAACAAGTGTCCATACACCTACTGCTTTCAAAGAGGTTAGATGCAAGGTGAACTGGTAATACAGCTTACCTACAAAACAAGCTAATGTAAGAGAGATCTGTAGCTACACATAGACATTATTGGAAGTCTTCTGTATAACTCAAAATGTGACTTAAAGTTATATGTAGACGCTATTTACTTGCATTTTAGGAAAAGTATGTTCTTAACTCTATAAATGAACATTGTTGTCATGTTTCCTTAACATACATTTGTATATCAAATGACTATTAGTCTAATGAGGAAATAGCCCATATACATAATTGGTGGTGATAATATATCATTTTAAAATAAGTATATACTGCATGTTGTAACTCGACTAGACCATACATGAAATGATGTTAGTAGAAATGTTAAGGCGATTTATCAACAATTAATATAGCCACAATTTATAAATTAAGTTGAAAATTAATCAAAAACAAATTACAGCTGAAGCAAACAAAAGGCTAGTTTAACACATTAAAAGGAAATAAAGGCAAAAAGAATAAAAAAGCAGAGTTACGGGGTTTTTAGTCTGTTTCTTTGTATACCAAGCGGTAGAAATAACAGCAAGAAACTAGCCATAATTCAAACAATTTCTTTACATAAACACAATTAACGTAATATGCATGAAATTCATCTCTAAATAAAACATGCAAGTTTAAGCAACTTCTCAATGGTTTACATTAAAGTATGCCTATTCAACTAAACTTATATTATCTATCATCATATATACATGCACATAATCAACAGTAAACCTTTCATCTTACGTTATATTTGTATTTATGTAAGAAATTATTCTGATTAATAAAAAGAAGCTGTTTGAACTGACCTTTAACCCTACAAAATGTTTGAACTGACCTTTAACCCTACAAAATGTTTGAACTAACCTTTAACTCTACAAAGTGTTTGATCTGACCTTTAACCCTACAGTGTTTGATCTGACTTTTAACCCAACAAAGTGTATGATCTGACCTTTAACCCAACAAAGTGTTTGATCTGACCTTTAACCCTACAAAGTGTTTGATCTGACCTTTAACCCAACAAAGTGTTTGATCTGACCTTTAACCCTACAAAGTGTTTGATCTGACCTTTAACCTTACAAAGTGTTTGATCTGACCTTTAACCTTACAAAGTGTTTGATCTGACCTTTTACCTTACTAAGTGTTTGATCTCACCTTTAACCCTACAAAATGTTTGAACTGACCTTTTACCTTACTAAGTGTTGGAAATGACCTTTAACCCAACAAAATGTTTGAACTAACCTTAATCCCTACAATGTTAAAAACTGAAACTGTTCAGCCACTGCCAAGAATATAGAATCAATTTTGATTGTACCTGTACAGTCCAACAATGCTCTATACTGTTGGCTTGCCAACTTACAAATAGTCACACTGGTATCCCTTAAATTGATAATTGACTTTTCCAAAATAGAAGTTTTTTTGACAAGTTTGTTCAGAAAACTGAGTAGGTTAAATCATTTTGCAGAATTCAAATAAAATAATAACAGTTAAATGTGTGCATTTTCACATACATTCTCATCGCACATGAACAAAGGAATTAGAAGTAATCTATTCTCAGAACTTATTTCTTCTCAAAATAAAGCCTTTGGTTGCACTGCTTAAAAATTAATCATGTAAATCTTGAAAAAAAAGTTTAACTTATGCTTTTTATCACATCAGGCAAGAGAAAAGGTTTGTTTTTATTAGGGACATATGTTGTATTGACCTAGTTATAAATGCCTCAGTGTTACATCACCTGTATCATTATTATAGGATTTCACTAGGAAAGAATTCAGATATTCTGCTAACTTTTTATTTTCAAAGTAACAGCTTCTGTTTGATGTAAGACGATCAACATCAATGTTATAAAATGAAATGTTGCCCTGCATAAAAAACCAATATGTTGCCACAATCATATTATATATAACCATTCTAACTTTAATAATATAGCAAGTTTTGCTGCTGAAATATTCTAGTACAGAACACTTATATAATATATGATATTCTTCTTTTAATAAATATAAGGGAATTCTCTCTTAATTGCATGTGTCATATATTAAGCCATAGTGAAAGAGTTTGAAAAAAAATAAAACCTTAAAACAAACAAAAGGTGCAGTGATCAGTGGAACAGTGTCCATTTATAGAATGACAATTTATATGTGAAACTTGTTTGATATTAATTAATATGGCACTAGGTGGTTACATAATGTATTGTACACATTATCATGATATTAAAACTACATCAAGTTTGACAATCTAACACATTTGTTGTAAGCACATTCGGGCATTTCAATACTTATTGCATTTTGGAATTTTATCTTAAAATATTTTTCTTCTTTTTCATAATAAATAATTAATATTGACAGAAAAAAAAAGCAATTAGATGTACACTAATTTACATAGTGCTTACAGAAGTGAAAACAGTAAATAAGTGTCTTTTAAACAGCTTCTTTTTAAAGCTACAATATTAAACCAAAGCATTAGATCCCTCACAGCCAACCTGTTCGAGAGTTTGTGGATCATGTGACATTTGGTCAAGATCACATGATTTCTGAGGTGGGTCAGGGGACATTTGACCTTCTGACCTCATGTCATGTGACTCCTCTGTGTTAGTTTCATCCTGAAAACAAATACACTGCACATACTATGCCATGCTGGTAAACTAACATAAATGCTAAACTTGCCTAAAACTGAAGGACAAATATATGCTTTTTTCCTAATAATGAAATTCACTGAATACATACTAGTACATGTATTAATACAGAACAAAAACCTTCATACAAATATACTCTAAAACTGTTATATAAATAGCCTAAAAATTTTGATAACATGTAAATCTCTTATTAATATTGTTGCTTATGTCCATGTCCTTGTAATATGTATTATAAAACTTTAAAACATCTTAATATGTACTTTCAAATACAAATACATAAACAAAGTGAAAATATGCCAATAAAATAATGCTGGTTGTTACATAAATTATTTAAAAATATGAATAATTTAGTTAGCTTCCTGCAAGAGCCATAGCACTTTTAAAAGATGACAAACTGTAAGTAAATGTTATCAGAAATATAATAGATTAAGATCAAAACTTGCAGACAGAAAAATGTCACAAAGGACAGTAGATTAAGGTGTAGATTAACAACAAGCTGTAATGATTGATTATTTAAATGCAAATAACCAAACATGACAGGCATATACTAATAAGATTTACAGGTTTCCCACTTTTCACCTATGGAAAATGAATGAGCAATCAAAGTACATTGTTTCATCATAATGAATGGAATAAGGATGGAAGTGTTTAAGCACATATGACCTGATATGTGACATCAATAAACCGATGGAAGTGTTTAAACACATATGACCTGATATGTGACATCAATAACCGATGGAAGTGTTTAAACACATATGACCTGATATGTGACATCAATAAACCGATGGAAGTGTTTAAACACATATGACCTGATATGTGACATCAATAAACCGATGGAAGTGTTTAAACACATATGACCTGATATGTGACATCAATAAACCGATGGAAGTGTTTAAACACATATGACCTGATATGTGACATCAATAAACCGACGGAAAGTGTTTAAACACATATGACCTGATATGTGACATCAATAACCGATGGAAGTGTTTAAACACTTATACCTGATATGTGACATCAATAAACTGATGGAAGTGTTTAAACACATATGACCTGATATGTGACATCAATAAACCGACGGAAGTGTTTAAACACATATGACCTGATATGTGACATCAATAAACTGATGGAAGTGTTTAAACCACATATGACCTGATATGTGACATCAATAAACTGATGGAAGTGTTTAAACACTTATGACCTGATATGTGACATCAATAAACTGATGGAAGTGTTTAAACACATATGACCTGATATGTGACATCAATAAACTGATGGAAGTGTTTAAGACACATATGACCTGATATGTGACATCAATAAACTGATGGAAGTGTTTAAAACACATATGACCTGATATGTGACATCAATAAACCGATGGAAGTGTTTAAACACTTATGACCTGATATGTGACATCAATAAACTGATGGAAGTGTTTAAACACATATGACCTGATATGTGACATCAATAAACCGACGGAAGTGTTTAAACACATATGACCTGATATGTGACATCAATAAACTGATGGAAGTGTTTAAACACATATGACCTGATATGTGACATCAATAAACCGACGGAAGTGTTTAAACACATATGACCTGATATATGACATCAATAAATCAAATGATATCATAAAAATTATACTTTTCTGCTCAATTTTAGTTTAACATGCTTTTATCTATTCTATTTTCAATTGACAGATCCCTAGTCTCTTTTTATTTTAAAAAGATTAAACAGCAAACACTGACATGTGTTCTTTCATTAACAAATATGTTGTGGTGAAATTCTTATTGTAATCCAGAAATCTGGTAATTTGAGGTCATGCAGATAACTATGCATAGCACGTCAAAACTGAATTAGATATAGATTTGTCTTGCATTGTAGAACAATTATGCATGGTTTATGGTTCAAATGCTTTGTAATTCATCACTTGCACTTAACAACCTTTGTGATAACATTACTCTGCATTGGAACTTGAACCATGCATTATTCTACAACATCACACTTAAAAATCAATATCTCCTAAATGAAAATTCAAAGTGTGTCAATAAATGATTAATTAATTAACAATTAAAAGCAATATTAGTGATACTTATTTCAATAAAATTAATGACATTAAATAATGCCATTCTAGATATCAACTTCTACAGTGACCTTGACCTATTTGACTTCAAACTTGTTAGTTGTACAAAAAGAAATGACAGCATCAGCAAATGACAAAGAGATGATTTGAAAGATATTGTGAACAGATCATACATCTTTAACACAAAGTGATAAGTGAAAGCTTATTATATCACTACAGAATAACTACAATCAGTAAATCCAAGAACCATGTGAGATGTACATGTATATAAACAGAACCAATGACCTTTCAGACTGACTATATTCTTAGAAAAGGAAAACATTGTGTCATTACAGGCCCATTATTCCCCAGAAATGCTTTTATTCTTATTTCTGAAAAGTTTTTTAATTTTTGTTCATTTTTATAGTTTCTTGAAAAATACTCATTGGCCAATTACAAAACCATCTTTATCTTCTGTTGCTTTTTGGCAATCGGTACAAATATAATGTTTTTAGAATTTGTATGGAGGTCAAAATACTACTTTGTTTACATTTTGCTACTTTTAAGACAAAGTATTTCACATTCTGTGCTACTTCCTTCAGATAATAAGCCTCTAGCATGCTCTAAAACCATTATTTTTACGGTATAAACTTTATGTTTGCTCTTTCTAATAAAGTGAAAATGTATTCCTTTCTAAGGCATACTGTGCCTTTAATAGAAAGCTTAAAATAAGCAACCTTGGCTAGAAACAATGTGTTTTGTTTTATGCTTAATGAAATCCGTATTCGTACTTAATCTCTTAAAATGAGGCTTTCAATTTTAAAATAAAATTCAGCCTAAGATTGTCTTTATATAAATGTAATAGTAAAATTTCACAGCTCTAAACTAAAAGGTTTTGATTAGATTCAGAAAATTACAAGATGTAAATTAGACTATCCTTTGATTATTTGACTATTATATATACTTACAACAATTCATTTAATGCTTTGAATCCAACTAACTCAAAACTAAAGCTAACATTACCAAAGCAAACTAATTCTTACACAATACCAGTTAGCAAGCATACTTCTAACAATCTAAATCTATAATGATTAATCACAGGAATCATGGCATTGCTGGTGTAAATATACAATACACTGTCATTTTCTTACTTTTTCATGAATTAACTATAAATAAAATCAAATTAGTAGCACATAAAGAAACTGTTTGGCTATTAAAACACAGACTATCTTGAGACTGTAAGAATAGCCTGTCATATTTTTTACCTTCAACAATCGTTGTGGATGATACGGATTGTCATCCTCTTCACTAAGGGCAGGTAACTCTGGTGCATGACTGTGACCTGAAACAAGTCAATATTTATACCCATCAGAGGCTAAATACAAAAAGTTTTTCTAAAATATCCTGCTCTATTTATGTAACAGAGATGTCCCGATATGAATCTGAAACCATTAGTTACAAGTTATAAGGATTTCATAATAAAAATTTTAATTAATGAAACTGGATAAATAACAGTATAGAGCCTGGTCAGACAGCATGGATGTGCAGGCTGGTCAAGCTCTGGTAGCATAAACACGCCAGTATTCAACATCAAATTCAAATAACAGTTCTCAGTGTAAAGTTATATCATACTAAAATTTATAACTTCATATTTGATAAACTAAAAGAAAATGTAATAAATGTAACATAAAAACCTTCAACATGTTCGGCTTTATGATATTCAGCATAATCTGAACTTTCTCTGCCAGGACTGAGTTCAAAGTTTGCACCACTTGCATTGCTAGAGTCAGAACTGTCTGTCCGTCTGTGTGTAGGACTTCCTCGCCAGCTGGTCTTCTGTAAGGCAATTCTCAATGGAATAGGATCAAGTGGTGAAACCTTGAATATAATATTATATAAAAAATAATTTAAGGTTTTATATCTTTTTTCATGTAGAGAATCAAATGTAACTTGATTTTGTATATTTGACATTCTTGGTAAAAAGCTTTAAAAGCTGTTAAATTAAAGACGATTTTATTCCTACAGATTAAGTTTGGTAAAAATTATTTTATAAATGAGAACTTTAGAAGTACATTTATTAATACCTTCCCTTGTTCTTTGCATATGTAACTCTTTGTTGTAGATAATCATCGTTCCTAAAGTTACATAAAACTACTACTAATTAACAAGGAACCACCTATATTTCCTAACCAATCAATGATTTAAACAAAAATCTATAAGAGAATAAAATGTTTCATTTTCATGAAATTTACCTGTCTATTTTCTCCATTAGGAGTAGGCATTGATATGATTTCAATATCTGATGAAGTGGTTGTATCTATCTCATCTCCAGATTCCTGGTTACTGTATATACTCCTAGAGCCTTCAGACTTCTCAATGGAAGAATGACTATCACTATTATCATCTCCGTGCTTACCCTCCTCTATAGCATCCTCTAACATACACTTTACAAAAGAATGAGCTGGAGATATTGTACATTTATCCATGTCATTCTCCTCACTTTCACTTTTAATGTCCAACATTTCTGTTGAGGTTTCTGCAATGTTTTCACCATCTTTGTCTTCAGAAATGTCAATGTTTTGCTCAGCATTCATCTCATGGATTTTTGACGCTAAACCAGATTTCTCATTCATTGAATCATCATGACCAGTGCCAGATTCTATAACAGTATCTTCTGAAGTGCATGTTTCCATGCTTGTATCTAGCTTGTTCACACTTGATTCTGAATCTGAGCTTCTTAATGATTTCACTGCCTCTGGAGTTACTGACTCGGGTAAAATCATCAACAGTGATTCATCACAAGAAATATTAATAGAATCTTCTGGTTGAGCAGAATCAGTTTCAACTCTTTCCACTTTATCTGTTTGCAAATTTTCATTAAGGTTAATGGTTCCTTCTTCAGGTAACTCTGATTCCGTTTTTAATTCATTAAATGAACCAGATCCTTGACTAGTTTCTGTTACCAACGTCTCTGAAGTTTTACCCTCTTCTTTTGAGAATTCATCTCCTGTATGAAGATTTTCATGATGTTCTTCTTCAATTTGTTCATAAGAAGGGGTATCAGCACAGACTTTCTTCACTGAGTCACATTCTTCATCAAAATTTGTTTTATCACAATCAATAATTTCCGGATCACTGCTTGACTGTTCAGCATCACATGTATGGATATTTTCATCAACAGGAATATCTCTGTCAGTAACAAACTCCACAGAACTTGAGATATCTCCAGAGGAAAAATCTTGCATTAAGTTTATATCAGAAGCATCGATATTTGTGTCTCCAATGTTCTCTTCTAAAGATTTTTCAATTTTCTCAGAAACATTTTCTAAAACACTTGTATCACTGTGTTTCAGAGAATCAGTGTCAGCTTCAACTTCTGGTTCAGTAACTTGACCCTCACCTCTTTCTGTGTTACAAGTCTTTTCTTGTTTATTATATCTTTCATCAGTCTCTTCATCTACTGTTGACACAACAGTAGTCTCTTCTGACATACATGCTTGGATTTCAGGTTTTTCTTGCTCAGGCATTTCAACATTTTTTCTCTCAACTTTTTTAAAAGCACTATTTTCTGTATGAAAATGATCTTTTTCGCCCTCATTTTTACTATCAATAGAACCACTTTTATTAAAAAATGTTTCACTGTGAATTGTAAGATCCTCAGTTTTAGTTTTGACAATCAAGTCCATGTCACTGGCAGGGTTATCTTTAGTGAGACTTCCCTCAATGATTGTGTCAATGACATTTAATGTACTGTCTTTAGTGTCTTCCAGGGTCTCAAAAGACTGAACTGTTTCAGTAGTTTGTATTTCTGATTCATGCTTTGTACCTTTACTTGCCGGATCACTACTTGCCACAGTGTCACCTGTATCTGGTGGTTTTAACTTTACACTTGCAGATGTCTTTACTTCAGTTACTGACTCAGTCAGTTTTTCATTTCCTGATCCTGGTTTAACTTTCTTCGGAAATAACTTTGCTTTTGCTTTTGTTCTCTCTTTAGCAGCTTTAAGAACTTCAGATTTAATTTCCTCTGCTGATTTAACTTTTACTAAAGAGTCAGATGTAGTACCAGGTACAGTTTCACCTGTACTAGCACCCCAAGGTAAGGACCAGGCACCTGCAGCACCTGTATTATCATCACTTGTGGATCCAATACCCCACGTTCCCCAAAAATCACCTTTGCTTTTTGACTCTGCCTTCTGCACTGAGGCTCCAGCTGAAATATTAACAATTATGTTAACTACATATATCTAGACACATGAAATACTTCTTACAAAAAATGTATTCCTATTAATATGCACACGTTTATTAAAATTATGTACAAAGTCTGGAATAGAAAAAAGTATATAAAATCAGATGTTTACACTAGGTAAAATTTAACAAAAATGGAATTGTTTGCAAGAAGATAATAAACATAACAATTCACAATATCTACGAGCATTTCGAGGCATAATACCATTGGTGACATCTTTATAGTGATTATAGAGGCTGATTGTGGGAAAGGTTGTTGGCTTCAAACCACTTGCCACTTAACACTACTGGCCAATATCTCACCAGGAACTTTGAACTCATACATGTGGAGAAGCTATCCAGCTAGCATTTGAAATGTTTGCAGTTCTACTCATGTGCCTACTTGTGCAGGGTCACCTGAAGTCTTTCTCCACCAATAAACCTAGGAGGTCACTAAATCATAAATTACTTAAATTACAGTGTCATTGTGACTAAAAATCCAACCAAAACCAAAAAGAAAATGAAAGCAAGAAATTATAACAGAACTTGATTAATTAGTTTATAATGATAAAAGCACTAAGACTATAATCAGTAAACTAAAGACAAGTAAAAGTTAAACAGTCCTGAAATACTTACTGGTGTCCTGACCTGCAGTCCCTTCACTTATTTCAAGTGCACTGTCAATTTTCTTTTGGGCATTTTTAAGAGCTTTCGATGCCAAGTCTGTGAAGTTTGATGTATTCCACCAACTCATGATTAACAATTAATTACTCTGTACCACCTTAAAGCTGTAATGAAAACAATAGTATATTAATACAAGTCAAATTTACTCAGTATCTGGCAATGACAACCAGTGTTTCAATATGAGTGTTTTTTTAGACATGTTTTTTGAACATTAATCTGAGAGAGAATCAGAATAGACTGTAGATGAATGTAACACAGAAATTTGAAAATAGGTATTCTAATCACACATTTTGGAACAAATAGTATGAAAAACAACACTTCAGACTAACAATTTGAAAAATTGTATTGACATATGGGTGAAGTTCATTATCAATTTAAATAAATTATAAAAAATAAATCAGTGCATGTAAGGAGTTCCCTACAATTTGAAGTTTATAAACTTTGAAAAAATATCCTACAGTCTGGTTTAGGTCATGTTCATTGTGCTGTCCATTTATAGTCCAGGCAGTGGCTAGCCGTACAGGCCCGTAAAAAGTTCTAGCCCTACTTGTGTCACATGCAACTAGTCTATAAGCATTGTTAAGGCTTAGTAGCCATACAGGCTTACAGCATTTTTACAATAAATAACCAAAAGCAGTTAGAAAGGAATATGCAAACTTGTTTTTTAAAAGAACATTTTAATGAGTATCATGAAAACTTTATCAATTACAGTACTGTAGATATATTAATTTTTAGCATTTGATGATCAGAGGTTTTTTTTTTAATGAAAATCTCAGACTTATATTTAAAGTCTGTGTGAAATTATGAGGAGAAATACACTGAAACATTATAAAATGATTTCTATGGACAATATAGATGTAATACATTTGTAATAAAAATTTCATCTCAAACACTTTTAGCGGGCATTGAAAATTTCAAGGCGTTTGTTTGCTGTTTTTCACGATTGCATAAAAACCCTAACAGGTCAAACCCTAACAGGTCAATCACAGACTTTTATTGACATTAAACTTTTAAAGTCTGTTGGTCAATTTCCAGCTGTATTAACTTACGGCAAAACATTTTTAATAGTTATAATCAGTTCATGAAAACTCTTTAATTAAAGGTGGATTTATTTCTGATAGATCTATCAGTTATCTTGTCTTGGCCTAACATTATCCGTAAAATTATTTAGAAAAAATTAAATATAAATTTACACTTAACATACATGTGACAAATGAAATGGGCCAAATCTGGATTTTCAGCTGGATTTTGAGGCTCAAAACTGGATTTTTTTATGGACTCGAATTTCAATGCGTGTTTGGCACATTTGGTTCAAAGAATCTATATTACCCTCAAAATCATTAAATGATTATACTTTTTATGATTTTTTTGTTGATCAATATTTTAATTTATTTCACCAAAAAAAAAAAAAATAAATAAGTGTAGTCATACAGGTTATTTCTAAAACAGTCACACTCACATTTCATTATTTTCAGATTGAAGAATTATATGTCTTTTCAGTCATTCAATAATTAAACACAAGCTATTTGAAAACGTACAACAACTATTCATGAACATAAGACTCTGACAGTTAAATAACGTAACATAAGTAGAAGACTCAAAATAAATGCAAGAATCGTTCGTTAATTAAATCCACATTTTTGCCTCGATGATTGTGTAATTCCTAAACAAAACAAAAAATTACCCACTCACTAAAAATAGGTTACTTAGACATCTCAAACATGTTTTTGAATGATCCACTTTAAATGATTCTGCTCACCTGTTATCTTTATCAGTGCGGCACTAATCAAAGAAAATCAAAGGTTGAGCCGAATTCATACATGTAAATTTACAGACGTAGCGTGTAATACCTACTGCCAAATGACAAAAGAGGTCAATTGACTGACACACGACACATGATAAGTTAAACATGTGAGAATAACTTTGGGTATTGGAACTGTTTATTACGTCACCTTGCTGTCAATTAGCGACTCAACATTTAATCTGCTATAATTTAGGATATGGACAGATAACAATCAATGCCCGGAGGCACGGTTTACATTTTAGATACAGGTGCTGTGTTTGATTTTTTTTTATGTTGATTTTTTTTTAAATATCGGGAATTCAAGCTGTAATATCGGGAATCGGGATCAGTGTTGAAATATCGGGATTTTTTAAAATCCCGCCGGGATGTCACATGTATGCTTAAACTAGGGCTGTAATTGAATATCGCAATATTGATGAATCATCGAATACGATATTCATCATTTGATACAGTATTGATACACAATTTAGAATATTGATACAATTAAATTATTATTTTAATCTGATATATCGTTGATATTTGTCTTTCAATAGATCTATATCCAGGGATCACGTTTCTAGGCGACATGGGCGACAAAGTCGCCTTGTCTCTCTCCATTTCGCCTGGATCGCTCAGAAAAGCGAAAACAAAGTTGCCCTAATTTTCAACAAACGCTTGCAATAAATTTTAAAGTGTCAAGCATCTTGGTAAACATCTACGCTCCACCTATTTCAAAGCGATTTGTTAAACGCATTTTCATTGGTCGGTAAAATTGGAAAGCCAATGAAACGCAGCGAGACAATTTAGCGAGTGTTGGAATTGAATGGTTGACATCTTCGGGTATTGTCAAATGCCGACTTATTATCAATAAACAACAAATAAACAGATTAGCGGCGATTCATGTCAATTAAGATTTATTGGGGGCATACTTATTGCATTAATGAGTCGGTAAGTTTAGTGATCTTATTCACACATTTTCTCAGTACAAAAGCGTGTCGCCAAAAGTGTTGGTCACATGTATCGATGTTTACAAATGTCTCAGCAATTTTGAAAATGGGTCTCTGTTATAAATGTTGGTGATGATTTATCCCTTGATTATTATTCTTTAAAAAAAACTTTAAAAAAAAAAAAAATTTACCGATAGATTTAATGCATTATGCAGAAAAAGTCTGTCGAAGAAAAAAAATTATCAACTAGCTACACGTTAGATTTAAAAAATTAAAAAAAAGCATCCACATAAACCTTATTAAGTTTATATGAACTTTGACTCGTCACTCCCTATGAATATTTCTGGGGAAAATAATGAAATACATGTATAGGGCGGCCTAGGGGCCTACTAGTGATACTAAAGTATTTTTTTTTATTTCAGCACAACATCACATGACTGCAGCATTAAAATCAAAACAAGCTACACAAAACCTATGATAAAGATGGTATAGAAGGAAAAAAAACTGCCACATTTGTAATTTTGCTGTATACTGTTATGAGTTACTTAATAAACTGTTATTGTACTCCACATAATGTTAATCAATCTTAAAACTTAGAAATGGAACATCAACACTTCAAAAAAATGCAGTTCGTATGCACTTCTCCTTGTCCCTAAAAACTTCTCCCTATTTTCACTGGAGGGAGAAGTCACTTCTCCCTAACTTTTAGGTCTAGCGTGATCCCTGATATCAATACAAAATTTTCTATCAATGACTTTTGTTCTGGCTTCCAAAATTTTATAAGCCGCTTTTTAACATTTTCTTTATCTAATGCAGCATTAAAGTTTTGGATCAGACCTAACCAGAATAACGTTATGTCATAGTATATAAACGGGTACGCTGAATACCTTAAGCTACCCTAACTTAAACATTGGAAAAATATATATCCGAATCTTTTATCCGGATACTGTGCCACTAAGCAAAATGTCAACAATACTAATTGCATTAAGTATATTTACAAAATATCTTTCATTAACTTATAAATAGTATTTTAAAGATGACAGCGTTATAAAGCCTACCGAGTTGTCAGCAATATAAATGATAAAACTGAAAAAATAGTCAGAGTTTGTTGACGTTTTCATTTCCGTTTTCATTTGGAAATACTCGGATATTATCAGCCTTAAATTGCATGTGAAAGTGCTCTATTTTGAGTTAATGTAAATAGATAGACGGTATTTATCCAGTTATGAAGAGTAATTATAAGAGTATTTAATTGGAGAAATTGTTATTTATAACCATATTATACAAACTTTGATGTATTAAAATCTATAATTTTCTTAATTTGTTTATAAAGAAACTATGAATGCCTTCCGACATAACTGCTCCAGTGGCGCAATCGGTTAGCGCGCCGTACTTATAGACAGTACCATCCCTTGCTTGCGAGGGTTGAGGCTATGCGGAGGCTGTGAGTTCGAGCCTCACCTGGAGCAGGATACTTTTTATTGTTTTTTTATTTCATTATATTCCGATAATGTACTTTTTCCCTATCAAGGTAGGAGCTTAATTTGGGTTGTAACACCAGATACATGATTGCTTATAATTCAACATACCCGCTACATTATTAGAATAAAGTGTTTTGAGGTCTTTCGTTTCGAGCAGCCGAAGAACAAGACAGTCTCTAGAATTCCTTTAATTAATACATGTATGCAGAGACATAGATATCATCTAAATAAAGCGATAAAGAACTGATTTAGAAGGCTACATAGATATCATCTATGTCTCTGATGTATGATATCATAAATAATTTTATGTTTAACAATCTTTCTAAGAGCAATGCTGAAAATTATGTTTACACCCTTTATAGAAGGACTCTATGGTTTAAAATTTCTTATGTCCCACCTGACATATAGACCTGACATATATCTTTGTAATAGAAAGAGCACCGAAACACGAGGCTATCTGATTTGTACGAGGGGACGTAGCAAGTGATAAGTAATAGAAAGAGCACCGAAACACGAGGCTATCTGATTTGTACGAGGGGGCGTAGCCCCCGAGTATAAATCTGATTGCCGAGTGTTTTGGTGTTCTTTCTCTTTTGTATCATAGTCAAACATGACATCACGTTCCCTGTTGTCATAATATGAAACTCCAGAAAAAATTAACAAATGTATGATATTTCTGCCCCTTTCCCTTTCTCTGCCGTCGCAATAAGTAAACCCCAGCAAAAATGAAATCAACGGGCATTATCTGGAGTGCGGGTAACTTATACCTGCACTCCAGTTACCGCACTGTGCATGTATATGTATACGATTTAACTCTGACACTTTTTCAACAGAAAGGTCCCCAAACTATGATACAATTATAGTTATCATAGTTTGGGGACCTTTCTGTTGAAAAAGTGTCAGAGTTGAATCATTTTCAGTGAGTTTAGCTAAAGTATGAGTTCAAAGCCCAGAGCAAAGTAATCTTTTTTTTCCTTTTTTTCTTCGTCATATTTTACCTTCATTTAGGCAATTCAGCGATATAGGCCATCATCTTTTTCTAGGTAAATATGTATTTTGACTACAAGAAATCAGTTCTTTATCGCTTTATTTAGAAGTTAAAGTACCAAATACCGTGCATATTAAGCAAACATTAATTTCATCACCTAAATTTCAATTATATATGCTTAGTGCGTATTGGCGCAGTGATATAGCGTTTGTTTCGTAAATTTTCGGATCCCGGAAAAGTCGTTAAATGTTGTGCTTATACTTAATTTTCAATTTAATGAATGTTATATTTCATTTACATAGAGCTACCTTATTGAGAACATGAAGTTTTACACTTATTTGTATTCAGCATAAATCAAGTCTGCTTAAGGAGACTAGCAACCAACTACAAATGTGCAAATATAGTTGAATTGACGTTTTGTTATTTATGATTGTTCCTTCAAGTAAGCAAAGAATAAACATTTATGAAACTCTTAATACATGAATCAATATTGTTAAAAAAAGAAATGAATACATACTATTCGGAATGATTTGGATATAAACTCATAATAACAACAGCAGGTTCGAAATTGAATATTGTACGTTATATAATCAGTTTACATTGCTCGAATGACGTTGAGACCACTTTAATATACTTCAACCCCTTTTGTGGTAAAAGATCACGGCTAATTTAAAATCAAATTATTTTTTTTATTTTGCCCCCCCCCCCCAAAAAAAAAAAAAACAACAAAAAAAACAACAACAAAACAATAAATAAAAAAAAATAAAAAGCAAAAAAAAAAAAAAAACAACAACAACAAACAAAAAAAACAAACAAAAAAAACGCTGCTTTATTCGTTTGTAGTTATCCATCGACAAAACCACCTATGGTACTTCTCTAAACTTTAAGAATCGCGCACTTTTAAAACCATTTAACGTCCGTCATAAATAATGACATTTCCGCCTTGCATTACAGTCACGTTACTTTAATTTGTATGTTCAGGGTTCTCGAATGTTGTTTTCACAAATAATGCTCTAAGCAAATAAGCTTTAAACTCAAGATACCTCAACGTGTCATTAATTGTACAAAAAGCCATTTGCTAATAAAAGAGAAATAAAATATCTGAGTCGCACAAAATGTAGAAAAGTTGTCCCTGTTTATGAATACAATCAGTGCAATATATTTTCTTAATTTTTCCATCATTATAACGTCGGTCTGGCAAAATGCCTAATATTGAAGTTATTGGGATAACATAACGAACCATTTACAAATGCAGCTATACCGACTTCGGTTGATGTTTTTTTTTTTTTTTTTTTTTTGGTATTTCCAAGTTTTATTAAGAGGACATATTAGCATTATATGTATACCATGTGTAAAATTGGCTGACGGTCTCATTAAAAAAAGATGCAAACGACGGTAAAAAGTGATGAGATGGATTGTCTTATTGTTTTATAAACTTTGAGCATATAAATCGTAAGTCAAACATGAGAACAAACAAGGGCTGCAGTCGAATGGCATAATTATCCCAAGCCGTTGTCATTTATAGAAAATGCTATTACTCTTTGTGTATAGATCAAATCCATTTATATTTTCCTTCAGACTGAGGCTAGGCATCGATTTTAGTAGCTACTACTATCCTCGAGAGATTGTAACAGTTCCGTACAATAGTAGTGAAAAGTTTCGGTCAAATTGTTGCACGGACGCACGGACATACGCACAGACAAGTGACATAACCATATTTGTTATCTGAGGATAATTATATTGACAATGTATCTTTGAAAGAGTCCAGTAAGGGCTTAATAGTTTTGGTTGGGGGGTCGTTGTTCTACAGGGGGTCACTATTCTATGTGAGGGTCATTTTTCTACGTGTAGGGGAGTCATTATATTATGACTCCCCGACGGGGGTCATTATTTTATGTAAAATATTGACCGGGGGTCATTATTCAATGGGGGTCAGTTTACAACGTTACACCGGATACAAGCTTAAAGCTTTATTTGTACTTTAACTATAACCCTGATACTAACTTTAAGTAAAGTTTGTCTTATTATTTTACTGTCTAACTGGCTAATACTTTAAAATGATAATTGCAAAAAAGCCACAATGGTGCGCTATATTACGTTTTTAAGAACACCTTCATGAGGTTATTCAAAGTGTCTGTCTTAAACATAATAAAATTCAAAATAATATATTCATTAAAATGTTTAAATTCTTTTTACGTACAGACTAACACAGAACAGAACAGAACAGAACTTTTATTTCTTTGATTTGTACACAGTACATCATCATATACATCATATAATTTCAGAGTAACAAATACATTTCAGTGCGAGCAATCAATGCAATAATAAAAAGACAAAAATAATGCTAATATTCAAACATAATATGTTGTTAAGCCTCAGTTAAACGAGGATGAACATATCAACAAATATTTTGTATTATCATTGAACATAATTTATTATTGAATTTCTAATAGTCATAGCATTTTTATAATAAACGGCTAATTTGCATAGCTCATTTCTATTTTTACTTTGTAACAGCGCTATAAATTTAAACATACTTGGATTTACAAAATAGTATCTTTTAATATAAATGCTACGAATACTTGAATAACATGGACATATGAAAATAAAATGAAATTCATCTTCCAGGTCTCTTACAGAACAACATTGACAATAACGTTCATTTCTTTGTATTCTATTTCTAGCATATCTTCCAGTTTGTATTCTTAGGCTATGTGCAGAAGTTCTTAATCTAGTAATAAATCTTCTCAAGTGAGTAGGCATCAAATCAAGATATTCTGCGTAATAAAAGTTTAGCTTACACACATTATATAAATCTAGTACAGAACTTGATTCTTTCGATACATGCCATCCTTGTATAAAACAATCAATAATTCGTTGTCTAAATACCGGAATAAAGTTTTTAAAATCAATAATATATGGGTTATTCCAAACATCTATAAAACCATAGTCACACAAAAGTTTTTTAACATATGTTACCCAGTTACATAATCCTTTATTACAATCATTTAATGCTAACTGGTAGACTGAGCGTAAAATAATATTGTCTGTATACAGCAACTTAAACCAATATTTAATAATGCGTATATAACGGGATATGAACAAAGGATACCTTCCTAACTCTCCATATACACCAACAGTACAGGTAGTATTTCTTACTGACAAAACCATTTTACAAAATTTCAAATGTATTCTTTCAATTTGTTTTGATTTTGTGAAGCCCCATATTTCTGAAGAATAATTTAAAATTGAGCCAACAAAAGAATCAAATAACTGACATAATAACTTGGGTTTAAAATCATACTTTTTACAATTTAAAAGCAAAACATTCAACGCCTTTAACGCTTTACCTGTAACGTATTCCTGATTTAGTGAAAAATTACCAGTATAATTAAAAACTGTTCCAAGATAATTAAAATCATTCACTACTTCAATATTATTACCATTATATGACCAAAACTCGTTTTCTAATAAACGCCCTCTTTTTCTAAATACAACAATTTTAGTTTTCTCTGTATTTACTTCTAATCCCCAATTTTGACAATATTCATATAATTTATCTAAATGCATTTGCAATTCCTGAGGGTTTTTATTTGTTTGGGTCGTCAGACCAAACAAATAATGGTAGCGAAATTTCAGAGTCTAATGCTGTTAATTGCAAATGCCGAAAGTAGTCCACTTTTTTGAAGCGGTTACTTCCCTTTATATGTACACTAACGCCGAAAAATTCAGGGGAGATCACTGCGTAAAGATGGTCAAAGACAGGCAAATTAATTTTCAAGCAAAATAATTCCCGAATGGTCGAAGATTTCTAATATTGTTTAATTGTATTTTCTGATCGAAAATAAGTAAATACAAAGCGGACATTCAATCTCTGACACAGACGTTTACGACAAACCTAACAACAAGTAGTTCTCAAAGCAGCTTTAAACTAGCGATTTAAAAGAAAGAAATATTTTTATTTTGTTACAATTATCCAACAAATTACAACGCATTCAAAGTTTAAAAATAGCGTTGGCTTATAGAATTGACAATAAATGCACAATCACAAATTACGCGGATGAATATGATTTTATCAATGAAAATACTATTTTTAGCAATGTCGATAACCGAATACTACACAAACCAAGTAGTGGAATTTATAGATTCTACATGTCGGACTGTTTGGGCGATAAGATTTTCGCTAATTTTTTTTACTTCAACTTTAAACAACAGGTTTATCCTGAACAAAATACCTCGAAATTAACAAACCCGAAATGCAATGGAAGTTCTAAATTTAGAATGACTTGATGTTAATCAGATAATGTTGTATAACTTCTCCGTGGTGCAGGGGTAACGCGCTCGCTTAGTGAGTGAGAGGTCTGGAGTTCAAATCCCAGTCGAGGAAACTTTTTTTTTTAATTCCTTTTTAAGTGTCTTTGTTAAGGAAGTAGCCATGATATGCAAGGATAAAGTGTGGCTGTCGTAAAAAGTGAACATAAATGATTTTTTGATGCAAATCTAGTTATGCAGAATTCCGTATGTATCAAACTCTGGTGCCTTGCAAAATGAATTATAATACATACAGATATACAGTACGATTTAGAATGCAAAGATCAGAAAATACCACAGAACTTGCAGCTCTTTGATTCTTTATACATATACATGCTTATAGTAAGCTCCAGGATTATTTACATCTGTGTTAAACAACAGTTAAAGTCGTTACAAGCCCTAATTTAGAATAATATGGTTTTCTTCAGGCCCTTCACATATAAATTCACCGTGGCTAAGTCAAATACAGTAAACGTTGGATTGAATATCAGTGTTGCAATTAGTCTTATAGCCAATTTACTACAATTAAAACGCTGGAAAGCATTGGTGGCAATATACATATAATCTCACAACCTGTACCTTTCTTACGTTCTGAGACCCAAACAAATTCAGCGCCTTCTGTGCTTTGATTACCTAATATCACCATATCATCAGCAAATAAAAGTAAAAGTAAAACAATTTCTTCTATATCAAGTCCGGAGCTGATATTTTCCTGTAAAAACTACAAATAGAGAAAAAAGTACTGGAGACATTATCTCCCCTTGTCTTAAGCCTATAGCATACTCAAAATAAGAGGAATAACCTATTACATGACCTAACACAAGATTTAACTTTAGTATACATGTCCCTTATAATTCTTAATAATTTACCTTGCACTCCTAAGTTATACAATTTCATCCACAATGCATTTCTATAAATAGTATCAAAACATTTTTTTAAATCAACAAATACACAATATAATTTTTTATTTTCATTTAGATAATGTTGCACTATATTTAACAGTATAAATAAAGCATCTACAGTTGATTTACCCTTTCTAAAACCAAACTGTGCATCAGATATAACATTATTATTCTCACAAAAGGACGTGATACGTTTATTTAAGATTATAGTGAATAACTTAGAAAAGCAACTAACTAGTGTGATACCCCTATAATTGTTAACATTATTCTTATCACCTTTCTTATGTATTGGTACAATAACACCTTCCATCCATTTATCTGGAAAATATCCAGAATCTAAAATTGCATTAAAAACATCACAAATATGCGACCCTAAAATATCAACACTTTCAATCAAATATTCATTCAAAATAAAATCACTACCAAATGCTTTTCCCCTTTTAAGTTCTTTAACAGCGCTATAAATTTCTTGAACAGTTATTGTTTTATCTAATTCTTCAAATCTACAATCCATATTATTAAAATCATGAATGGTACAAAAATTTTCTGCATCAGGATTTTTATCTCGTGTTACATCACTTCCTAGCGTTGCGAAATATGAACTAAATTCTTCAATTGATATGTCATGTGTAGATTTACTTTTGCGTTTAAAATAATTCCAAAAAACTTTAGGTTTAGCGTGAATTAACACATATTGCTTAGAATCATTTCATTTGGTAATGGTAACCATGCCTTTATGAACAGAATTTTAAGTATTAACCCACAACCGGCTGAATTGCTTAATTAAATGGACTTTTTCCGTATCAATATTGGGAATATTGAAGTTAACCAGTATGGTCAGACTAAATATATAATTATGCATCCTGGTTAGACCCTACTCACTTTACCAGTTTATTAAATGAAGATTTCGGATGATTCTAATTGTATTTTGAACTATTTTCCCACCCGAAAGACTAACCTATACTCGGACAATTTATATAAGATATTCAAGGGTTGATTTACTACATGTATTATGCATATGTTTATATGAGAAATATTCCGGATTGTCAGAATCAATTTTTCAAAATTTGATTCAATAGGCTTAGTATTTCTTATTTATATATATATCCTAGTGTTCTCGAAAAATGAAACATAATTATACACTTAGATCAACTACTAATAGAAACATAATACATACAAGTCTCGAATTTTCTGAACGAAACCTGCATTTTAGTTATTATTCTCTTTCCTTATTTTGAACAATATACTCGTATATTCAGAGTCTGAAAAATAAACAACAAACACAAAGCATACAAAAAACAACAAACAAACAAAAACAAGAGCTTTATCCGAATGCATATGAATGCTTTGCTCTCGGGCCTTGATCCTGGTGATCTTGACCGTTGACCTTGTGACATCTAAGTAAGTGTATTTGGTAGTACTCATCAAGTTGCATGCATTAAAGTTAGGACATTCTTATTATAGCCAATGATAAAGCTTTGTGGCAGAGACAAAAAAAAGCAGACGAGACAATTTCCCCTCCCGATACATTGACATGGAGACAATACAAGTTATTTAGCAAATTTAGTTAAAATTGCCATCTACTGATGTCATGAAAAGTAGACACCAAGAAACATTTATATAAGAATGAAAGCTCTCATAGCAAAATTACTTTCATTGTATTTAAAACAAAAATGATAATTTTTATTTCTGGACTTTAATGTTTATTCATATGATTATTTTGTAACATTTTATTCAAAATATTCAAAAATTAAGGTTATTTATATGCTATTATATCCAAAATGAAAATAATGCTTATTTCAATAATTTGGCCGTGTTACACAAAGAGTAGAGCCATAAAGTTATTTCTTTACGAAATAAGATATAGAGCAAACAATTTTGCTCGTTCAACAGGCAGATAACGCACAAACTACTTCCTTTTTCCAATTAAATATGTTAAAAATAATCAATTCGCAAAATTGAGCTATTTATAAACAACAATTTGTTAAGGGAATTTACGCGCGGAGTTTCCTATACATAAGTTATATATAAAGAGTTAACTTAAACGTTTAAGATTTAATTACCTTCTATTTAATATTCTTTTATATATAAAATGACAATTAAAAATATACCAAATAATATCACAAAAAATGGTCGATATACAAGTTTCCGGCGTAGAAACCCCCTATATTTCCCGTCTTAATGAAATCAATTTTAAAACCCAGGACAAGTTTAAGCTGGAATAGTACATGTAGTGTAATTAATTAACTAAATTTACAAATAATGTTTAAATAAGAAATAGGGTGACAATATTTAACACTTAAATACATGTTCTATCATTAATAAAAGCAATTCAATTTTTATGACTACTTTCGTTTTCGGTTATATGATTTGTAACACTAAAGTAGAAATTCACTATCACTAAAGTTAATTGAAAAACAAATAGCCATGTACATAATGTAACAGCTGTAAAATAAAATACGAACTCATATATGTATTATAAAAGATTTGGAATTAAATAGGATATTGTCAAAGAAGGTTTTAACATTATTTTGGAATACTTATTGGGCATTGCAGTCAGGCTCGGCGCTTAAAACTGTGTATTTGGGATTCCGTTGCCATGATATAAAGAGTACAAAGGGCGTTCGTTGGGCAAAATCTGACAGACAGTCTGACGAATGGACGGCCGCGAGACACAAGAAAAATAATAAGAAAAAAATACTTTTTTCTTTCTTTTTATTTCACGAAAAAAAAGAAAGAAAAAAATTGAAAAAAGGAAGAAAAAAAGAAATAATGAGAGGAAAACAGCAGGCTGCTTTCGTAAATTAGAGAACCATATTCATTTTGAGGACATAAGAAATAACAGATCCTTCAACATTTAAGGAATTAAATTGACTAGAAATACAGTGTATCAACTCGGTTTGCAACTTCTGCACGACTTCCTCAAACACAGAATTAGCGAAAAATTATAATTGGACACACTGGGACAAGCTGAATTATCGAATATGATAAACACCGTACTTGAGAGAATAGAGAGGTTCGAGTCATACATGGGGTTCGAGATGTCTCCAGAGCTTGATTTATCCTCGGAGTTAGAGACCAGTATATTACCTGTAACCGCATATGAACACAGTGAATCAGACGACACGAGCGTTCAAGTCGACACAGAGGAAGATACTAGCGACGATTCTGACGATTATAAAGACAACGTAGAATCGCCTGATGGTGTGAAGATAACATATCATACAGACCCAATCCACATTCGGCAAACGCTGAAAGATAAAATCCGCATTCGTCGAGAGTCAGAAGGGTGTGGAGAACTTACAAATCTGTTTGAGCCACCAGTACAGTACAAGGTACATTTATAATTATATCATCTATAGTTACCTTTATGGTATGTATCTAATATAATGAAAATCATAGTTAGAAAACTGTATTATTGTATCAGATATTATATAGACGGAATATAATAACACAGAGGAAACAAATTAGGAAAAACAAAAACCCCAAAATATGAAAACACACGAACAGATGTAAATTAAATGACATTAAACTCATGTAAATATAGCTTAGACTTGAAATGAAATTCCATGTAATTTTTTTAATAAACTTTATTTGGCATAGAAATTAAATTTCATGCATGCAATATTATTAAATGAAATAACTTAGTTTGACTAAGAAAAGGAATAAAAAAAAATATCCAATTTAATTAAGTAAACTTTATAATGTATTATTGATAGCTTACTGAAGAAGAAGAATTGAAGAACGAACAAAGGAAGCAGCGAAACAGACGTTCAGCAAACAAGAGCCGTCTGAAAAGGATCGCATATGAACAGAAACTTGAAAAGGTAGGAGTTCTCTCTTAATTTTCTTATCTTTGAATACTTTTTAATATCTGACAAATTCAAATGTCAGTTTACGGAATGGAAATATCAAATAGTAACGTCCGTAATGGGGTTCAAACGTTTATTTTATAAATAACTCAATCAGATATATGTATTAAATACTAGTATATAAATATTTTGGTGAGATTGTTTGTTATAAGAAATTACAACCGAACAATACTTTAAATGAAAAGAGATTTAAAAGGCTTTTTGAGGTAATTGACAACTTTTTGGATTTTTATTTTACTGCGTTTATTTTGTCAAACAAAATATTATGATATTGTTTCCATATAAGAAGGGTATTTGGAAGGAAAGCAAACAAACATAAAAAATATTAAGCTTAAAAAGTAAACTATTTTTTTTTATCTTGGAATAGATATTATCTGTGGCTTAAAGGAAGTGAAGCCTATATATAACATATAAAACCAATAGCAAGGCAAATATTTGCATATCTCACGAATCGCTGTCCAGGAAGACAAACTGATAAAAAGAAACTGATATGTATATTATTTACTCAAGGCTAATATGTCGAAAAAAATCACATCACCTTGAACATTTTGGATAATTGCCAAATATTAAATAAAAATCATACATAGCTTAGTAATAAGTCAAATTTTTTGGTAAACCAGTTTTACCAAATATAGTAACAGTAAATTTTCCTTTGACTTAAATTAGTTTTTTTTGGAAACCCAACACTTAAAAAATACTCCTTCAGTTGACTGTAAGAACCACAGGCATTTTACTTATTTGTGTGGTCAATAATGATATATCTCTGACACTAATACTATCATGAGATAAAATGATACTAAAAGAGCTAATGGTAATAACGACCCGCTATTACAATGAATGATATGAAGTATGGTCTTATAAAGTATGGTGTCTCTTGTTGTAGGATGCTAGTCACCTAGAGGAGGAGCATGCAAAATTAACAAAAGAAATAGATGAGTTGAAAAAAAGGAAATTGTTATACCATATGATATATAGGCAACACGTGCCAACATGTTTGAAAATTCCTGATGCGTTAAAACAGCTCTTAAATCTACGAAAAACGATACCAGTCGCCGATAGTTTACCCGCTATACAAGCAAAGGGTGTGCAAAATGAAATTGTTGGTCCAAATACAAATCCAATGCTTACACCGCACCGAGATTCAAAACCCCCTGAGTACTCCAACCTTCACTTTCCCATGAAAAGAGAAAACTTAGACGGACTATCTGTTCGTCCATCCAATGTTCAGAAGTTGTGCAATCCTTCACTACAATCAAACTTGAACATTCAGTTAGGCGAAGATTCCATGCAGACATGCATGAATGGTGGTTTTGATGACAGTATGTACAAGCTCGCTGCTGCCGTCTGTCAGACTAAAGCCTCCGATATTGGTGCCATCACGACAAGAATCGGAAGTCAAGACAACACACAATGCGAAATACCATCAATCAATTGTACAACCATTCAATCACATTTCAGTGGAGCAATCCATAACCATACACCTCCTCCTGTATATAGCTCAGTAGTCTCTAACGCTGATAACATGGTGACAAAAGATGTTTATTCGAAGACCAATGGTACAGAGGAACAGAGGATAAATCAGATTAAAGAGCATCTTCTGGACGGGTTTCAAATGACATCTGATAGATAGCACCACACGTCTTCTATTCATTTCCATCGATCAGACTGTTTAATGCACATTTGTATATATATTTCATCACCATGTATTTAAATACCTCTGTGATATGAATAAACGTTACACTGATAATTTTGTTTTCAGAAGATTATGAATGAATATATTTGAGTGGTATGCCAATATGTAAATCATACAAAGATGTGCTTTTATAGTTTAGTAAAGTACAAGTTCTAGTAATTAGCTTACTTTAGTATATCTTGCGAGTTGCGACAAAAAAATCAATTTTGTTTGGAATGGTCGAAGGTATTGGACATATAGACCATATTGAACATATTTCGTACTTAGTTAATCTGAATGATAAATGTTTTGCTAAACTGTTTTGAGTACCGACACCAAGACTTTATGCCATGCGTTCATGCATGTACATCAATACGGGGATTTTGATCTTCTGTCAATGCCCAACTTCGGTTACATCGATTAACTATAATGTGTCTTATATAACTTATATTATGCCTACATTTACATTACAGTTTGGGATTGACATTTGAGTTCATAGTAACTTATACAAGGATCTTTTTTGTTGAGTACATTTTACTTGTACTGTTCTTGTTTCTTGTGTAAAATCAAAATTACCCATGTTTTGGTTTTGAAGCAGCAACACCTTCGGTGAGGTGTCTTTAATGTCTATGCATAATAAAAGATTTTTTGTGTGTATATACTGTGTTTAACATAAACTTTTCAAGGGTTGAAAAAATAAACATGCAAAATAAAGTATGTTGTCGTCTTTCATTTAACCGTAACATTAAATAATTCTAGAAAGACTGTCGTAGACTGGTATACATGTCAAAATAGAAATAAAACAACAAAAACAACATGAACATGATTAATGTAACGTTGTTTTTTTTTTTGCTTTTATTTTTTGAAGAAATGTCGTCATACTGGGTGTTATGAACCTTGCAAAAATTTTTCAAGTCATGTGAATCTTTATACGAACAGTGTCCGTATTTGTTGTATTTTTTCCATAATGTTTCCGAATGGAAGAGGCTTCCGAATGAAAGCATGCTTAATCTTTAAAAAAAAACAAAAAAAAAAAACACATATCTCATAGGGTGAGACACATCAAATATGACAATGCAGTCTTTAAAATATAACTGATCTTGGACATTTACGTTAAATCTATGTCTATATCATCGGTTTTCTATACAGGGATCAATGAAAATCGGTAGGTATGCAATAAAATTTCTATGGATAACAAGAAAATATTTATAACGATTCATGCTTATTTCTACAAGTATTCAGTAAGTACATGTACTTAAAATACAAGTATTGTCAATACCCTAACTCCGTCAGCAAAGTGATAAAGATATATGGTGATATTATTGCCAAATTGTGCATAAACATGCATATTGTCATATAAATGTATTAGTATTTATTATTCATACATTAGATAGAACACCTAAAATATCATCAATTTAATTTCTATAAACATTTGTTGCTTTTTTATCATCAGGAGATGTGCATCTTTAGTTAACCCTCACCCTGCAGAATAAGTATTGAACAGTCAATTTAAAGTTTAAAGAATATCAATACAAAAAATACTAAACTTGACCTATCAACAATATAGAGCCTGCATGGGATTGAAGACTGGCCTGACTCTATATTGGTGGCAAAGGTTAATCACTTTAGCTTACAGCAGGGTAAGAGTTAAACTGCAGTACGGTTTTGCTGTCCACACGCTTGATATATTGATCTGATAAAAATGGTTAGGGAAACCATTAAAAACGGAAATAAAACATTTTTCCAAAGGTATTGCGTCTCTGGTTTCCCATTAATAGATGTTATTTTTGAGATATTTGGAAACAACCAAATCATTCCGAAACAATGTCCGTGAAAGCGTTGGTGTTTTCCGTTAGTTTCCGAAATGTACGATTGCAAAATATGTTATAATGATGTATTTTTATATCATACGAAGAAATAAAAAGAGAACGTTTAATGATCGACAAACCTGCAAAATTAAAAATGTCGCACCTTGTTCATGGACGGCAGCGGTTAATGTAAGCTAACATCTACGCCCCACCCTGGCATCGGCTTAAGCAGAATATAGGAGATATAAGAGTATGGTAGAATTCAAAACTTTAGAGACATCTGCAAATATCCTGATAGCATGATCACGTTCATGAAAAGAACAATATAAAATAATTGTTCAATTATCATTACATATAAAATTGCACACACACAAGCAGAAAATTTGTACATTTAAGCAGAAGCACAAGCAGAAACTTTGTACATTTAATTTAAGTTAAGGAAATGCTAGAAAAAAAGAGTTTTTCTTTATGCATATTACAATCTTACAACATAGCATTCTACATATATATAGCATGACAACTTTATTAATAAGCATGTAATCAGACTATCAGAAAGTGTAGGTCAATAGTAATGCGACTTGTGTGTCATCATTTTTAGTAATGTTTCGTCATCTTAAAAGGAGAATGAATCACCAAACGTAAAATGAGAAATGTATATACGTTCCTACAATGTTAATACTATTTATATCTCATATCATGGAATGTTTATGATTTCTAATTTCATATCAACTTGATAAAAATAATGCGCTGGCGTTCTTTTGCTCATAGTTGGTCACCACTAACTGCGCTCATAATTGTTATACATGTATATAGAAACATACTAGCTATAGTAGTATATCATTCATGATCAAATGTCAAATACCAGTGCCTTGGTCTGACTTGGTAAAAAGGATTAACCAACCTTTGAATTCGCCACATTCCAGTAATAGTTTTAGAGACTTTAATTTCAAAATACAAAAATTGGGCTACCAGTCTAATACCTCTATAATGTCTCAATGGTTAAAATCGTTCATGACTTATAATCATAGGCCATATTAGTTGTTTGATCATTACACACGTGTATTTCGCTCATGGCTGATCTGTTTTTCTTTTTGTTGGGTTTTACGCCGCACCCGTTTATTCATTCAGTATTGAACCTATTTTCAAACAATACACTCTATTTATGGAGCACAGGTATGTGATAAAAAGAAATATGTGAAATATGTGGTTACTTGGAAAGTCATGAGATACATTGAGGTCCGTGATTTCTCTATATCTATATCCAATATTGAAAATTTGAAAGTCTCTAAAAAAAATTTGGCTTTGGAATGATATTAGAAATTAAATATTCGATTACTCAAATGAATGAAAGCCTTTGCAATAAATATGCCAACATTCCATTCATTAGAAAATTGATATCATTATAAAGAATGAAACATCACTATTTTAATTTCAGTACATTTATTTTATTCATTGACGACTTGCTTATAACGATATAGTTTTTACATGCATTGTAGCCATAAATACAGAATTTATAAGAGTTTTCGCCAAGAACAAGGAGTACGATTCATGAATATGCGAAAGAATAAAATTTTCATTTAAAATGTCCGGCTCGTTGACTGGTCACTACTCCAAACCCCTTCTATAACCCCAACATTTCCCAAACAATCTAAATAAACGTTTTTATTTTACATGCGTTTAATAATAATAAATAATAATAATAATAATAATAATAATGTGTTTGAAACATAGTTTATTGCCAAAAAAAAGACATATACATACATGTAAAGACAATTACAATACAATGACATAGGCTTGAATAGTATCGAAAAATGTTAAGTGATTTTTATGTGATTTACGTTTCAATGCCTTAGAAAACATGTACAATTGCCAAATATAACAAAATGTAACAGAATGCAAATAGATTTTGAGAAAATAAAATATAGACAACAATTTGCATCCTGTGACAAATGATTGCAGAATAAGTGTAAATGTAAGTTATTGCATGCATTTCTCAGTCTCCAGTGTCGAGTGTCTGTAGATAGAAAGGTTGGTTTTTTAAATAGAGATTTAAAAGATGACAAAGTTTTTTCTGATTACAAATTGTTTCATAGCATCACAGACGAAGGCACAAAAGAAGAAGAATATACATGAGTTCGCATGTTTAAAGTTGCAAAGTCCTCTGAGTTTCTAAGATTGTATGGTGTTCAATTAAATCACCATATCAAATTATAACAATTTTTTTGATAAAATTATTTCAAATTCTCAGTCGTAATGAAGTAAATGTTGCAGCAGATTGCTCCCCTTTATTTTCATATTGAGTATTTTCATTTGTGATGTGAAAATCTGAGACCAATGAAAATACTCCAAACAAAAGTAAAGGAGAGCAAATGCAATACATTTTCCGTTGTACGGAATCGATTCCACACTCTTGGAACACCAAGGATATTTGCATTCTGTCGCTGTGAACATCTAGCTTGAAGCATTCCAATGCCCCTACTTTCTCAACCTAGCTTAGATAAAATATGGAAAGCAAGATCAACAAGGAAGGGCAGCATTTAATGAACGCAACACAGGACCACCGGCAAGGAGCCAGGCAGGACACCAAACAGGACAGGGCACACGGGCAAAAAAGGGAAAGAATGTCAACTTTGTACCCGTCGATATGTCATACATGGAATCCAGTCAAAGAGTACATGAAACCTTGCTAAATGTAAAAATACCCATGATGGTATCGGGCTACCTGTAGTCAGTTATCATCTGACTTTGTGTATATTTGTCGGGCTTCCTATATATAGTGTACATAGCAAATCGGCATCTGATTTTTGAATTGTGATTAAATGGGCAAAATAGGAATGACTCTTAGCAAGCTTTGAGTGGTATATTTCTAACACTCATGTATCACAGTTACAACAGACATTGTTGTTCATTCTTACAATAAAAGGAGCATGTATTCTTTTGTCAAACTATTATACACAATGCATTTACTTTTATTTGTTGAATGTTAAGACAGTTAAACACACTTTATTATACATGGATCAATGAAAGTCGGTATGTAATTTAATTTATACAGATACAGAGTCTGCTGGTCTGGCTCTACACTGGTGGCAAAGGCTAATTCCTATAGGTGACAGCAGGGTAAGGGTTTAACTGCAGTACGGTTTTGCTAAACTGTCCACTTGCTTGATAAAAAAATGTTTAGGGAAACCATTAAGCACGGAAATAATTTTTCTAAAGGTATTGCGTCTCTGGTTTCCCATTGATAGATCTTATTTATGAGATATTTTGAAACAACCAAATCATTCCGAAACAATGTCCTTCAAAGTGTTGGTGTTTTCCGTTAGTTTCCGAATATGTACGATTGCAATCAAACCATTTCATGTATTTTTATATCATACGAAGAAATAAAAGGAAAATGTTTAATGATCAACAAAAACTGCTAAACTAATAATGCCGCACTTTGTTCATGGACGGCAGTGGTTAATGTAAGCTAACATCTACGCCCCACCCCGGTACAGGCTATTTAAAGCAGAATATAGAAGATATATGAGTATGGTATAATTCATAACTTTAGAGACATCATTATTATCATAATATAAAATTGCATACACGCAAGCAGAAACTTTGTACATTTAAGCACAAGCAGAAACTTTGTACATTTAAGCACAAGCAGAACATTTGTACATTTAAGTAAAGTAAGGGAAATGCCAGAAAAATGATTTTTTTTTCTTAATGCATATTACAATCTTACGATATAGCATTCTACACATATAGCATGACAGCATGAAATCAGACTATCAGAAAGTGAAGGTCAACAATATTGCGACGTGTAATTAATGTTTCATAATTTTGAGTAATGTTTCAATATCTTGTGAGGAGAATGAATCACCAAACGTAAAATGAGAAATGTGTATATTCGTTCCTACAATGTTAAAAACTATTTATATCTCATTTCATGGAATGCTTATGATTTCTAATTTCATATAAACTAAATAAAAAAAAATGCGCTGGCGTTCTTTTGCACATATATAGTTGGTCACCTCTTACTGCGCACATAATTGTTATATATAGAAATACTAGTAAAATATCATTCATGATCAAATGTCAAATACCAGTACCTTGGTCTGACTTTGTACAAGGATTAACCAACCTGTGAATTCGCCACATTCCAGTAATAGTTTTAGAGACTTTAATTTCAAAAAACAAAAATTGGGCTACCAGTCTAACCTACCTCTATCATGGCTCAATGGTAAAAATCGTTCATATTCCTACTTGAATACTGTATAATCACCCTTAGGATATGTTGCCTGCTTTTTAAATTTGTCTTCTGACGTCTTATCTGTGATATGCAGGCTTCATAACCTCAGATCCCCTTTCAAAATTCCATTTTATTTAGTTCCGCCCATTGTTTTCTCGTTTAGGGCACACGCTTTCTTTTACTTGGGGACCATACGCCGCTTTTCATGGAATGACACTCCTGTGTCACATTGAAGGTTCCATGATAACCGCCGTATGAACACATCTGCGGATGTTTCTAAATTCAAAATTTCACCATTTTAGTGTTTAAATGTTGAATTCTGCTTAAGCCGGTGCTAAGGGGCGTGGACGGTAACTTGCAATTTCCATTACCGTCCATGAACAGGCTCAATCAAACCGAGCCTGCAACATTTTACAATTTTGCCGTGTTTGGCTTTCTTTAGGGATTCCGTTTTACACTTTTTATATTCATAGGCCATATTAGTTGTTTGATCATTACACACGTGTATTTCGCTCATGGCTGATCTGTTTTTCTTTTTGTTGGGTTTTACGCCGCACCCGTTTATTCATTCAGTATTGAACTTATTTTCATACAATAAATACCTTCTTTTTACGGATTCGCAAAAGTAGCACAGGTATGTGATAAAAAGGAATATGTGAAATATAGTCATGAGATACATGAGATACATGAGATACATTCAGGTCCATGGTCTTTCTATATCTATATCTATATCCAGTATTGAAAATTGGAAAGTTTCTTTAAATAACTTTTGGCTTTTGAATGATAGGCCTCAAAAGACGGTAGGATTTAGTTGTACAGCACTAATTAGAGATAAGATGTACAATTTTCAAAGCTATACAGCACTTGCATTCAGACAGTAATTCTACACTGTAAAAATCATCTGAGGTTTCCCCTAAAAAGGATCCCTTTACATTGATCCTTTACATACTTTACTCACTAAATACTTTTTTCGCCATGAGTAATGATTGAAACACCTCCATTTAAAAATATATATATATTTTTTTTTTGAAGTGAAGCCTGACCGAGGCTCAAACCTGGGACCCTCGGAATACTGTACTGCGGCTCTACTGACAAAGCTACCTGGCCGCCTACAAACTATCTCCCCTCCTATAATTAGAGAACAATTCAATACCGTGACATAATCATTTTCGGAATAATTTAGGATTCGAACATAACACAACTTTGGATCTCCTGAAGAGTTTTTCAACATCATTTTTACTCCATCCTACTACTATGTTTTTGCCTTTTAGACCTAATTGTTCTGGAATTTTATTCATTAAACCCATTATCAGGAGATAATTTGGTTATCTGTTACTTGTCATTATGGGAGGTCTGTAAAAATCTGTACGACAAGATTTTCAAAATAGAACAAGTCCTATCCCTTACATCTAGACTTAAGGTTTCCGAAATCAAGAAAAAGTAGCCTTCACACATTAAGATTTGTCTGTACATCTTAGTTTTAATTGGTGTTGTACTTCAAAATCCTACCGTCTGTTGAGGCCTCTAGAAATTAAATACTAGTATTCGAATACTTATATGGAAAACCGCCTTTTCAATAAATATGCCAACATTCCATTCATTAGAAAATTGATATCATTATAAAGAAAGAAACATCACTATTTTAATTTCAGTACAATTATTTTATTCAGTTACGACTTGCTTATAACGATACATTTTTTATATGCATTGTAGCCATAAATTCAGAATTTATAAGAGTTTTCGCCAAGAACAACGTGTACGATTCATGTATATCCGAAAGAATAAAAATTTCACTTAAAATGTCCGGTTCGTTGACTGGTCACTACTCCAAACCCCTTCTATAACCCCAGCATTTCCCAAACAATCTAAACTGTAGTGTTTTTTTTTAAACATTTTTTTTATTTAACATGCTTTTTAATAATAATAATAATAATAATAATAATAATAATTAATAATAATAATAATAATAATAATAATAATAATAACAATAATAATAACAATAATAATGTGATAAAAACATATTTTATTGCCAAAAAAGACATATACATACATGTAAAGACAGTTACAATACAATGACATAACATATTTGGCAAAAGGGTTGACCCACAAGTTCTCTCATCATTAGCAACGGGACTTATTAATGAAATCGGACGATAATTTGAAGCGAATTTCCATATTGAAGCAATAATGATAATAATAATAACAATAATAATAATAATAAAAATAATAATAAAAGACACATTTTATATAAATATTTCGTAACTCGCCGCTCATTTTTCAGCATTTATCTAAATGTGAACTCAATAAATCCAACACCTTTTTATCCAAATTTCAAAATCTTTCAACCAAATGTTAGGAAATTGATAACACCTTTTAAGGAAATAAAAAAATCATTTCAATGATTTCAAGTAACAAGTAGATATGTAATCTCTTAGTCTCCACAACAGAAGTGTGACCGCTGGGTTTTTGCATAGCTTATCCCACTGAACGGCAGTTTAACCTTTTACCCTATGAGCATACATGTATTGTGAAAAATGGCCGTTTTCATTGAAAAGCCTCCTGTTACAAGTTTCAACTGCTATAAATCTATGAAAATGCTTCAATACTGATGAAACTTGGCACATATGTTGACTGAGCCATAACCTCTGTACAACATGCTCAATCTTAAATTTCCTGTTACCATGGCAACGGGGGGACGTCTCAAAATTGCGAAAAATCACTAGTTTGCATTGTTTTTTCCATCAAAACTGATTTCAAAGTGTGCTGCAACTTCTCAATGCAATGCAATAGAGTAAAAGGCTTTTCAGCGTTGGTTACACGTTGCCTTAAGATCGACCTGAGGCCATTGCGCTTTTAAAGATGATTAAAGTAAATATTAATAAATGTTCAATTAAATCACCATATCAAACTACATGTATAACGATTTTTTTTCGATATTTCAAATTCTCAGTCGTTATGAAAGTGATGTGAAAATCTGAGACCAATGAAAATACTCCAAACAAAAGTAAAGGGGAAATGCAATACATTTTCTATTGTATGGAATCGATTCCACATTCTTGGAACACCAAGGATATTTGCATTCTGTCGCTGTGACCATCTAGCTTAAAGCATTCCAATGCCCCTACATATCTCAACCTAGCTTAGATAAAATATGAAAAACAAGATCAACAATGAAAGGCGGCATTCAATGAACGCATCCCACTACACAGGACCACCGGTAAGGAGCCAGGCAGGACATTAAGCAGAACAGGGCACACGGGAAAAAAATCCGGATGGGATGTCAACTTCGTATGCGTCGATATGTCATACTTACATGGAATCCAGTCAAAGATTGACAAAAGAGTACGTGAAACCTTGCTAAATGCTAAAGTACATGTAGTTAAAAGTACCCATGATGGTATCAGGACGCCTTTAGTCAGTTTTCATGTCACTTATGTGACATGTCACACATGTGTTTATTTTTGTCGGACTTCCTGTGCATAGTGTGCATATAGTAAATCGTCAACTGATTTTTGAATATTGATTAAATGAACAAAATACCTAATGGTAAAAAGATCATTAGCAAGCTTTGAGTGGTATATTTCAAATAATCAGGTATCACAGTTACAACAGCCAATGTTGTTACAAAGAGCATGTACTCTTTTGTAAAACTATATAATACTTCATTTACATAATACATGAATAATAATAAAAAAATCTGGGTGATTATATTAAAATGAACGAAACTGATACATATTTTCATTTTTATTGGTTTAATGTAAAGGCAGTTTGCAAACACAAAAAATACAATATTATACTTAAATACTTGTATACTTTTATATAGTGCAGGTATTAAAAACAAAATAATACATATAAGATTATTTTTTCAATAACAAATATAAGGTATAAGAAATATCAGGTCAAAGATTTGATTTGTCACAATCATCCCATTCTTAGAAAATATACATTATGAAAGCATGCATATTTGTACTATCTGGGCAAATAACAGCTTTATTAGAAAACGTACAATTTGAATAAATATTAATAAATCTGTTCATTGTTAAAAATGAAGTATGTAAACGAATTTTAGAAGATGACACAAGGTGAACTGTTGCATGAAGATTATTCAACTTGATTAAATAATGAGGAACTCTGATAATTGAAATAATCAATGCAGGATCAAAGTTTATTTTTATTTATGACCAGCAAGACACTATGTCAAATTTTTTATTTTATATGCTGTGAAAATCGCAGACCAATGAAAATACTCCATAAAAAGTAACACATTTTCACTTGTAAGGAATCGATACCACATTCTTGGGACACACCTAGGAAACACCTAGCTTGAAGCATTCCAATGGTCCCACCTATCTCTGCCTGGCTTAGATAAAATATGAAAAACAAGATCAACAAAGAAGGGCGGTCTTCAATGAAGGGAATTACACACACAAAAAACAACAACAACAAAAAACGGAGAAGATTCGTATCCGTCGATATGTCATACTTACATGGAATCCAGTCAAAGATTGACAATAGAGTACATGGAACTTTTCTAAATGTAAAAATACCTATAAAGGTATCAGACCATCTTTAGTCGGTTCCATTCGTTTATTTTTTGTCGGGCGTCCGGTGCATAGTATTTATAGCAAATTGCCTTCTGATTTAAATGAACAAAATACTAATGATAAAAAAATATCCTTAGGTATATTTTTAACAATCAAGTATCACAGTTACAACAGACATTGTTGTTCATTCTTACAAATAAAAAGCAAGGACCCTTAAAACTGTATAATAATAATGTTGGTGGTTATATTAAAATGAACGAAACTGATACCTATTTTCATTTTGTATTATACAAATAACAACAACATTTTACTTAAGTAATATTTTATGTTTTAATATCAAAGTATTAAAATAGAATTATACATATAAGATTATTTATTTCAATTACAAATATAAGGCTTACGATATATAAGGTCAAAGATTTTATTTCTCACAAATTTCCAATGCTTAGATATATTTTCAAAATATCTGGGTAAATAACAGCTTTGTTAGAAAACGTACCACTATTTGAATTAATATTAATATATCAGTTCATTGTTAAATATATATGTTAACGAATTTTATCAGACGTCATAAGGTGAACAAAAAGCTGTTGCATGAAGATAATTGATCATTATTCAACTTGATTAAATAATGAGGCAGTAATCAATGCAGGATCAAAGTTTATTTTTATTTATGACAGGTGGTTATCAACAGAAAAAAAGTTCAATTAAACATATATCTCTATAAATATTAAAATTCGTACATTAACGTTTTAGTATAATCAGGATACTTTCCATACATATCATATTAAAAACTGATTGATTAATCAAATAGAAACCATAATAATGTCTATTAACACTTCATCTATATAAATATTTCATCATCTTTTCTAACTTTAAGCTATGACGAGACTGACAATACTAATTGCTTGAACTTGTTGCTGTACAAGACATCATGTGAAGATCAAATTTCTTTTTATACTCGTCTCTCAACGACTGCAATTTTGAAACTTCTTTCCTCAGCTTTGCGTGTGTTTTCATTTCCTTATAGATTTCCTGATAAAATCACAAATATGTTATGTGATAAGTTAACATGTTAGCAAATTCAATTTACAGTAGACTTATCAATTACAAAAACATTATTTTAAAAATAGTATATGCACTAGAAATTATTTAAAAAATACATTTTACACAATGTCTATCGTTAGAATATATATAACAGAACAAATAAGAAGGCACATGTTTGAATAAACAACTTGTTTAATTTACCATTTTCATGTTTAATTGCACGTGCACAATTTGTCAATTATTTTTTAAAGCATGAGTCTAACGACAATGTCTCTTCATATGATACCATTGCTGATTATTTTCCGGAAATGCGTTCGAGAGTGGTTTGAATATGCTGCATGTGATCTAAAATAGCTTATGTTTAAATAAACAAAAAAGAAGGATATATTCAAGTATAGAACTGTTTATTTTTGCAATACAATATGATAAACAAGATCGACAAGGAAAGGCGGCGTTCAATGAAACTTACGTTTAAAAGATACTGTTCATATTTCCTTGCTTTGTGTCTAGTTTTCTTTGCCGATCTACGGTTTTGTTCAAGACGGGCTTGCTTCTTTCTTATTTCATCTTCTGTAAGCTATAAAAAATTGAAACCACGTTGTTATCAGAAATGTTGATAACAAATTAAAGGAATCACGATTTTGTTTGTATCGACTTTAACATCAAAACTTTTGCACAATCAAAGTTCAAAACCGCCGTACAAGCAGCAATTATACAATTGCTAATAAAATGTAACTGCGGATAAGAACGAAAACGAAAAAAGAATACTTTTAAATTTGATTAACTTCATATAATTTTTATTTACCACAACGTCTCCCTCTCCATTAAAAATGAATTACCACTAACACTTACAACAAAATACAAAATAATTGCCAAACATACTATCGTAACGTTTTAACAAAATATTTCAAATGTTATTGGAATGAAGAATTAGAAACTTTTGAATACGTTATTCTTCTTGAACAAATCTTAAATAATCTATACTTAAAACACACAAAGTATCCATGCAATGTCTGAAAGAGCATATAAAGAGCCAGTTTCAGTAGAATGTAATGCACTTTGATGAAATTCACTGATTTCTACGACGTATTCAATGTTTTTGTTGTTCACAGCAGTGTTTTCTCTTTACTTACTTTATATGTCCTCGGCTCTTCAGGTTCAATCACTAACTCAGGTTGTCCCATTGATAAACGTCTGACCTGTATTTTACATTGAAGTTCCTGTTTTAGTAATGGCATTAAAGATCCTTCACTCACTGACTCTTCAAACGCTTTACCAACTTCAGTCTCAAAGTTTTCAAGGTCCACTTCTATATCTCTGTCATGTCCTGATTTAGACCCAGGTACTTCCGTATGTAGAGTTTTCCTTTGTAATTGCATATTAAGAAAGTCGTAAAAAGGACTGATTTGTATTTTTTTCCTTTTTCTATCTGGTGTTATTTTACTTAATAATGCTGTCTGAATATTTGTTGAACAAAATGTTTCAGTCTTTTTTCCATAGGCCGTTACTGACTTCTCACTTTTCTCTTTTTTATGGTCGTCTTTATCTGTAACTGAAGAATGGGATTTGTCAAAAATAAATGATGATTCTTTATTATTTGATTCTGACGAATAAGTTGATGTTGCTGTTGGGGCTCTTTTAGAAACTAGCGGATTTACCGGAGGTTTAAGCAACTTATTATCTTTCTTAACTGGTACAATTTCCTCGAAGTTGGGCAAATTTCCGCCTGGCGATAGTTTAAAATCGTATGAAATAGGTGAAATTAGGGAAGAGTATCCTTCGTCGTATGAAGAGTCAGAAAATAAGTCAAATAACTCCTCTGTATCCGAGTCACTGTCAGAATCACTAAAATGATATGTATCTATATAATCTGATTTTGTAGTAGAAGATTTAGGTGAAGAAGAATTAAAGACATTGCTATTATTGTCACGAACCTCGAAATAATTCAATTCAAGAGGAGTTGCAATAAGAATTTCTTCTTCTTCTTCTTCTTCTTCTTCTTCTTCTTCTTCATTTTCAATAAGAACGTTTGTGTCAAAATAGTTTTCAGAAACTTCTTCTAGATTTCCATATCCTTCATCTAGAGGACATGTATAATACGCTCTCTCACTTGGTTCTAAAATATGTGAACTCGCCGTGATTGAATATTGGGGATATATTGGAGCTGGTCTTGATGTGGAACTATTTTCATAATTTGGATGTGTTCTGTGATACGAATTGGCTTTCTCTGCCTCTCCTCTCTGCTTCTTGTTGTGGTATTTTAGGTTTCTGCTTTCGCTGGCTGTTCTCATTAATTGTATGGTGTAATATCCAATTGTTGGTCAAGTATGTAAAAATGAAAAAGAAAATATAGATATAAAATTAAAATACTATAATTCATTTCAGACTTTAAAGCTGGCTTAAGAGAAACCATGCAACGAAAATAAATAAATGCCTCAAACCTTAGTCACATATATTTCTATTAGCTAAACTTGAGTCTTCAATTTCCCAAATAGCACAATTATGAATTACATGTATATATGAAATGTCATTAATAGAATTCCACATCTGAACAATAATGAATCAGATTGCTGTTGAGGTCATATTATTTCCTTTTTGTTTTTCCTTTATTCAAGTCCCATTTAGCTTTAAAATGCTAATATGTTTTTTTTTTGTCAAAAACGGTTTATTGTTGGTGTCGTTTACACCTTTTACAGCTTCTTAAAAGTTACTCAGTAGCCATATTGTATGAAGCTCGAATGACCAATTTGTTTATTTTTTGTTGCCTTTATGACAAATGTCACATTTAGGGGTATTTTGATAAGGTGATAAGCCTCTTAACTGTTTTAGATACATTATTGTAACTTTATCAAACTTTTAAAACACATGTCTGCATATTGTACAGAAAGAACAAAATCATTTCTGAGGTCTAACATGCTTTAAACGAATCATTACTCCCGAAAAACAAACAAAGTATTGTATATAAAAAGATTATGACGGCCTGGCATAATTGTACTGAGGTTTATGCAAAATTTCAGGTTATTTATACAATTATTACACTCTGCGTCAGTTTTTCTACGGGTCCTTCGGGATTATTAATTGTAGAAGACGGAATACTGCTTGATTCTCCTACTTTCCGGAAAGATGTTGCACTTTTATATTTTTCTCAATAACAGACTTGATCAAAGCAATTCTTTATTTTTTGTATGATTTTAATGTCATTACTTCTGATGGGATAACCCCTCTTGATATTTATTTTCTTCTTTGTTTATCTAGAGAGTTTTATCAATAGCTTTATCTACCATGTTACTTGTTACTGTTTTTATATCATTTTTCTTAAAGCCATTCTAATATTTTTAAGATATTGACTTATTCCATACCAGCATTGAAATCAGCCATTTTGATTTATTAGTAAGAAATCTGCGTATATTGGTTTACAAGTTGTCATTTCATATGATAGTTTGTTAAATAAATTATAAATGATCATAAAGCTATCGATCGTCACTTTATAATGTCCGTATTTTGGCAAAACAAATGATAAACGTAATTAGGAAACATATTTCATGTTTTTATGCAAGAAACATTTTTGTTTGTTTTTCTTTCGGCCATTTTATATCATACGATGCTATATTATTGCTTCCATGCTCAATAAAGGTGAAACGTGAAACAATATTTCTTTCTACAAATTAACTTTTTTTATAATAATAAATTACCTTAAAATGAAGCTCTGTTTGCCTGATAAATCATTTTTATATAAAAATTAATGTACAACAATATTTTGCATCCGGATATGCGTAGAATAATAGTCAATAATTAGTCACGTACCTTTAACTTTTTTTATATAAAACTCCACGAAATGCATTATGTCTACTAGCATTTCGAAATACATCATCACCTGACATGGTTTCCCTGTAGTTATATATATATATCGCTGTATTTGTTTTCAGAAAGACATACTTGTATACAAATTAAATTTTTTTTGGTTTCCTAATTCTAAATATAGCATATACAACTATATATATAAATTAAAAGTATAAGAAGAATATACAAGCTGTTAAACTGAGCCTGCAATTTCGTGAAAATAATATCACAATGCACATGCTTTTTACTTAAAGTTATTAAATACAAATATAACAACATATTTGTTTACTCGATTTTTACGAATCAAAATAAAACTAATTAACACAACATGACATTAACTGCTAATAATAACAGCTCCTTCCATAGGCCAAAATAAAAAGCATTCCATAAGAGACGACGCCGCTCACCGGCGTCGCCAATTAGGAAGTTAGATATATGACCAAACATATTGATATATATTATTTTTTGGAAACATAAAGCTGGTGATGTAATTCATGGAATAAAAAAAAACAACATTTTCATATATACTACATTTATATTATTTTTTTGTATAAGATTCTTTGTATTATAACGACCTGATAAATAAGGGTACATAGACTTTGTAATGGTGAAGGCCCTCGATCTAAATCAACCAGAGAGTGTGAATTATTCTGTCAAAATCATGTTGTTGTAAGGTTATTAATTTATTATTATCAATCTCATAATTCATAATAATTATTCATTATTTATCTTTCGTTTTGTTGATCATAATTATTACTATTATTATGAATACTTTTAACATTTGTGGTTTAAATAAATTAAAATGCACATTCATCTAATAACAGAATCTGTGTCGGTGAAATAGTACAGTTTTCAGGAAACCGGATGCTAATTCTCGAATGCATTCACACTTCTTACACCCATTAAACAAGTAAAATTTGGCACTTGATCTTGCTTTTGCAAAAAAAAATCTATAAACTGTACAAGATACATGAATTGCTGTTTGTTTACATTTAAAATGTTTTATTACACAATCATATAAAGCAGATCAGTTTACCAAGAAGTGGTCTTTTTCTGGAGAATTGTTTAGATAAATAATATCTTTATCAAAGTAACGTTTAACTGACCCCTCGGTCTTTGTATGTAATTTATAGCAATGACTGACACCGTCTCTTCCCCAGGAATATAACATATTTCAAAGCACGTGCAGACATTGCAAAATCCAATCGCAACTTTTCGGCCATTTCCGTCAGTCTTCGGATAAGGACCTCGAACACAATAGTATGAATACAAGGAACGGATGCGGTATTTCGGTCTAACATACGCTTAGAAACAAAACATGTAAACAAATAGTAAATTAATGCTGGGAGTTGTTGACAAGTTTATTTCCTATATATGTAGTAAAAGTCTACCTAAAATAAATGAATTCATAGATACAAAAGCAAACAATACATTATTTCTATATTTTTATTATGGTTGTAGAAACCGAAAGTACAAAAAACCAACCTCTTGGCATTTAGTCGGATTTGTTTAAAATTGAACATCAGTGGGTTTATTTAAATTAAAAATTGTTGCCAGACATATTTTCAATCATAAGTGACCGAAACAGACATTACTTTTCTTTATATACATTCGTTTTTCTGTTTACATCTGAAACCAATTGGTAGAACTACTTTCAATCCGTATTGTTTCCGAGGTTATCATAGATAATAATCACAAATTGTCTTCGCAAAAAAAATCGAATTTACAGTACGACATCGTGGAGAACATTTGACAGTAGATGTATGAAAAACTTCATATACGCAAAGATTTATATATTTAGGAAACTAGGAACTAATGCAACTATATAATTTGAATTTATATAAAAAATGTTTAAAATTATTGATAATGTACTAGTATTTCATTTTTTGTTCATTGGTGAAACACAACCTATGTTAAAACAATTGTGTATGCATTTATAGTAATTAACGTAAGGTTTAAAATATTGGAGATTTCACAGAAAACGACATTGTATACATATTTACCATACTACACAATACTTACATTTGCCATGACCTGATGTGAATGAAAGGATTTTAACTTTAAGTTGACTTTAAACTTCTAAATATTCAACAGAAACGTTCATGGTTTATTCATCGCCCTTGAAATTATCAAGAGAGGTCAATACAAAACTTTCACAAGTACTGTTTTTCTTCCAAGACGGGAAGCTTTCAGAAAAATAGGGCTATCTATTAAAACTATCACCGCACAATAAAAAGGTTGATCAGCTTATAGTTGTACCTTTTCAGTTGTCATCTTTACTGTTCTCAAAGCTTCCGTGATATATGTGTCTGGTAACACTAGTTTTAGATTATACAATAGTCTATACTTTTTCTCTTCGGATTTTCAATTGAATTCCTTACATTTATTTCGTTTCCAAAAATACTAAATTTCCCGATAATGTCAAAGAGCACTTACTCCATCAAGAAGTTGAAGGTAAAAGAAAACCTGTTTACAATTACTTTTATTGTTTTTGCTAGTAATGTCTTAAAGGGTTTGGTATTTCAGAAACAATTACTTTTGATAAATGTAATTAAAAATTCATACACGTCAGTTCCATAATAATACAAAAAACCCATAAAAGTATGCATTGTAGTTACATATAAAAGGTATATGAATTATTAGATAAAAAGACAATGTGACAACAATATGAATAAATATTAACAAACCAGTTCGCGGCTAACAAGTTCCATAATAATACAAAAAAACCCATAAAAGTATGCATTGTAGTTACATATAAAAGGTATTTGAATTATTAGATAAAAAGACAATGTGACAACAATATGAATAAATATTAACAAACCAGTTCGCGGCTAAAATAAAGCTGAGGTTATACGAGTATGAATTACAATCGGGTGAATATTCAGGTTATTTCTTAATAAAGTATTTTATGTATATATAATTCTAATAAACAGAGCAAAGTTAATTATGACCAGTAAAAAATTGTCGAAGTATTTTAGTTAATATCTGTACGAGTAGTACGTAAGAATTACTGTTACAATCTATGAATTAAAATATGAAAGCGATAAAATGTATAAGATATTTGGAAACTGATTCTTATATTTACTAATTCAAATATGAAAAGGGATATATACATCATCTGTTCATCGTTCTGAGGAATCAATTGTACACATTACTGATGTTTCGTTTTGCCAACTTCTTTAGAAAAATAATACTTAATACCTACATGTAGACATTTAAACATGTTTCATCCAAGTTGCATTTGCACCGTTAAACAATTGTGACATGTTTAAAGTGTTCATGTGTGCATGTAAAACTCATACATTGTACGCAGTATATCAACAGACGGTCCAATGTAAAATACCTGTCTGTAATTTGGGTACTATACATATCTTTAAAAACTGCTGGATTAATCGCGCGTATTTAAGTAATGCCCATCAAGACTTTCTCTATGCTAAAGCTTTCAGCCAGCTGAAGCTATGATAATCTGACACTCGGCTATGGTGGCGTTGAAGAACTTGTTGAAGAACTTGTTGCTGTACAGGACACCATGTGAAGATCAAACGTCTTTTTATACTTGTCTCTTATCGTCTGCAGTTTTGAAATTTCTTTTCGCAGTTTTGTATTTTTTGTCATTGCCTTTTTGATGTGCTAAAAACAGAACATTTGTATATTTAATATGTTAACATGTCCATTGCAGTAGAAGAATTCTAAAAATCAACATACGTGTTAGCTAAGAAAAAATATTACTTTAATTAAAATTAAATGTACTCAATTATCTGTCATTTCAATTTAATGTATCCTTATATAAAAGCACCTGAATGACATACATGTACATATTTCTTTATATGTTACCAAAGCTGGCTTTTCCAGGTTATACACTAAGGAGTAGTCCAAATATTTTTTCATGATAAAGCTTAAATAAATAATGTTTAAACTAAAAGAAGAATGTTATCAAATGTTGTGGAACTGTTTATAATAAAAAACTTACATTTAAAAGATTCTGTTCATGTTTTCTTGCTTTGTGTCTCGATTTCTTTGCCGATCTACGGTTCTGTTCTAGGCGTGCCTGTTTCTTTTTTATTTCATCTTCTGTAAGCTATAATGAATAAGAATATAATTTTTATTAATATCATTTAATAAGAAAAATTTAAATAACAAAATTTACAACAAGTTTGTTTTTTCGAGTTATCGAATGATAAATTTGCACAAACAAACTAAAAGCATTGATGAAAAATGACTCATATATTTGTTTTACTACCTACAAATTGTCATGAGATGAAGTCTCAATTTATTTTACTAAGCGTCTGCATCTAAAAAGAAAGAATTGCCATCAGTATCAGTACCATTTCCAATATAATATATATAGCAAGAGTTTTCTAATGTTAGTGAAATGCGGAAAATATAATTATTATTCTAGTTGATTGAATGCATTTAAATTACTTCAACCACTCTTAAATTATTTATAAATAATACAGGCACTGTTTTCAAAAATATTCAATTGCTATAATAACTGAAACATGATATAAATCCAGATTCAGTGAAAAGTAATCCACTTTAAAATTCGTATTTTTTCTTTCTCTTTCAAGTTGGATGTTGTTCTTAAAAGTTCCCTTTGTACTTACTTTATATACCTTTGGCTCTTCAGGTTCAAGCACTAACTCAGATTGTCCCATTGATAAACGTCTGACCTGTATTTTACATTGAAGTTCCTGTTTTAGTAATGGCATTAACGATCCTTCACTCACTGACTCTTCAAACGCTTTGCCAACTTCAGTCTCAAAGTTTTCAAGGTCCACTTCTATATCTCTGTCATGTCCTGATTTAGACCCAGGTTCTTCTGTATGTAGAGTTTTCCTTTGTAATTGCATATTAAGAAAGTCGTCGAAAGGACTGTGGTATAATTTCTTACTTTTTCTATCTGGTGTTATTTTACTTAACAATGCTGTCTGAATATTTGTTGAACAAAATGTTGCAGTCTTCTTTTCGTCTGCTGCTATTGATGTTTCACGTTTCTCTTTCTTATGACCGTCTTTAACTGAAGAATGCGATTTGTCAAAGATATATGATAATTCTTCTACATTTGATTCTGACGAATAAGTTGTTGTTGCTGTTGGTGTTCTTTTAGAAACTAGCGGATTTACCGGAGGCTTAAACAATTCTTTGTCCTTATTAACTGGTTCAAGTTCGTCAAAGTTGGGCAAGTTTCCGGATGGTAATGGTTTTATATCATAATACTTTGGTGAAGTTACGGAAAAGTATTCTTCGTCGGATGAAGTATCAGAAAATAACACAAATTTATCCTCTGTATCTGAGTCACTGTCAGAGTTACTAGAAAGCGTGGAATGAAAAGGAGAAGTATATGTTTCTATTGAATCAAATGTTGAAAAACAGGTTTTAGATGAATCAAAATCAAATTCTTTATCATTTGCATCAGAAGCAGGAAAATAACCCAGTTCTAAAGGGGTTGCTATAAAAATTTCTTCTTCGTCATTTTCATTAAGAACGTTTGTGTCAAAAGAAAAGTTTTCAGAAACTTCTTCGACGTTCCCATATCCTTCATTTAGAGAACTGGTAAAATATGCTGTTTCACTTGGTGTTAAAATGTTTGAACTCGACGTGATTGAATATTGGGAATGTACTGGAGTTGCTGGTGAAGATAAACTTTGATTTGGCTTTGATTTGTTATGTACAGTAACATGGCTAGAAAAACTGGTTGCCCTTGCTTCTCGTCTCTTGTCGATCTTTTGAGAAGGTACACTGTTTTTTCTCATACATTGAGCTGTATTACAGTAGTAAACTCAAATATTGCTGGATAACTATGAAAACTGAAAAAGAGAAAACAAACAGTTTTGTGAGCTAATTGGTGAATAATAAAGTGCTGTTTTTCTTCTATTTTATTTACAATATTGCTCAGAGACAAACGATTATTCAATTTGAATTCTGCTAAAGCCGATGCTAAGGGGTGTGGACGGTAGCTTGCTCTTTCAATGATCATCCATGAACAGGCTTAATCACATCCTAACCCATCCTGTGCTGTTTCGCGGTTAACCTTATATATAATCTACTATAATTATAGGTAGTATGGTACTAAATATATCAACTTTCAAAAACTGAGCTCCAGTAATAAGAACCCTGCAATGATATTGTTTAAACTCATGGCATACTTTATTATTTCATTTTTACTTATTTTTCTTGACAATCAATTTGTCAAAAATAAAGATTTTCTTAATTAATCTTGATTGATCCATATTGGTAAGTCTACACCAAATTGCTAACACAGATTTCCAACAAATATACTATCAAATATGTGTATCACCGCAAACTGCAGCATTTTAATTATACCTACCAATACTTGAATAAAACTTGGCTGCCCTATTCTGTACCGTTGAGATATTTGCAAACAGGGATGTCCGTTACATTTTGAAAACAAACGAACATGCATCCATTTGTATGAAAATGTGACAATCTTTTTGCATTTGACATTATGCTTACTTTCATTTTGCTTTGTGGCTGATTACATATTTCCTATTGTGTGATGACAACGTGTGTTGAGGTCTGGTAGCATTGTGACAGAGCAATATTGAAATATCAATGTTTATACAATGTATACAGTCCCGACATGTTGAAATATATCACCAAACTATATTGTACTTTAATTCAGCCAAATGAAATTATGATATACACATCGGGTTTTGTAAACAGCATACAAGATGAAATTTAGAGCAAGCCAGATTTGATTGTAAACAATCGAAATTGTAAACCAATAAGTACAATAGCAACGTAAATTAGCAAATTGTAACAGTTAGCATTTACATAATCGATAATATCATGACAATTAAATTGGTAAATGTATTTTGTAAGTTTCGTTTTCAAAAGCAGATTTCGAATTTAAAATGTAAACAAGCCAACTTTAGACGACATTCATGTCAAACTATCAATTCCTTAAAAATGTGTTCCTAAAAATAAAGTTTCATCGGTTTTGTAATGGTCAGCAAAAGGTTTTTGCAAAAAAGGATCCTAATATTGTAAAATTTTTACATGGTGTCATGTGTCACAGAAATATGCTTATACATCCAACTGAAATATAATACAATCCCAACGCAGATTAAAGCATCACTGAAACATATCTATACATGTTAACGAAAGTTCCTACCTCTATACTACTAGAACATTCTTATATAACCCTCCAGAGATCATTACCACTGAAACATATCTATGCATGCTAACGAGATTCCTTAGAACATTCTCATATTGCCCTCGAGAGCTCATTACCTCTGAAACATATCTATACATACTAATGGAGATATCTTCCTCTTTACCACTAGAACATGTTTATATTGCTCCCGAGAGCTCATTACCTCTGAAACATATCTATACATGCTAATGGAGATATCTTCCTCTTTACCACTAGAACATGTTTATATTGCTCCCGAGAGCTCATTACCTCTGAAACATATCTATTCATGCTAATGAAGATATCCTCCTCTTTACCACTAGAACATGTTTATATTGCTCTCGAGACCTCATTACCTCTGAAACATATCTATACATGCTAATGGAGATATCTTCTTCTTTACCACTAGAAAATGTTTACATTGCTCCCGAGAGCTCATTACACCTGAAACATATCTATACATGCTAATGGAGATATCTTCCTCTTTACCACTAGAACATGTTCATATCGCCCTCGAGAGCTCATTACCACTGGAACATATTTATGCATGCTAACGGAGATATCTTCTTCTTTACCACTAGAACATGTTCATATTGCCCTCGAGAGCTCATTACCACTGAAACATATGTATACATGTTTATATTGCCCTCGAGAGCTCATTACCACTGAAACATATCTATACATGTTTATATTGCCCTCGAGAGCTCATTACAATTGGAACATATTTAGATATGATAAAAGATATTTCAATATAAATGAAACATGTTTGTACATGCTTTAAGGCAGTTCAACATCATTTGGACTTATGTTTTCATATATTTTGTCTTATTTTATTCAAAAGATGTATATACACGTAAAAGGCCGGATAGTCTATGTAACTTTGATATGTATAAATGTAATGAAGAGTCCAATATCAGTTAACATATAAATACTGTTACATGACATGCTAACTGAGAGAGTGATATCTCTGTACAAGCTAACTGGGAGTATATGTTACTGCATGTTATAAAAAAGATCACAGTAATGCTAATACCGTGTCCATGTCGTCATTAGATGTTGGCAAGGAATCTAAAATGAAACTCAATTCTTACATTGCTCAAATGCATGTGAGAATCAACATTATTTTTAAATGTGAATAAGAATTTCTGCAACAGCACCATGACTAAAATAGAAAAGCCCTATATTCATATTCAAGTATTATCACCCTACTTAATGCTGTTATACTGGCATAAAATTATTGAAACTTATCATGAGATTACTGTCATACATATCAACAACCGTATTACAAAGATATCTTAAACTTTAGTTTATCAACGCTTGAAGTAAGATAGATATGCTCTAAACGTTTAACATCGCCGTGTGATCCCAAGAACTGATATAATGATTAAGTATTTCTTGTAAAATACATAATAGCACAGGAAATGAGAACTAAAGATTCATTATATTTTTAATTTTTGTATGTATCGAACAACATTTTACCAATTGCCTACAACTCGGACCTTCCGTCAAACTTCGGAAAATAGTCGAGACTAACATATATGCATATCAAGTTAAGTCTAGTTAAGTCTGGTTGTTACAAAAAGCTATAAGTGAATAATTTTCCTCGATCAAATTTCATTGGCAAAAGGACACAAATTGTTGACAACATTCGTGTATTAATTTTACATGATTCAACACACTATATAAGGAAATCTAATGTCCACTCATTCACACGATTAGTCATTATTTGAGAGCGTGTTTTTTTCTTTATACCGATGTACTACCGTTCGATTAAAAAAAATGGTGATTACCAATCTTGCTCTTAATGAATTGAAAGCATTAAAATGATCGATGAAATGTTCTGCTGCCAGACTTCTGGAATATGGTTTGTCTGGAGAAATAACAACACTTCAGATTATTAAATTGATTAAATTTCTGTCAAATAAAAATGCATGTAGTAGGTGTTACATTTGTCTATTTTCTGAAAAAAAAATGGTGGTTGAAAATGCTTATATTACTTGCACAGAAACAGACATATGACTATGAATACTTTGAAGAATATTGAAACTCGGTCTCCACAGACTCATCCACTCAGGCTTATTATGTACTAGTACTAGTCTCAATATTTCGACTGCAAGACAGACCGATTTTATAATCTGATATTTCATAGATGTCTGTCTTTACAAAGGGCGACCGTCGTCTATATAAAAAGCCCTAAAGCGCACAATTTGTTGGGCTAGTTCTAGTACTAGCATGAACGTGATATCCGATCTGCTATTTTGTGGGGGAAAAACATGCACATAAAATCCATCTGAATATATGTTTTTGTAAATTTATGAACAAAATATGTTACGATGTAACTGTTTCATGATATATATTAACATCACTTGTATGCTTATGCGAAGTAGTAAAATGTAATAGGTATATATCATTCCTAAAAACACCACAATGTGCTGTATCGCACTTTACACAACACAATCTAATGATTTTTATTTATAGTTATAATGAAATATTCTTCTTTCGGGTATCAGCAACCCTTTTTTTAGAATAGATCCACTGTTTCTGTGCAAATTAAAACAAAAAGAACGGAAAAAAACAACAACAGAAACAAAAAACAACCACAATAACATACAAAACATATACCGTATCATAGTTTACCTTTCTAACTAAACTTAATCAGTCTGTGCCAAGTTGTAATTATATAAAAATATTCATGCATTTCTTCTCAAAATGGCGTATACGTCAAAACATATTCAGTTCGGACATACGTACTTGTGTAGTCATAACAGAGTTAGTAATCTGACACGTACCTTTTCAAAATCTTTTTAAAATTCCATGAAATAACATGTATATGAACATCAACATCTACTGATAATTTTGTATATTATAGTGGTTTCCCTTTTTTTTAAATTTTGGGCTAAATATAGATCTATACTAGGGAACCCAGATATAGGCTTGACTTATAAATTTGAGCGGAATTTCTAATACTGCGTGTTTAAACTGAATATTTTACGAGTTCATGATATGAAGAATATTCATACGTAAATTCTTCACATGTTTGAGCAGTTGGCAAATATATGCAAGAACTAAGGTGAAATAAAACAACATAAGACTATGAATAAAGAAGAAACACAAGTTATATACGTATATAACAACTTATTATTTCATTTAATAAAACAAAATAAAACCATTATTCATTTATTGTTAATTTTGTAGTATAATTCCTTAATCATGATGAAATATAGACTGCAGATATATTATTTAACAACGAGTAGCTATATATCTTATTAAGTATTGCAGTAAAATTGTATTGGTTCCAAAATGTATTGGTCGATTTTGGAAACAGTGGCAACATACAAAAAATTCTATTGTTTATTACATATGGATATTGTTCGCAAACAGAATAAAGTGTCCTGGAACAAAATATTATTCAGCTAAAAATATTAAATATGTTACAAAACAACAATTTTTCACCAAAATTAGGTGAAAGACCACATGTTAACATGGAAAAACTAGATTTTGGGTAATTCCAAAGATTTTCATCATTTTTGTTAATGTAGGGCTTTATCCGTTTAGCAATGATTTCGAGCTAAGCCATTTGCGTTTTTAAAAGGCAATTTAATATTTTTGCAGCAGATATATAGCTTTATACAATATAACAAACGCATTATTTTATTATGATTTCACGTTATAAGTGTTGTTTCTGTTAATTCATGTTTTAACAATCTGGTCAAATGGCATAGTGGTTCAGGTGTCAGTCTCTCAACCAAGGGATCGTGTGTTAGAGCCCTTCTCGGGACACGATCATAATTTTTCATAAATCTAGGAAGCGGGCACGAAAGTGATTAATATAAGTTGCAAGAAATTGTTTCGAGCTAAAATAAATACATTTGTGTTTTAACTAAGATACAGTCATAATGCCAGAAAATGTTTCAAAAGAAGTTGGATTTTCTCTCTCCAGAATTGATATGATACATTTACCAATCACAGCAATGTATGACTGACGCCTGGGTCTTCAAATATAATTGTATTTACTGTTGAATTTTCATCATAATTTATATCAATGACTGGTACCGTCTCTTCGTTAGTAACTTCTAAATATTCAACAGAACCGTCCATGATTTCTTCTTCACCCGTGGAATTATCAAAGGAAGTCAATACAAAACTTTCAATAGAACTGTTTTCTTCCAAGACGAAGCATTCAGAAAAATTAGGGCTATCTATTGGAACTGTCACCGCACAGTTAGAAGATTGATCAGCTAATATGCGATCTTTTTCAGCTGTCACATTCTCTACTTTTCTTAAAGCTTCCGTGATATAGGAGTCTGGTAACACTAATTTTAGGTTATACAATAATCTATTCTTTTCCTCTTCGGATTTGCTGACAACTTCTAAAAGTTTCTCTTTTTGCATTTTCAGCAGCGATAAAAGCTACAAAAGAAAATAAATGAATAAATAAGAAAGAAAGAAAGAAAGAAAGAAAGAAAGAAAGAAAGAAAGAAAGAAAGAAAGAAAGAAAGAAAGAAAGAAAGAAAGAAAGAAAGAAAGAAAGAAACGAACGAAGAACGAAGAACGAACAAACAAATAAATAGATAAAAAAATATTCAACATTATTTTTGCCGTGTGCGAACATTCAGTGACAATGTTATACAGAACATTCTAAAATAAAAACAATCATCATCATCATCATCATATTACTATTAATTATTATTATTATTAGTATAATTATTATTATTATTATTATCATTATTATTATTATTGTCATTATTATTATTATTTATCACATAAAACATTAAAGACCTTCATATTTTCATTGTCCTCAGCTTTCTGTTTCTCCCTACATTTCCTGGCCGAGTCCCTGTTACTTTGTCTCCTTCTTCTATCTTTCTCGATTTCTTCTTTCGTCATCTGAAAATAAAATTTAAACTATGTAAATCCGGTTGAAATTATAATAATAAAAAACAACAAAAACTTACCCTTAAAGAAAATAGATACACGTATAAAGGAGTACTTATTTTATTCAAAATTAAGAGAAACTCGTGTTTTCTAATGCAATAAAAGAATGATTCAAACTAGTGTTCGGGTCGGTATCTTAAAAGGCACATTATGCTTCAAAACAAATAATTTTACTCCTTCTGAAAAGGCAAAGATGAATTCATAACGTTAAAATAATAGTTTTAGAGCATGTTAGATGACTGTAACCTTAAAAAACTAGCTATATTTAAAATGTGAAATAATATGCCATAAAAGTAGCAAAATATAATCAAAGTAGTATTTTGACTACCACACAAAATACTAAATCACTATAACTGTACTAACTGAGGCAAAAGGCGGTTCAGGTATTTTGCCGATGAAACTATAAAAGTATACCAAAAATAGAAAGCTTTTGAGAAATAAAAGTATTTCTGAAGCAGGATGGGCCTATAAAAACTTGCTTTGAGTAAATACAAAAATCATTTTGATTTTATTGTTCTCTTTTGAACACTATTGTTATATTTTTTCAGGAATTTGAGGTACAAAAATGTACAAGTATAGCTAGTAATTCTTTATGTAATTTTAAATTTTTGACGCGGTAGTGAATAATATATATGTACATGTAGCAAAAAAAAGAGAAAAAAAAGCAACAAACACCCCCTTCAAAATAAACAACACCCCCACAAAAACCCCTAGCAAACAAAAACAAAAAAAACACACACACACAAAACAAGCAAAGCATTAAACTAACCGGATAATTTTGCTTGGGGCTAAAATCTGCGGCAACATGGTCAAGCCCACGACTTTTTAAACTTCCAATGACCTTTGTCTTCAAGCACTGTTTTACAATTTTGTTTTTACTGATTAATGTACTATAGCCGTTTCCACTCTCATTTGTTTGACATTTAGAATTCGAGTTATTATCCCAACAATAAAATCCATCAACGAAATTATTTTGTAATTCAACACCCATCTTACATGAAATATTTCTAAAAGCGGTTCTTAAGGGGTTGCTTTATGAATCCAAATCCGACGATGATGGTCTTGCGGTCTATCTATATACGTTTTTTACATTGCCGGTTTCGCGCTTAAAATTATCACTTTTGCGCATGCGCATGCGGGAAATCGTGAAATAATCCAAGTAATACTCAAAGTATATACAGACACGTTAAAACCTCGACCTAGCTGAAATATCCATTGATTTTATGGAAGAATACCGATCGACACTTGTAATAATCAGATAATGTTTCCTTTCCAAAAATTTAAACGAATATAATACGGACTATGCGTGTGTCTATTTATAAATAGATACACTCTATAATACAGTGGATTTTCCGCTTTTAAAAATAGATAAATTTCTATTTTTGTAAGGTATTTCCCATCTATATTTAGATTGTGTTTTTTTTAATTGGGCGGGATTCCAATATTAAAAAAAAGTACAGATGGTACATGAAGTAATGTTATTATACTAGAGATCTTTGAAAACGAACGCTTTGTTTAAAATTGTTCTCAAACCGAATGCACTTATAATATCAATACATGTATATTCATAGCAATTTCTTTATCCATATTATTGCCGTCATTTAGACACAAACACATTTGGATTAATTTAGTAATAAAGAAAAAAATGCATGATAACAATGGTGCTCCAAAAATCGATTTTTTAAGCTATTTTTAGATTGCTACTGTAAACATAACGACACTTTAGGGTGATAAAAAGATGTCCTTTTATTTGTATAACATAATTCACGCTTCTGAAACGATTCAAATTTTATTCTCCCAAATTTTTTTTAGTTCAACAGTTGAGTAGTTAAAGTTGTTTTTATTTCAATGAAATGGAGTATAGGTTTATACAGTGGTCAATAACATACATGTATTATAAAAGTCCACGAACTTTTTTCAGTTATAACAAGAAAAATATTACATACATTCGTATGTAATATACTCGTAGGTACGATTGCATACTACTTTTTGTGAAGACTTTATGTTTGCTGAATTAAAGGTGTAATGCAAAATGAACAAACATGTCATGAGATATTAAATATCTTTAAACATTTTCATGAAATGTAATTAATGTATCATCATATTAAAGTCGCATGCCTTCAGATGAGAAAAATGATTTCAAGAAAATCAAAATATGAAAAGAAAATTCACGGTCAATTGACTGTTTTTAAGCATAATCACAAAATAAAATAACAGGAAATTAAAAACCTTTTTAATACACTTAAGGTAGAATTTCATTGTAAATCATAGTCACAGATTTGAGATATGATTATTTATTCATATTAACATCATTATTGGTTATATATTGATAAAAAAAACCCGAAAGACACAGTTTGTAAATATTTATTACAATAAAATATGAAAAAGGTATTTTCCATCCTATGAGACGCGCCGAGGTTAGCTATAATTAAAATTCCCGCGCTAAGTCGCGGTGGTGCTTGGGATAATCACTTGATACTGTAAATGGCAGCCATTTTACGATACGAAAATGCCTGGCCCTCCTCGGACAGTTTATCCTGCCGAAAAGATATGAAAAAATACTTACAATTTAAAGTTTGCTTGCTACATAAAGATTATCGATTTACTCTTTGCACACTTTTTCTCTGCCTGAGTATAATAATATTGACGTGTTTTCATTGGCTTAAACCATCACGTTACCATGCAATACACATGTAGGTGTGAACTAATTTCGTGTTCATTAAAATTATTCCGTTACTAGACATATAACAATCTTATTTACAAATGAATTGATAAAACAACAATCCCAGAAGCATTTAAGATAATAACAATCATTGGAAAAATAAATGCATATAAATTGTAAATTTGTGTATGACAACTCACCCCCTAAACAAAACATAATAGACTCAACCAAAACAAGCGTCTGCTTCTTCACCTAACTATGTAGTTGCATGACCATGATTAGCAATAGAAAACCAAATCTAAGAGATAAACCTATTGTAAAAATAATACTATGACCACAGCAGATTTCGTACAGAAAAGAACTAAATTTGATGAACAGCCCATTCTTTATAAGAATACATAAAGATACATATATATTGAAGCTGGATAGCTTTATGATACATGTATATACAGGCAGGCGAATCTTTTTGATGTTCATCGACAACGTCAACCATCTAGTAGACCTTGCCTGCGGGAAGTGACCACATTGCGTGAACATCTCCACAATGACCATACCACATTGGAAACCCGTTTCGGGTACCTGTAGGAAACGGTAAAAATTATTCCAGGGTGCATAAAATCCGATGATCTTGTGGCATTCTCTGCTGATAAATGAGCCGCGTCATGACAAAACCAACATAGTGCGTTTGCGACCAGCATGGATCCAGACCAGCCTGCGCTTCCGCGCAGTCTGATCAGGATCCATGCTGTCCGCTTACAAACCCTGTAACAAGTAGAGAAACTGATAGCGAACAGCATGGGTCCTAACCAGACTGCGCGGATGCGCAGGCTGGTCTGGATCCATGCTGGTCGCAAACGCACTATGTTAGTTTTGTCATAGTGCGACTCAAATACCTGCTCATCAAAAGTGTAATTTATAGAATTACATGATGTTCTTTGTTTTCATTATTCTTTATATTTCAATTGTAAAGTTTCTTTTTTGAAAGCAGATATATGAAATAAGTTAGATAGGCTAGAAGATAGAATACACATATTTTCTTATAATTCGTGTTCGTGTGAAAATAACCCCAGATAATTCAGGCTCACTTAGTATGTATACATGTTTTGTAAAACAATGCTACCGGCTGCGTAATTATAGACAGTTAATACGGCATTGATACTGCATTGATTTCAGGAAATGAAAAGGAAACTGGGGAAATATTGATGATATTTTTTATAAATACATTTTTTGCGTTTTTATTATCTTAACAGGCATAAAAATGCATAAACTCGCTTATACATGTACATACATTACGGGACTGACGCAAACTTCTTTTATAAGCTTACAGTTCTGTCTACTAAACTAAATGGATTTTTGACAAGGGATCAAAGGTTATGAAGCCTGCATATCACAAATAAGACGTCAAAAAAAAAAAAAAAACAAAGTTAAAAAGTAGGCAACGTATCCTAAGGGTGATTCAACATTATTCAAGTAGAAATATTGGAACCACCTAACTAGAAAATGCCAAATAGTTAATACTAAAAATACCACAAACACAACAATAAAGTCGTGCTAAAAGATCTTTAAGGATCGGCAAAAAAAAAGCATCACGTATAGTCATTGTTACTCATTGACAGTTTGACACTGTTTCGATAATGACTTTGATTTTATTTTATTACAAACTATTCAGTTGGTTCATGTTTTAATCTTAAAAATCTTAAATACAGCAACAAAATGATGAATATTGAAAAATTGGTTTTCTTTCATCATCCCAACAAATGAAAGTATAAAGTACATAAACACATATACTACAGAAATAATTAGTATTATTGGCAGTCATATTACAGATTATTTATTCAAGAACGTTTTTAAATTCTGGACAGTTTCCACAAGGATTAATAGTTCCTGCTTAAAAGGGGGTGGGCGGGGTAGTTCCTGCTTAATAGGGGATGGGGGAATGGCAAATTATAATCGCGGGATCACTTTAAGAAGTTCTTTTGGGAAACTACCTACAAGACTTAGTAGACCTACAAAAATAGTAAAAATAATTTTATCTCAGACTCCTAACTTAGTTGCAGTATTACATAACATTACAGAAAATGTTCTGTCACAAAATTTAAGACTGTCCTGTGCATTCATTGGCCTACAAAAATCTTTAACCCTTTTTGTACCGAAGCGCACTGATATTTAAACTTTTAAACATGATCTATGGAAAAATATTAAAATGTTTAAGGCTATGTATGCTATTGTTGAGTTGAAATTTACAATAATTTTTTGGACTTATTCGAAATATACATTGGTCTAAGGCAGGGCCTTAATATTTTTCCTGGATTGTTTGCATTCTTCTTAGAAGATCTAGAATTTTTTAAAAGCCACGCATACTTCGAGATTAATAATATATATAACGTTTGCGAGTAATATTAACGTTGCTTTAATTGGCAAATCTAGAACTTACAGAATTGTTTGCATAAATGATGCAATTACTGTAATTACTGGAGAGACACAAAGCTAAAATTGACGAAAACATATACTTGTAATATTTCTTAAAAGGTGTCCAGTAAAATAGGAAGAACAGTGGTAGCAACCTAAACAGGTAGTTAACTTTAAATGATTTCAATTTTTAGGTGACTTACAAAATAAATTATTGGTAATGCATTGTAAGTGAAATACGCATTTTTTGGTAATATTACAAGTATTAGCATTTCAGCTCCAACCAGCCCTGAATTTGATTTTATTCCCCGTAAAATATACTTCTTCCTAAAAAAAAAGCTAAGGTTTATTCTTACGAATAATGTTATCCCGTAGGAAGCCCACACACAGGTTTCGAGCTTCGTATAATATATGAAGATCCGTAGTATTCGAATTCCTTACATAGGTAACCCTACAAAAACATGGCGATTGGCGTGCCCCATATGTGCCACCTTTTTAGGGTCTTTTGTCGTCCATTTTGTTATCATAAGTATTAAATTCTCCATTCTGATTGGCCTATGGCAGTCGGTGAACGGGTAGAAATGGTCATTTTCCACAATTAGAATAATTATTCTGGAAAAAGGGAATAAGAGAATGATCTGAAATTTGTACATAAGTTATTGAAACATAAACATCAAATGATACATTAATTTCGATAAAATATTTCCAGTCTCGATATACAAACATGGAAGTTTATCCACTGGATCACGACAGTGAGCAACTAGAGCAAAGTTTAGCCACTGCATCGTTCTTGGTCAGTTAACCAGTACTAATTGCTTTCAGTTTTGCAAGTACATGCCAGAGCAGAAATACAATGGGAATGACCCCTGAAAGGATTTCACGATCGATCATAATGAAAGTGGCCAGCACCGTCCTTGAATGGAATGGAATGTACATTCAGCTGGTGAATATGATGTTATTATGATGTGATATGCCCATTGTAAATGAAGGGCTGTCTTTAATGATTAAGGCAGTCATCGTTTATTCCTGTCTGACAGTAACAAGTGACTAAATGGGTTCGAAAATCTGGAGTCTATGCTTCTTTCAGCTCCATTATGTGATATGTACTGAAAAAGTACTATTGACCGAAGATTCCATTTAAAATAAAGATGTCATAAGAGTCTACTTCTTAATTATTTTATAAACCGTGCAATTCCATTTTTCGTCAGTTATCTGTGAATTTACAAAAAGAAAATATCTTTTTATTAAATTTGAACCCCTTTTTAAAAAATAAAAATAGTATGTTGGCAATTTTTCTTGCAGTAATCATCTACACATTTTGACGGGCATACTAATTCTAAATTCGAAATAATCCCCCACATTCAACAAGACTGAATTAACTATCTATTCTTATCAGGTTGGTAACATAGATTTTCACTTAAAACGGAAGTTGATATTTATATTTTAGAGGGGTTTCACATGCAAGTCAAAGTCCAGTGGGGACTGGGGGCAAAAGTAATAGGACTTCAACTCTACTGTTCACATTTTTATATTTACGTACACAATTTTGCGAGGGACAGATATCGGAACGTTTCCTATGTATACTATTGAAAATGCAATACAATATAGTTACATAGTTGTCGATAATGTTCTCAATATCCAAATAATAATTCAAATACAAAATGTACATAATATTGACTCAAAGCGGACGACACTAACACGTGGTATACCAACAAAACTGATCAAATATAGTATCTGCATTTATTTAAATGAACACAACAGTGTGGAAAAAAAATCACTTACTCTTCAGATAAATAGAGCATCTATATCTTTTAACAACCTGAATAAATGAATACATGTATGACAACAAAAACCAAATACATATTAATATGTTTTATTAATTTACAAATTGATAAATAATTATGCAACAAATTAAAACATATGACTATTCCATAAATTTGTTTGGCTTATCAAATATAAACATATTTTCCCAAGATGTTACCAAGTAAATAGTTTATGTAAGGTAGAACATGACTAGTTATTTATTACATAAAGTTAGTAATATTTTTTGTGTGTTTGTTGTTGTTGTTGTTGGTTGTTGGTTAATTTTCATTAATTATTTTAAAAGAAATGATATGTTTTAAAATGAGACTTGAATGTACTGGTTAAATTTTGATTCTAGCATAAAATACTGAGTCATTGTGAAAACCTACACATTAGTTCCAATGTCATTAACATTGCCTATCATTGCGTGAATATAGACAGTAAAATATCATTTCCTATCTCAAAATTAACCAACTGGTCAACTGTTTGTACCTCATCCCCTTGGTCACCAATAAGACACGAAAACAAGGTTTCACTTCCTAGATGTTCATCCTCATGCATGTTTTGTTCATTTGTAATATGCAATAAATCTTGCTCTTCATTTTGTATTAATTGTGTCTGTTCTATAGTTCTAATGGTTTCTAAATTGTCTTTAGCAACAGCGTTTTCACGAAGTTCATGATAGTTAGTTTGATTTAAAGTTTCTAGAATATAGGAATCAGGTAATATCTTTTTCAATGCAAACATAACTTTATTTTTCTCCTCTTCAATTTGTTGCACCCTGCTCAACAACTTCTGCTGGTCTTCCCTTAGTTGTTCCAGTAACTATAAAAAATAACATTGCTTAAGTCTGTATTATCATCTCAATAAATATACATATTGCATATTTTTTATTTCACATGTATCTTTAACAATGGCATAAAGATTTTTTTAAATCCCAATCATGATCTGTAGCTACCAAATCCGGCCATTAATGAAAATAAATAAAGTTGATATGTTATACAATAAAATAGATCAGACAAAACCTTTATAACCAACTGAGAGGTAATGGTCTTATAAACCCACCATGAAACTACCATTTCAAATCCATTCTTGATAAAAATCGATGGCCAATCTCACACAAATGTAAATTTTTTATGTGTTAACATATTAACGTTTTGTTTTTTTCATTTCCATTATTGATGTTTACACATCAAATAGATTTGCGTAAAGCAACTACTTTTTATGTTAATTGTATAATATATCGTGTAACAAGAAGCGTACCCTGTTAACGTTACTTTTATCAAGAATATTACTCGTTATGCTATAGCTATCTCAGAAAATGCAGAGACGTGTTAACAACTGTAAAAGATTTCATGCACATTTTCACACCACACGCACGCACGCACGCACTCACACACATATTGTTCTCTTCCAATGTGTTTACCATTTTGTTTCTTTTGTGATCTTCCTTCTGTTTTTCTCGACATTTTTTTGCTGAAATTCTGTTACTCTCTTTTCTTTTCCTATCCTTTTCTTTTTCTATCTCTGTCAACTGAAATAAATAAAACAAAACAAACATTATTATTTTGTCATAGATAGATGTAACGATTACTAATCTTTTAAAAACATGGAAGATCTTATCAATATTCATTTATCCTTATCAATATTCATTTATTGCCATTGTTCAACTATTTAGTGTCAACTATTTGTGAGAAAGTACATTTGAAATAGTGATGACCGCGTGGATTTATTATGTACTTTGGAAATGAAATACAAAAAATACCTCTAACATATATATTTTCACAACAGTACATATAAAAATATTTTGTTAAGCATGTACAAATTTTGCTCGAAGGAACAGCTTGAACACATAACTGTTCTTTATTTGACCACACTACTTCCATTTATAACGTTTTATTTTATTTATGTTTATTGTTGTTTTGTGTTGTTGTTGTTTTTTTTCTAGAAAATAAATAAAATCCAGTCACTACATAATTAACGATATAGATTGTGTACCGGGTAATTTTGTTTCGGAGAAAAATCTACTGTTATCTTGCCCAATCCAAGGTTCTCGCGCCTCTCAAGAATTTTGCTTTTAAGCGAATGCTTAACGTTGTTTCCATTAGGCTCATCCGTATCAAAGCTTTCACCACTCAAACTTGCATCTTCATTGCAATCGTCAAAAATGAAACGCTCTAAATCTGCAAATTCCACACCCATCTTACAATGTTTAGAGTAATTAGCAAGCAAAATGTTTAACCATATCACTATTAACTTGTATAAAGACAAGTGTCAAGACGAAGTGAATGTTACATTTAGGAACAGCTCCGTATGCCCTGTATGCAACAAAGGAGTATTTGCAATTGCCACTCCTATTGCATGCCTTACATACCATCACGCTATCATTTTACATTTACATCAACTCGGAAAAGCCAAATAATTTTCAACTTTCCAATGAGACATGACATGGGAATCCAACTTTTTTCTGCCAAGTAGGCAATTGCATGTTTTTGTATATCAGTTTCGTCTATCAAATACGGCACTACAAGCTCTACACAAAAATAGATATATGTGTGAGTTTACATAATAAATACTCATTAATCGTAGTTCTTGTTGAAAAGTCTTTTTAACTGATTAACTATGTACACGCTTTCTTATACAAGGTCAAGGTGAACAAATATCTATTTTGTTTTATATTCTCCTCTTGTCCAAAAATAAAACAATAAAAAAAAACAAAATATATCAGAACGGCCAGAGGTACAATGTAAACTGAAATACAATACATCTTATCGTGAGGGATGGTTACGCGGAAAACCAACTGTATGTATATAGAACCAAGTCATGTAAGTTTTACATACGGTTTTCCAATCTAAATATAGTCCTTTGTCAACATATAAATATGAACAAAATTGATTATATACGTTTTTTTTGAAAATATATTGACTGGTATATTGTTTAAGCGTTTTACAAGATTAAACTGTGGTGTAATAAGTTTGTTACCGCATTCACATTGGGTTATATATTTACTTACTTATTTTTAAGTTGAATTGGATTGCAAATGTCTACATATAGAATAGTAAATTGTATTCTCGAGCAAATGAAGATGACCCGTCTTACTACAAAACTAATGAACTAAAGTTACTATAAATAGTAACAAAAATGGTATTATTAAACCGTAAATCATAAAACTGTCAGAACATTTAATTTATTAACAGACGATCATTTATAGTCGCCTCCGGAAACGTATATGGGTGACTGCGACTCCTCCTGAAAAGAGTAATTTCATTTTATGTTTTGGACGATAGAGCAACGGTACAGATTCCTCCATCGCCGCCATTTAATTTGAAAAGCCAAACGGAACTCAAAACCTCTGTATTTCAGTTAATCCGGAGCCCCAGTGTTACGAGTTTGACACCCGCTATTACTAAAAATATCGTCTCCGTTGTGCATTACATAGCCCAAAATGAAATATGCTGTACTGCGTTATTTCAAAGCATATTTTAAGCAAGGTTTTTAAAAACAATTTTTTGGATCAGTCAACCCACACGAGGTAGGGGTCGGGCCATGTGATATGCTTAGTTTTCGCGATATTACACTGCTTTTTATGTCAGACTATCCTATTGTAACATGGCCAGCGATTGTCCGAAAACCGTAAAATTCAATGGGAAATGAGGTGATTGGATGAAAATGGGATGTTTTAAATATGAAAACTAGTTGAGAAACTTACACTATTTTGTTTTCTTAAGAAAATGAAATATTTCATAAGTCTGTATGATAATTTGTGACTTGGATATTTGCATTTATGAAAAGTGTGAGAAGCAGAAAATTTCAATGAAAAGGGGATAATCCTCTTTAAAGCCATTTTGCAAAAAAAAAACTGAATTAAGTTCAGTTGCATTTAAAATAGCTTCTTATCATGTGGTGTAGATGCAAAATAGTTATAACGATTGGTTGTTTTCCACTGAGTTAACCATAATTACACATTCACAATATATGATGTCATTTTTAGACTATATCTGTTTAATGCCTATCGGAATGTAGTATAGCACCAAGGTAGAATTATTTTCTATAAAAGGTTTTCTATAAAAGGTCTCTTTGATCTGCTTTTTCACTAGCATATCATGCACCATTATAGCAACGTTATAATATGTCTGATGTGTGTGTAACAGCCCTTACTCAAGTAGGGACCATTATGCACCTCCCCTTATTTATTTAGAAACTTATATAAGCCTATAAATTCAAGTTTCTATATATAGTATATATTACTTTATGTGTACAAATATTGTTTTATCCATAATAAGATCACAATACAGTGTTTACATAACTAAATCTTCATTTTGAAAGTCTATTAGTGATAAAATGTTGAAATTGGGTGAAAATCACTTATTTTATAGTGGTGGGTGATAAAATTGGTCCCTGCTACAATGTTTTGTTATAAATAAATTCTTTTGTAGCAGTTCTGTTATGAGAATATAGTATCTTATTGTTTTCCGTGTGATTCTATAGAAACTGTTACAAAATTGGCTTCAAAACGAAAAGCACATACAAAAATTCATTTTCAGAATATTCTGAATGGAAAAAGGTAAGTTCAAATTGACTCAAGAGTTATAAAAATACGTCCATATCATGGGTAATTGTATATTGTATAACGGAATGTGATCAGTAAATTTTAATGAAAAGGGGAATATTTATCTTTAAAGTCATTTTGAAAAAAAACGATTGCCTATCCCTATATAAAAAGATCATGTTTATGTGTTAGGCATAAAGGTAGGACAAGGGACCATTTCTCATAATGTAAGTCTATGCATACTGCATAACTAAATCAAGGGCCATAACTCTGTCTTGAAGGGTCTGACCGGTACGAGGCAACGATAAGCATATCTCCTCGTGGTATTGATGGTTCCTATAAAGTTTTGCTGAATTCCAGCCAGTAGTTGCAGAAAAATAGTGCGCTTTGTATGCATACTACATAACTAATCAAGAGCAATCAGAAGGGTCTGAAGTGATAGTGATGAAGATAATGTCCCACAAAACAGCACACCTAGTCCAAGTAAGAAAAAGAAAGAGAACCAGCCAGTGGCACAGCGGAGAGATGAGACACCCATTCGTACAAGTCTGGCCACGAAACTTGCAGGTGTCACCTATTAAAGTTACCAGTCTACAGAATCACCTGCTCGCGTCACCTGTAAAATCACCATTGAAACTTACAACTCCTCTAGAGAGAACAGTATCCCCTCTGAAGTTAAATTTGCAGCAACGACTAGCTCCTTCATCTCCTGTCAAATCACCAAGGAAACAAGAATTTGAATTCTAACCAGTATTTGCAGAGAAATTGCACGGAAACGATTATTGCTCTAAATGCATAATGCGTAACAAATCAAGGGCCATTACTGTAAGTTAAAGGGTCTGACCGAAACAATTTAAGGCGACTCATGGAAACATTCAATTTCAACTAATATTTCAAACTACAACAACAAGATTTTACTTTGTAAGTATAAAGCACAAAATACATAATATAAACAAAGCAGTAATGACAATTTATGTTGTGTAACAATATCATTACATACTTGCCCATGGCCAGTTACGCCAGTTAGTTATTACATTTCTATATTTACGTTTAACTCTTTTAGATAATTATTATTACACATGGCCTAATATGAATAAATTCAATAAGCTTATGTCAACACCCAAAAGATCTGTTATAATACAACTTGCAAAATTTGTCTATTTGGCTTTAAAGAAATGCGAGTGTTGTTGTATAATAAAATATGTATTTCTTTAAACTATTTTTTTCATATTTATGCTGTATATTATTAGATATGTTAAATATGCAATGTCTTGTATTATATGTGTTTATGTGTACTTAAAACTGCCCATCTTTTGTTAAAACATGAAAATGAAACATGAATTATACATTTTCATACTTTTCAATATTATTATTACTTTTGTTAATCTAACCGCCAATTATGTGTGGCGAAAAACATGTATATATGTTTATGCTAATAAATACTTTGACTTGACTTTGACTTATATATTTTCATGAATAAAAAATTTTTTTTTTCTTCACATTTTGAGTGTGAAATAATTTGCAAAAATATGTCAAGGATAGTATATATTATTGTAGCTAGAGATATGTAACTTGTTTGTCTTTCTTCGGATTTTTTATCGCAAATAAAAAATGCATGAAATTCATCTCCGATAAAATAATTAAAAATTTTGGCATCAGGAACAACAATATATTTAATTTACAAATGATTGGTTTACATTTAATCAAAGTCTTCGGCAAATCATATTGACATATTTTTAATTGACAACAACATTTATGTAATCAAAAGCCGAGTGTTAATGCCATATGTGTTTGTCACACTTTAATGTTATATAATTAGTTGTGACAAGGTGTCAGAGTGATTGAGACAATCATGTGTGGACGAGATTATAATTGGTTTACTATATAAATGCTATTATTTCTATTTTTTATTTATTGATTACTTTGCACGTCAGATGCAAAGTTATTATTGAAGAGATAACGTCAGTTTTCGAAAATTTACTGCAAAAAAAAAAATCGGAAGAAGTGATGGAAACCAAAACTGAAATTTATCGTCTGCATAACGTGGAGCTTCAACGATTTCAACGAGCATGCGAACAAATTTTGCAACTAAATAAGAAGCTTGACGACCTCAGCCGACGTTACATGTCTGCGAAGGAAAACAACAACAAACTTTATCGGTACTCTCTACGAAGCCGGATGTTAGTTGTTGAAAACACGTTGACGTCATACTGTAACTACGCCAAGGTGAAGAGGCTTGAAATCATGAAGTTGCGCACCAAATTAAAAGACGAAAATTTCGATGAAGCTGTTTTAGATGTGAACGGTGAAGAAGAAGGAAACTAAACCAGTTTTCTTATAACAGAGACTTTTCAGTCTCACGGCCTCAATGGCCAAAAATTGTCGAAAGAAGTATATCAGTATTGTCATTGTCAAACTACTTGTTATATAACGGATAAATACATACACACTTCTTGATGAAAAAATATCCAGTTTATTGTTAACTTTTTTCCACAAAATATATCAAATATGGAGACGGCGTGTTTGCTAGTCTCATTTTTCGGCTGCCTTTGAATGCTTCCGTACCATTGATGATCATTATCAGAAACTTTGACGTGATTTTGTAGCATTACAACAATTTCATAGGTCATCATATTCAATGTACCAAGTATCTAATGTCCCGTGGACAGGTGGAGTCGGGGATTTTAACAACACGTGTACCATATAAATCATATTATACATCAATAATTAAATTAATTGATATGCGATTCGATATCTATTAACACTGCCGGCATTTTCCCTACCACTGAATAAGCTATAGCTCGAAAATCCCTC